CGACAGAGTGCAGCTCCAGATCCTCAATAGCAGTGAGGGCAAGGACAAGGCGTAGGGCAGCAGGGCGTGAAGTGGGCGCAAAAACCTCGGTGTAGTCGAAGCCAGGCCGCTGTGAGTAGCCCTTGGCCACAAGTCGAGCCTTGTACCGCTCAATTGAGCCGTCTGCATTGTGCTTCACCTTGAACACCCAGCCGCATCCAATGGCCTTCTTTCCAGCAGGCAGAGGGACTGCATCCCAGGTGTGGTTTGCAATCAGGGAGAGTATCTCGTCGTTGCAGGCTGTCTGCCACAATTTGGCATCAGGGGAGCGCATGGCCTCGCGAAAATTGTGAGGGTCAGCACCAGCTGCAAGCCCAGCAAACTGCACTTCGACGAAATCTGCTTCCTCAGCAAATAGGTCGAGGGGATCAGGAGAGTCTTCGCGCTTTGGGGCAGGAGCAGGGACTGGTGCATGTCGTCTTCCCCTGCGAATGGCAATGGGCAGATTGAGCTCGTCCGCTTCAGGAGAGGGTTGGTGCACAGGTGGTGTAGGAGGTGGCTGAACAGCTTGTGGCGCAGGAGGCGCAGGTGCTTGGACAGGCACTGGAGCAACTGGAGGAGGTGCTGCTGCAGGGATTGGCGTAATAGGGGCCGCAAGAATGGCAGCAGGCACAAAGTCGTCGTCCCCCCCTTGACCCAGTGCAGGTACAAAGAGAGGGACAGGCGCAGAGGTCGGAGGGTCAACAATGGGAGTGGAAAACGAGGCAGGAGTGCGCCTCAGGCCAGGGAAGAGCCGCTCATCAAACTCAGCGTGTTCTGAGATCACCACCTTCCTGGTGTCAGGGCAGTAGAACTTCCAGCCCTTGTAGCCGTCAGGGTAGCCTATGAACACGCATTTCTGCATGTGAGGCGACAGACCCTTGCGCTGGTCCTTCTGGATGTGCACATAAGCAGTGCAGCCCCAGACGCACAGATGTGCCACACTGGGCTTGCCCTTGTGCCAGAGCTCATAGGGGGTGGTGCCAGGGCGCACAGCAGTAGGGAGACGGTTCCAGACATGGACCATGGCAGCCACAGCTTCGCCCCAGAAGGACGGAGGCAAGGAGGACTCTGCAAGCATGGCAGTGGCAGTGTCAGACATGACACCATTGGCGCGCTCTGCAACCCCATTCTGCTGTGGCCTGTTGCACACAGTGTGGCGACGCACAATGCCACAGGAGTCTGTGAATGCGACGAATTCATTGGACATGTATTCCCCTCCCTTGTCATCCTGGAGTGCCTTGATCTTCACACCCAGCTGGTTCTCAGCATAGGCCTTGAAGCGCTTGAACGCAGCAAAGGCTTCACTTTTGGCCTTGAGCAGGATGATGACTCTGAATCTGGAGTAGTCATCAATGAAGGTGATCCAGTAGCGATAGCCTGAGTGAGTGCGGACAGGCAGAGGGCCATGGACGTCGCTGTGGACGAGTTCCAGAGGCATGGTGGACACATGAGATGAAGGAGGAAAGGGGTTTGCCCGCATTTTGCCTGCTAGGCATGGCTCACAGACAGGATCAGGCTGCTGCTTCGAGCTGAGGGTAAGGCCAGTGACCAGTTTGTCTCTGGCAAGCTTCTGGACATCTGCATAGTTATTGTGAGCAAGACGTCGATGCCAGAGGTTGAGGTCGAGTGGCAGAGTGGCTGCAATGCGTGCTGAGGCCTCAACAAGGGGCTCAACTTCGCCATCTAGGTAGGCAGCATTGTTGGGGTCAATGGGTGCGACGAAGCGCAGTGTGCCAGACTGGTAGAAGGCCATGGCATCGGACGAAATGGTGATGGTAAACCCTTTATTGCGCGCAAGATGAAGACAGGACAGGAGATTGCTTCGCAGATCAGGCACATGCAGCACCCTTGAGAACTCCACAGACCGCACAAATGCTCCCTTCACCCTAGGCCTGAAGACGACCGACCCCACACCAGCAGAATAGACAACCTTGTTGTCTGCCAACTTCACAGGCAAGCGCAGTGGCTTGTAATTGCGAAGCCAGTGGCGGTGAGGTGTCATATGAGAAGTGGCGCCTGTGTCTGCATTCCAGGTGAAGTCAGCATCAAGCTGAAGCAGTGTAGAGGGCGAAGAGGGCTCAAGGGAGTGTGAGGAGAGGGCACTTGCATTTGCAGCAGATTCCTGAGTGTGTTCTGCAGGCTTCTCCTGCGCAGTGGCAGCCTTGCCTTTGCCTCTGGTGGCACGTCGCTCCTTGGCCTGCTTCTGGGCCTTCTGGAACGAGTAGCACTGTGGCTGGGAGTGGCCAGATGCGCCACAAAAGTCGCAGGGGCCAGAGGATGATGAGGCGACTGCCAGGGCAGACTGGGAGGCAATGGTGGAGTCATGGCGACGTTGGGCATCCTCAGTGACAAAGGCCTGGATGACTGTGGCCTTCTTGAGGTCACCATTGAGCAGCTGGGTGCGCAGAAGGGCGAAATCCTCGCGAGGGAGGGCCAGGATCATAGCCATGACAGTGAGTTCACTGTCAAGGTTGTCCAGAGTGTACTTGTCAGGGCGCAGATTCTTGCATTGCTGCATGGTGTCTTCAACGCGGTTAATAACCGCTTGAAGCAACTCAGAATCGCTCTTCCTGATAGACAACAGGGCCTCCCAGGCATTCCAACGTCCAGCAGCATGAGGACGTTGGTGGACACCCTTGAGGGCCGCCCACATTGCAACAGGGTCACTGTCAATGTTGGAGAAATGCACCTTTTGGTCCACCTCAACCATGAGATACAACCACCCAGCAGCCTTTGCCTCCTCCACCTCCCACTTCTCCAGCAGTGTGGCCTCCGCTTCAGTGAGGGCTTTGGGGTCCTTGGCTTGTGGCTTGAGGTGGGCACCAGAGACAAGGCGCCATAGGCCTGCAGAGCGCAGACAGGCAGCCATGTCCCCAGCCCAGGACTTGTAGTTCGAGGCATTGAGCTTGGGGAAGGAGAGAGAGGACGAGTGGTTCGACATTTGTGGCACAAGCAGAGTGGCAGAGAATGATAGCGCAGATTGTGGCAAGAGGGAAAGATGTGAGAGTATTGGGACAAGGAGTGGTCCGAAAATTGAAGTGATTAACTCTGTGGTGCGCTAGTAGTGTGTGTAGTTGACTGCTAGAGCGCGGGGCTCATAACCTATCAAAAGGCGACGCAGGGAGCAGTTGCACAAGACTAGTACTGAAGGACTGAATGCCACAAGTGGGGCTGAAGTCGAAGTGGGTCACAGACGTGTGTATTAAAGGGTCACTACAGAGCTCTTTATATACATGAGCAAGGGAAAGCATTCCCACGGCGGAACAATAGAAGAAAGAACAATAGAGTCCAAAAGTAGAACAAGGGCCACTTGGCCACAGGAACAATGGAACAAAAGAAGTGTGGCCGGAGCTCTGCTCCGGTCCGATTGCTCCGCAATTGATACAACCATGTGGTCACATGGTGTGGTGGCTCCCGCCACCGGGGGATCGTCCTAGGCCGACCAGGGGACTGTGGCAGAGCACATTGTGACACACCTTAGTATCGCACAATAACAGATCCTGGGCCATTCCTGGGGCGTGGCGCTCGGCCTGGAACTTGGTGTCCGACAGCCTAATGGTCCAAGGAGACCCATCCTACCATCTGTGCTGACGTTCACATAAACAGCGTCAGTCGGAACTATGGAGCTATATATAAGACACAATCCCCACGAGTAAGTCGGGACGTGTGAATCGCCCGAGTCTCAAACAGCCCCACGCGCATTCAATCAAGAATACTATGTCTGCTGTCTCAACCCATGGCCAGAGGAAGTCAAGGCCATTTTAGTGAGGTTGACCTGAGTACCGTTCACGATGTCGTGTCGATAACAGTTTTGAGCGTTTTAACACATCAGACGTCGACTGGTCTGTAGTTTCTACCTGTCGTTCTTTACGATCCTTGGGAGACTGAAAACTTGGAACATCATCAGTGACCTGCACAAAGTCAATGTCCCGATACTCATACTATACAAGTTATCTTGGCGCTGTCCAGGGCGAGACTGAGCTTCATTTTTTGATTCTCCTTACACTCGCTGCAAGCCAACAAATCTTAATCACCTTCGGCATCTTCGAGCAGGGAAAGATGCTGAACGTCTGCGACATTTGAGTCCTAACTCCAGACAAGCGCAGGATATGAGACCATCATCAAGTACATCAAGGTCTTCCAGAGCGCGGAATGTATTGAGATGCATGAGCACACAAATCAGTAGACAGCTAGCCTGCTGAATACAGGATGTAATAAGTACCGCAATCCAGCTCTTACATCATGCAATGATCGGTACCTGACTCATGGGCGTCTGTATTCCAACTGGCTCGAGTTTGAAGCTTCACTTCTGACTCTCAACTTTGACCCAAAATACATTTCCAACAATACTGTCAAACATAGACGATGAGTATATTCGGCGCAGAGCCTAACTACGAGATTTCTATAGGGGGGTTGACCTACAAACACTCACCGATTGACTCGCCGTCACTCTCCAATGTTTCCATGAAATTGCCGAAGGGCTCGCGCACGATCCTTGTAGGTGCAAATGGAGGTACGGACCATAACAATCGCTCATTTTCTCTGGGCTGATCTAAATGTTTGATGTGTGTTCAGCGGGAAAATCGACTCTGTTGCAAATATTGGCCGGCAAGCGTCTCATTCTCCAAGAGGACACGCATGTGCATATCAAGGGACGCGATGTGTTTCGCAATTCGCCCCCAGGAGTTACCTTCCTCGGGACAGAGTGGTATGTTTAGTCAAATGTCCGCGGGTCTATCAGAGTAGTCTGACATACATTCGATATTTGAAATAGGGCAATGAACCCGGTCGTACGGAGCGACATCGTCGTGCACGACTTCCTTAACTCTGTCGGTGGCTGGCGTCACAAGGAGCGCCGCGACAAGCTACTCGACATCTTGGACGTCGACCTCGACTGGCACATGCATGCTATATCTGACGGCGAGCGCCGCAGAGTGCAATTGGTCATGGGTCTGATGTCGGATTGGGACGTGCTACTACTCGATGAGGTCTGTCAACTCAGCTCTTGCCAGTACTCAACAGTATCCTGAAATATGATTTCGTCCGTCAGGTCACCGTTGACCTCGACGTGCTCGTTCGAGACGATCTGTTGACATTTTTGCTGACAGACAGTGAGACGCGGGGCGTTACAATTCTATGTGAGTACGGCAAGCCACTGTTCAACAATGCCTGATCATTGATGCTGTTTCGCAGATGCCACGCACATCTTTGACGGCTTGAGCAGATTCCCAACTCATGTCGCACACATGCATCTGGGCACCGTCCTATCGCAACCCACGCCATGGCCGTTGACACCTGAGTCTGCGGCGCAGGTCGTATCCGTAGACTTGGGTCCCAACCCGCCACTCTACAAGTTGGCGCTGCAGTGGCTGCGGGAAGATCGGGAGCTCAGACGAGAATTGGAAAAGCAGGGGCGCAAGACGCGGGGAGCGCGAATCGACGAGGTACGGGGTAGCTTTAACCCAAATGCTTCATTGATGCTTCATTATATCAATGACTGTTCGATCTGTTTGATAGGTCCCGACGGATTCAGAGACGTTTTATCGAAAGTAAGTTGCCCTCCATCTCTGCGATGAGATGAAATGTGGCTCAGCCTCTTCAATCTATCCATGCAGATATGATTACAGCCACTGATGACCCGACCTCATTGAGTTCAACCTCACCGCACCCTCGCCCGAGATAGATGGGCACAGCATTATATCTGTATCGCAAGCACCAGAACATTGTAAGATCCTCAACGGACTTATACCCAATGTAGCTTTGACCCGGAGGGAGCCATTATCTTGTTGTTCACACTCCTGTATCTGTTATAGTTTGAAACCATTGGCAACGAAGCCAAGAGCTGAGAGCTGTTGAACTGAAAGTCTGGACCGTGACCGGCGTCTGCGAGCGTGTGCACGAGCGCTAAGTATTCGCAGGCTGTGAAACGCATCTTGGCTTATACTCCCTCGCCATCGTTGGAAACGACGTCGCTGCTTGTTCTCCGCCGTGTTCATCGTTCCCAACGTGCTGGCCATCGGAGGGCGCCATTCGTCTTCGAGTTCTCGTTCCAAGCTATATCACGCTCTTTTCCAGTCTCTTTCGTCTTTGTTGAATCCCACACCCCGTCGCTATGCCGGCCTATGAGCTCTTCCAAAACCTGACCCAACGTGCATGTGTTCCATGCTCCTCGGCGGCCCCCATATGCCCTCAGTGTAGCGCGAATGAGCAGTGTATCATCATTGATGAGTGCGTCATGGTGGTCTTTGTACCCTCATTCACGTCCATCTAACCGTTTCCCCAGGAGCTGCTCTGCGTGCGCCCAGGCGAAATGCCAATTGATCGCCAGTCTCAGCCATAGCTCAGGCGGCGTCAGCTCGGGCGCAGTCGCAGGTGCGGTCGTCGCCTCGATCATCTTCCTTGCCCTCGTTGTCGGTGCGTTCTGGTTCTACCGCAGGCGCCTTCGCCAGCGGCGCGCGGCCACCGCAGCAGCTAGCGACTCCAAGACCGACGCGCCCGCGCGCGCAGAAGACGTGCTTAACCGGCCGGACCCCAACGAGAAGGCGATTCCTGAGGAGCAGAGCACAGTCCGGATCTATGCGGGCGCGTCTGGCACAATCAACCTCGACCCCGAATCGCAGGCAGGGTCTGTCGCACGCGCGACAGACGGCCATGACTCGCGCCGCGGTTCTGCGCAAGACAATCCATTCGGTGACAATCACTCAATCCAGACGACGTCGACGGGCACGCAGTCCAATGTGATTCCGATTGCACTGGTGCCGCCTGCGTCATTCCACGCACCTTCGCCGCACAACTCGAACGAGAGTTTCAGCGGGTCACAGGCGTCCTCTGGGCCCAGGCGTCCCGTGCGTACCCCTGATGTCAATCTCAACGGGGACGAGACTCGTGAGAATGCAGTTGCCAACGACGACCAATCCACGCGATCTGACTCTACGACGGCACACAACCCGCGTGCGTCGTACATGTCCACGGGTAGCTACGCCAGCGACCTTTTGAGCGAGGCGCCCGTTATTATTACGCCAACCCGTGGCCTCGTCAAGCAGCAGGTCATGGGCCTTGTCAAGGCAGAGGTGATTCGCACGCCTCCTGGCGGCACTCCTTCCAAGGATGGGGACGGCCTTCGTGCGCCCGCCGCGAACCGTCTTCTGGCGCGCTCTTCTCCACTCGCAGTGTCGAGCTTCGGCCCCTCGGACGTTGTACACGAGGCCGTGGAGGACGAGCAAGAGGTCAGCGTACGTGCAAATCCTTTCGACGATTCACATAGCCCCTACAATCTTGATGGCTCACAGCGCTCACCCGCCCCGTCTGCCTCGACGTTCGGGTCCCCCGAGCGCGGGACACCTGAATCTGGCCAGGTTACTCCGAACCAGTACGCTGAGGAGAATGGCTGGACATCAGACGGCGCGCACCGTCCCATGAGCACATACACGCAAGCCGCCTCGATTATGGGCTCCGTCATTGGCGCGGACATTGGCAGTGCAACGCGCGTCCACCTCGGTTTCCAACAGCTTGGGGTGCCCTCGACCGAGGTAGTGCCGCATACCGCTTCGAGTGGCGTTCTGAACTCGCCTCGCAGCCCTTATCGTCTGACAAGCGCTCGTCTCATCAACACGCCCGCCTCTGGTAACGGGGGCGGTGCACTGGAACAGCAGCAGCAGCGTGCTATGCAGGATATCGAACCGAACCACAGCCGTATGTCGCTCGCCTCTGTCGTCTCATCGGCGTCGACGAAGGCAGACTCGATCCTCGAGAGCTTCCCCTTTGTCCCGCCGTCGCCAATATCAAATAGGCCGATCCGCACGCCGCCCCGCTCACCTCTTGCGCAGCAGAGTTTTGCAACAAACAGCAACACGGCGCCGCCGCTTTCTGCACGCGAGCCCCCTCCTCGGGAGAGCATCCGCGAGGCACCCGTGTCGCCACTCCCACCCCCACCTAGACCGGTAAACAGGAAGGCAGCCGGCATGTCCGTGGCGTCGCAATCGTCGGCGTTCTCCACCGGGCTCGGGTCGTTCCCCTTCCAGATCGACTCCGGGAATGGCACCGATAATGCGTCGTCCTCGTCGTCTCCCCCGTCGTCGTTCCTGGGCCGCCAGCGGGCGTCACTAGACACGCTTGCGCTGACAAGCGACCTGTCGTCGTACCCGCTCAACTTCGGTAACCAGAAGCGCGACCCGCCGCCGCCAATGCCACGGCGTTGAAAGAGCCCACTAGCAAACCCCAAGCGACCGAGTACGTGGTGTATTCTGAAGACTGTGACTGCAAATAGTGTATTGAACTCTGAACCTTCTGCTTTCGCACCTTCTCCCCCCCTCTCTGACCCGACTCCCCCCCTATACCTCTGGACTTGATCCACATCTCCCTTGCTTGGTTGATCCGGGCTCAAATTCCTTGTTCCAGCAGTCCGTCTTCCCTTGCTTGTTCATTCCGTTCGCTCGTAAAGTATTCTAGTCCTATATCTTATACGGCTAACTGCTATGCTCCCGTATGCCTTCTCGTCTGTTGTCTTTCATTGTCCGGCATCGCCTCTGCAGCTTAACTGGAGGTGCCGATGTGTTCGTTGGGTTGAGGTTGCGCGATTATTTATTTTCTTCCCAACTGTGATGTGTCTGCTGTAAGCGACTTTTTTGAATCATAAAGCGAACATGGACGCTGTGTGGCATCGTTCGCGCAACGTACAGTACTTGGCGGACGATCAAAGACTGATCGGGACTCCGAGACCGGCTGTAACTCTTTCAAAGTCTTTGAAGAGCTATTGATATTGATACATCTTATGACCTTGTTCTACAGCTGATTCCATCTCGATAGACCCACCCGGCAATATTTGTGCGCAAGCGGTGTTGATGTGGACGGCCGGGGCGATGGTCATGGCATCGCTACAGCCACAAGTTACTAAATTAGGTCACTGGTTCTAGGGCCTGCCCATTCCCACCAGAAATCTGCTCATGCACATTCGTTTTTGTCTCCCTGCTTTCCTTCCATTCCTCTCGCGGTCAAAAACCACTCCCAGAATCTGTATTTTGCATGATCCGACTTCCGGATTTCTCGGAACCGGGCGTACTATGGTTTAGGAGAGGTCGCCTTTATCTGTCCGACTCGGATACTGCAGCCTCGCTGCTAGTTCACTTGATCGAGCAGACCACTCGTGATACTTCATGGCCAATGGATGTGGGACGATCAAGGTCAAGCATGCAGAAGACGGCCCTTGATGGAAAACACGACCCCATAAGTACTGTAGCCATGAGCGGCAGTCCGTAGATGCGCCACTCATGCCACTCCGAGCGACTCCTTCCATTGTTCGGCTTCGCTTCTACATCACCTCGTGTGATCATCACTGAATATCGCAGCCTCGATACTTGTGGCTGAGGCAGACCCGCTTTTCCAAGAAATTTAGGGAATGTCCAACACCTCACGGGGTGACGATACAGTAAACTGTACGTTCTTATGAGCTATTAAAAATACCACAATCGCGTCCTCTTGGACTTTACGCTTTCACAATCCTCATTCTTGCATGCCCATGTCCGGTGGCGGTATGTATTACACGTGTTCGGCACTTTGAGGCATGCATACTGGATCGACAAGGTCAACGTCTGCGGAAACGTATACCCGGTTCAGGAATTCTTGATCAGTGCGTGTACGACTGAGATCTGGCGATCTTCACAAAGCACACTCCCTATAAGTCATGGTGACCCACCTGCATGAGCCACCGAGACAAAGGCCGCGGAGCATGAACAGTGAATCACCACAGAGACAATGTGCTAGCTGTCTTCCAGCATCTTGCACGCGTCATGTGTAATATTTGGTAGCACGGTCTCGACTCGTGGCCATTAAGTCATGCATATAAAAGGACGATTCATTACGCACCATTTCCATAATCCTTGCTCTCGACTCTCTTGTATCGTCTAGCGATGGGTTTCGCTCAGTCTCCTTGCCATGCTCCTGCCCGCGAAGCATTCAGTCTCACCCAGCAGAACATGGGTTCGAACCCCCACTACCAGTGGACGGCGTCGGACTTTTCAGCATACGTTCCCTCAAATCCCATGCGATTACCGGATGGTGTAGCGGAAGACTTACGTACAAACCAGCATCCAGTCGCGTCTTCGGTTCCTACTCATGTCGCTCCAACGATGCAACCAACCCCATACGCTGCCTTCGCTCAATCTCAATCGCCGTTACCATGCGTTTACAACATAGGCTTGGATTGGCCTCTCTCGTACGTCATTCATGAATTCTTTGATATTTGATATAATGAGCTCATCAACGCAGACCGACGGGCATGCCACGCACCAGTGAAATAGGTTTTACGGAGGTCGATTCTCTCTTCCAGAGTGCCCCTCTAGTGCCAGCACAATGGCCGTCGCAGGACTCATTTCTACCAAGTTCGGAGAACGCGGTCCAGGACACTTATGCAGGTGCGTGGGCGCGAAGTGAGATCTTTGAGGATATTAAGTGGGGACTCCATATCCCAACAGCCTCGCTACAGCCGTCGGAGAAATCGAGCAGGTGTAGGCCACGCCCACGTCGCCATAGAACGTCCCCTTATTCTCGGGAGATGCCCCCGCGTAATACCCAATGGCTCTTATCGGCCCACGACATCAATATCCTTGTAGACGAGGGTTGGACTCACTGTCCCATTCCGAAGTGTGGCTATACGCAGGAGCGACGGCGACCCGCAGACTTCAAGCGGCACCTTGAGACGCATTGCGGGAAGAAGTATGTGTGTTGTGGAGAACCAGTGTACTGGGAAGTCGGTGTCAAGGGGCCCATGCATGGCGGATGTCGCAGACGGTTCTGCAGAATCGACGCGCTCCAACGCCACCTCGAGAATCCAAAGATGGGATGCCGAGGAAATCTTTATATTGCGGAGGCGTACCGTGAATATCTTAATGATACAAATCCGTTAACAGGTCGGTTGTAGATAGATGTACTCAGTGAGTTATCATGCGAGTCCGCGGCGCGCGATATGACATACATTCGTTTACAGATGAAATTGTCCGCGTCTTGTGGAATTGTGCTTCGAGGTTGCCCCGTGATTGGACGTCTGCAGCTTGTGAGTGATCCTTCACCTTATTATAGAATATATGCGTTATTATTCGACACTGCGCGGTCTTCGTTAAGGCGCCAGAGGCTTATGTTGTAATAACGTAAGATGAAGGGGCCTGTTGCTGCGGTGGGCGTTAGCTACGGTTGTTGTCCAACACCACAAACTGGAGTTGTACTACGGAAGAGCAAATGACTGAGCATAAAAATTAATGCCCTGCTCGTCCGAGAGACCTAGCGCTAGCTCACCTTCGTTTCACCATTGTCTAGCGTGTTCCACGAAGTCACCAAGCTCCGCCGACAATGCACAACAGACGATCGTTCTTATCACGGAAGGCGTTGGCCTATGTGGACGATTCATTTCCACACGTTCGTCGCTTCTTGGATGGTTACGGAAACTGTGTAAGTGTTAGCTGTCCCCTTTGTCAACTGTGCAATTACGTATACAGCTTGTGGTTGACCTCCAGGCTAGGGAGATGTAAGTGACCCATCCATCCCGATAGCGGTGCGTCCCAAATTTGATTGAAAGCCGCCTTGACTTCTTCTTTCTCGAGCTACTTATCTAAACTAGCACGGGCAACGAGATTGGGTGAACCTGTTTGCATGTCATGATCGTGCGCATCCTCCATGGTTTCTCCGCTGTATTGCTTCCTATGCCGGCCATTGCGGGAGCGATATTTCAGCATATCCAAACATACATAACTATTAGACTGACCAAGGTATGGTTTGTACTGAAAAGGTGCGTTGTTTGAGTTTTCTACGCATGGTGCGTGGGCCTTCGAGGCTGGATACTGGCATTATCGACGATCACTTCTCCAGGGACGGATGGACATTCCAAGAAAATCCAGGATTATCGAGTGTAAGTAAGATTTAAGTTCTGCAAAGCGTCATGTAGCTCGAAGATGTCGTACCTGCCCAAAACAAATGTATGCTCCAACTTGATGTTCCCGAAACTTTGCACGAGGTCTTGATCAAGGAAGAAAACATTTTCGCAGAGTTTGGCACATTCCTTAGGTATGAATCCGCAGGTTCGTGCTTCGTGAACCCGGCTGACTCAACTTCCTTTATCGAGTGGATCCGGCTTCCCCCCAACCTTCAGCCTGATTGATGAAACTAGTCGTGGTATGATTACACGTGGCTGACCTTTTAACAGGTGAAGCTCAAACAAATCAGCGAAAATGTACAACTCTGGCTCACACGCGCCATACGCTGCCAGCGTTCTATGAGGTTATTTGCAAGGTATCTCTCCCGTTAAGGACGGAGATGGCCTACTTCAGACGTGACACGCTCTGTTAGCTCCAAGACGCTATCATAGCTGAGGTGCGTGACGAACCGGCTGTGCAGTCGCGTCGAGCGTGAACCCGTTCGCTGAGTCAGTCTAGGTCACTCCTTCAAACTCTTATGGGAGAGGCGACGAATAAATTTGTGAAGGTATTAGGGAGGGTTTCGTCAGTAGTCATCGGGCTCTCGTGGCAGCACTTGCGTTAACGTGTCGGTGCCTTGCGGCAAGCGCACAAATATGTAAACATTGCATGCTTCATGATGACTGGTGGTAGCGTAGCAGTTTTAGGACTACCAAGTTGGTAATGAGTATGCGACATCCATTGTTATGCATAACCCAACGCGACGTACTATGATTTCCACTACATAGAGGTCATTCTTCCGCGTTGGTTTCGGGCCTGCACGTTAGACCTGACGGACGAGCCCGTTACGCGGAACCTGTCCCCTCTTCATTCTTTGAATATCGACAAAATGGAGGCCTGCGTGCCGCTTAGAGTGGGCTGGCTGGACTCCGGTAAGCGTTTTCGACAGTTGCGGACGTTCCTTGTAGAAGGTTAGTAGTTCAACCGTTCTAATTCAATGCGGTGTATGGTGAAAGGTCAGGAAACCAGGACGGGCTTGCAGCCTATTTCGGGCAGAGCAATTTATCTACCGGAATCGATCGTCCGCGTTTCACGCCCCGTCGTCGAGTGTTTTGAAGAGAGGTTATCTTATACCACTGAATTTCGAATGAGTATACAGCATGTAGAAGAAATAGTTTCAGAGTTTGTGAAGTGTACGTTCGAACGTCAAGGTTGTGGCTCGTGTTTGGGCGCCTTCCGCTCCTGACGCGGTCATGTGCCCGATACACACGCAGCGTGACCTTTGCCACTCGTGTAAGAGTGGCGCTCGCGTCAGTGGCCATCGATTTGCTTCCCCCGCCACGATCCCAGGACGTGAAATGCCGAGCTACTAGTGCATTATCCCACATATCCAGCCCAAAAGTTTCACCTGGTGCCTCTTTAAGCTGCGGGCTCATTACGGCACGGGGATCCCAAACATTCAAAGCAGGACACGTCATTACTGCTTATAGGATAGTTCCGGCCTATGGGGCCGCGCTCTGGAGAATCGAGCACGATTCAGAACAAAGAACCTGAGATCACTGCACAATTCATACGACGTGATAACAAGGACGCCTACTTTGCTACAGCCCGTAGTCGCCATATCACGCACCACCATGGATGGCTGTGTTGGAACTTCTTATGGTTTTGAGCGAGCGTGCATGGTCACGCTAGATCTGATTTGATCAGATAGGTAGCTCATACCCTGGTCCCTCGCGCGTTGGTATCCCTACCACCACGATGCTGCCATAAAAATCCTCTCGTTGCCCTCGTCCATTTATTTCAACAAACTGTAGTTGACAATTTTTATTTCGAGACAGAACATGCAATAGAGATGCGAAAGATGCGGCCAAGACGTCGAAATCCGCTCAGATGAGGGCCCGAAGTCATGATAGGTCGGTTCTGCTTTGCTTTCACGGCTAGTCACGTACTCTGCTCCCTTATGGGAAGGGCCTGGAACACGAGTATGAGATCTGTGGAATGCAAGAGCAGATGCAAGCCGATCACCGGCGCTGTACCTGCAGGATTTCGTTTGAGCGTCTATGCATAGGAAGCCTTGCGCAGTGCGCACCTCATGCGAACAAAGCTATCTGAACTGGATGAGCAGTATATAGCTGTAATGGCTCCGCCCCCAGCCTCCGAGGTATCCTCTCCTGTCTATACCCACCGTTGCCCCTCATTGCACTACCTTCACTCATTATCATGGATTATCTGTCGGTCTTCGATGCACAGATAGACACCTATTTTCCACCGTCATCATATTACCTCGCGCAGGCTCCCTACACTGCCCTGACCTCCGATCTTTATCTCGTGGGCACCACTCACGCTCAACAATATGTGTCGCCAGACGAAGGCACATCTATAATGAGCCCGTATGTCACTACGTCAGCTCAGACATTCGGCACTCACAACATATGCTCGTAGTTATAACGCACTAGGCCTCTCGCTTAGTGACACGCACGGCCGTGTCGAGTACGACCTGGCAGGGGGCATCATGCCTCCTGAGAGTGAGCTGCTGCCCGCTCGTCATATCAGTACACCACAGGCGCATTTAGACCCATATACCCCATCTCTGCAAAGCGACGCACCGCTCTTTCGTCCCTGCACCTCGTCCCCCGCGTCTTTCTCTTCCGCGGCTTCTTCTGCATCTCCATTGCCAGCCTACTCTCCGCGTCGCGCACTAGCGACGTCACCGCGTAACAAACAGGTTGAACTCTCGGGCGAAGAGATCCACCAGATCATGGAAGGTCATCCCATGATATGCCCGATTTGCCCTCTGAAGTTTCGGTGGATTCGGAAGCATGACGTTTGGCGGCACCTCGCCAGCCACGCTGGGCTCGGGCGCTGGATATGTTGTGGAGTGCCCGTGGGGGACGCACCCCTGCTTGGCATTGACAACACCAGCCAGGCGCACGAGCTGGAGTATGTCGGCGGATGCATGAAGGATTTCAGTCGGCGGGACGCATACAAGCGACATTTGATGAAGAAGAATATCGGGTGCATCGGGTCCATGGCGATTGCGAAGGCATTTATGCTGCGCCGCGATGCACATCTAATGCAAGGTAAACGAGCAGGTTCTGCGCGCGAGTTCGAGGAATTTCCGCTACTTCGATGAACTACCAGTTAATTCCCTCTTTCATTAGTATCTATCGACCACTTCATATATGTATATTATGTAAATTACTCAAGCCCGGACACATATTACACTTGCCTTTCAGTACCCAGACGTTCAGGGATTAGCCAGCGCGTACGTCGCGTCTGTACAACGCGTTTGATGCGTCGCGTGATCGCGTCCAAGAATGCGAACAATGCACCCGTGGAGCGCCCATAGCTAATGGGCGCCTATGCGAGAGCACTGTCTTGTTTACGTCCGTCTTTGCATCCGAGATACCTCCCTATATCGTAGTTTTTGTATTGTTCACGGTGAGATATGATGCGAAGCACCTCGACTTCTCGATGCGCTGACTGCTGACACAGACCTGTTATCGCAGACTTCACGAACGAGTAAGTGACGTATTTGGGTTCGTGTCGATCTTCTGACGCTTCTGCAAGCCTGTATTTTACGCAATTCTGCCGTATAATATGGATGACTCGGAATCGTCTCCTTCACCTCTTGATGAGGTGCCGGCTCGCTCGAGAAGAGAGGCCGAATATTCTCGGAAGGGACACCGCTCTTCCAAGGACCGCGACCGCTCATTCATGGGGGGTTCCACTCGTGAATTCGCCCGTCTGCTTGTGTACCAGGAACGCGAGACGATAGAGCTCCGCAAGCGACTCGATGTCGTGACTGATCAGCTCCGGAGCGAGACGCAGCGCGCCGACGCGGCCGAGAGCAGGATAAAAGAAGCTATGCTTCGCTGCAAGTCCATCAATGACGCGAGGATTCAAGCGCAGCAGGATGTGCAGCGCACGACCGAGGAGCTCAATCTGTACAAGCTACAGCTGGACAATGCGTTGCGGGAGATCAAGCGGGCGCAGGACATCATTGATTCGGTCGAGGCACAGAGGCTGGATGCGGAGGAGGCAGCGGCGAGTGCACGTTCGACCGCGCGGAAGCTGAAGGAGGAAAAGGTCGTGCAGATTGCGCGCGAAGAGGGGCGCAGAGAGGGCCTCGAGGAAGGTCTGGCACGCGGCAGGAACATCGGTTTCGAGGAAGGACGGGCAGAAGGCTATGCGCGAGGGCGGGCCGCTGCCTCTCGCACGCGTCGGCCCTTTGTAGAGGACGCCCCCGAATCGCCAGACGACGAGCAGAGCGTTGCTGAGGACCAATCCGCGTCCCCTCCAGATGATTATGGGTCACGTACCCCGTCAATTTACTCGCAGACGCTCCCTCGGCGCCGCGCAGGGACACCTGGGCCTAGTGCTGCGCCTGAGCCTGCAAAGGACTCAGAAATTCACCCGACAATCGTCCACAATGTGATGATGTCGCCGTCGCATCCGCCTGTTACATTCCCTCCCGACGGCTTTATTCCAAAGCAAGATAATGACTCGCGCATCAGGCTGCCGCCGCCGCACGAACTGGCCCCGCCTCCACCTACTCCCTCGCCTCCGTCCTCAGTTGCATTGCAAAATGTACCTCTTCAAGACACCGGTGACGACCGACCGCCGATACGTATCCCCCCGCCTGCTGCAGACTATAACGACGGGGGCATGGAATCGGACTCAACGACGGGTACGCATCGCCGCACGCGACACCGCCGACAGCGGTCGTCGGAATCATTGTCGACCACCATGTCGCAATTTGAGATCCTGGGCCCTCCGGTGCCAACTAGTGCGCGGAGCACTGCTAGGGAGCGGCCGGCTGTTCTTAGCGCAATCGCTGAGGAGAGAGAACGATCGTCATCCGTATCGTCACCACAAGGAGCCAATGTGAGCCTTATTAATTTCTATGTGTTCTCTACCTGAACGAAACATATCCCCAAAGTCCCCATACATGCCCTCGCCGCATACACCTTACAGACCCTCACCTCAAGTGCAAACTGATGATATACATCGCTTCGAGGACCATGCTAGGAGTCAGGGGCAAAATATCTACATCCGTCCGTCTCATTCCTCCAACTCGTCTCCAGAGTCTGGACGGGTACTAGGTTCTTCTCCATCGCTACAGCCGCCGAGGAACAGTCGAGGTTCTAGTCTCTCGCCTGATTTTGCTATCCACGTAGAGCCGCCGGTGAGTAACTTGTACGCTACGGTCTTCTCTGTATTCTAACAATATTATCATAGTCGGGCCCCGAGTCCCCGCAATCCAGAATTGCACCCATGACACCTCACCTACTTAGTGCAGACGATCTCCCGCCTCCAACCAATGAACCCCCGTCTGAGCCAGCGCCTGGACAGGGCATGCCGAGCATGTCTCCAGGAGTACCTGTAGTATTAGCGGACGGTCAGCTACCTCCGGGGTTCCAGCCAATTGGCCCTCCCGTTGCGCCAGACTCATTCACACCCATGACTGGGCACCATCCCTCGATCACACCACAGACAATGTACAACACCTCCATCGGGTCAATTGGCCCAGCTGGCGTCCCCTTACCGCCATCTACTTACGGCGGAACACCTTCTGTTTCTGGCTCCAACGTTATCCCAGGGATGTTCCCCACCGGGGAGCCCGTAGTCATCCCGCATCTCATGCCCTCAGCGGGGCTTGGGGCGGCTGGCGCTCAGCCTGGAAGCAGGTACAGCCGGTCCGCCCTACGGGATTCCTCGTCCGATTCGGACGTATCTTCGGGCCTTGGCGGGTCCATGGACTCGCTCACGACGCCACCCTCACGGCGGCGGGATCTGCCTGGTCGGGCAACTCCTTCCTATGCTACCGCCCCAATACCGCCAAATGTCACGTATCCTGCCCCTCCTACACCGCACTCGACCAGCTCCCGGACGACAGCTGCGAGGGTGCCGCTGCCGCCGTCTACAGCTGGATCAATGGCCAGCCCAGGTTCCACTATGACATATCCGTATGCGCAGACGCCCTATAGTCGTAGCAATCTTGCGGTTGACGCCGGCCACACGCCTATGAACAGACCGCGGTCGCCAGCCATGAGCAGTGTACGCGGAACACCCCTGCCGTCGCATGTGGAACCAAGGTCGTCGTGAGTGACACCATTTCATCTTTGGTGACGCTATATACTATTTATGTCTAGAATCTATGATCTCCGTGGACGGAATGAGCAAGATTTCACTCAGGCCAATACCGCTGCGAACGCCGGCCCTTCTGCTGCGAGGATGTCCGCGATGGGCTCTCCCACCGTTTCCCAAGTCTCTCTTGCGCCGACAAGCACCTCGACCAAGTCCAAGAAGTCGAAAAAGGCCAAAAAGAAATCTAAGGTTGCCTCCGTCGAAGAGGTCGACGAAGAGTAAAATGCGCATACTATCCGCTCAATACTCTCCTTTCAGGCAGCTTGTTAAGCTTGCCATGTCTCATCTGCTTACGCTCTGTTCTTGTACATACATGCTGTATTTTTACCACTTGCTCGCTTCTGCTTTTCCTAGCACCGAGACACAGAATGCACTATTTCCTCCCCCACCTATTCATCATCTTTGGCTGTATCGTGCTCGCACCTGCATTGTTGTGTAGAATAGAGGCTTTCTCCGGGTACTAGGGGTAGAACGTTATGCGGCATTCTATGACACGGATATGTCTCTCAGGATTACATAGAGCTTATGCTGGCATTGAGATAAATGCATACGCGACAAATTACATGCATGAGGACATGGTATACAGACAGAAAAGATGCAATTGTACCCGAAAATTCCGTGTTAGAATTTATCCACGATGAAGACCCATTTCCCTTCCTCGAAGTCGAAGCTCTCGAAATGCGTGTTCCGCATGTTCCTGAGTCGCTTGTAATGCTTCTTCGACAGCGGATGCTCTGGATCCTTGATGGGATCCCGCGTCGCCTTATCCCGCGTCCAGCAGCGCATCAGGGTGATCCTCGCGCGATTGTTGAGTCCTGACCCAGGCGGCGGCTTGTCTGCCTCCTCGGTGTCCGGGTATACAGAACACTCCTGCTCGTCGAACCGTATGAGTTGGCCCAGGAGGCTGGACAACTTTGAGACGTTCGTCAGGTCCACAGGGTCTAGGAATTCGATCTGCCCATAGCCCTTCCGTCCAATCACCAACCCTTTGAACGCAACCAGCTCTTCATGTCCCATTCTCTTCAGCGTCTCGAGGTCAGGCTTCACCCAGTAGTCACCGTCCTGCAACTCTCGGGGCTTCGCTGCCTCTGCCGTCGCTGCCTCAGACGCGGCCGCAGCCTTGTCCGTGCCTTGCTTCCCCCCGAGTGCTGAGCTGTTAAACGGTTGCGCATTTTGAAACGCTGGCGATGGGGAGCCAGGTGCACGCGGAGCAGGTTTAGGCAGCTTCGCGGCAGCTGCTATCGCTGCTGCCTCTCGCTCCCGCGCTGCCACGCTAAGAGCGGAGCTAAAGACGACCTTGCCACCTGAACTCGACTTATTGAACAAGTCTGATGCGTCGACCCTTTTGTCCAAAACGAGTTTCTTCACGCTCTTCCTGGATCCGCTGCCCAAGGTTGGACTAGCGTTACCATTCGAGAGGAGTGCATCAGGACCAAGTGTGCTCTTCCCGTTGGCTGTTTTACTCAAGTTGAGCGCGTTCGGCTTGCTGGATTGGAAGAAAAGGCTGCTCCCTGCGTTCGGCGGACCCGGTGCAGCGTTGGTAGATCCATAGCCTCTTAACTTCGCTTGTGCAGGAACATAGCCCAAGCCTATTCGAGGAACCGGTGTTCTCGTGGGCACATCTGCGAAGAAACTCACTTTCTTCTTTGGCGGTGGGTCAAGGCTTATTGCACGTGGTCCGGGAGGGAAGAGGTTAAATATGGGTAAGTTCGACCCAATGGGTTGTGCGATTGAGGCGGTCAATGAACCCTGCGGATTCGGACCGAGAGCAGAGATATTCATTGGGTTGGTGGATGCACCCAGATTGTTGCTGAACAGACTACCTGTCTGACCTGTGGACGGAGTGGTGCCGAGTGTAGGTGCAGCTGGCTTGAACAAGTTACCAAAGCTGTTCGGCTGTGCATTCGGCTGCTGACCCAATGATGTGCCAAAGAGGCTGGTCTGCTGCGTCGAACTGTTATTGTTCTGCGCTGGCTGACCAAGGGTCCCACCACTAAACAGACTTCCAAGGGATCCCGTAGCCGGTGCGGCAGGCTTGTTGGTCCCGAACAAATTGAAGGCTCCGGGCTGAGCTGGCTGCTGCTGCTGTTGATTTTGGTTGTTGCCGAACAGTCCGCCACCACCGAAAGTAGACGTCTGCTGACCCGGTTGTGACCCAAAGACTGAGAATGAATAATGCGTGGTCAGGAATATGTGTAATGGCTGAGGATGTGTTACGTACGACCACCGCCCTGTTGAGGCTGCTGTTGCCCGGGCTGCTGCTGCTGTTGCTGCTGGTTGTTATTCCCGAACAACCCTCCACTGAACAGACTACCCTGCGGTTGGGTCCCTTGCTGCGGCTGCGTAGTCGGGTTCTGTTGTGTGTTCCCGAATGTGCCGAACCCTGTGGTCGGTTGCGTGGTCTGAGTGTTGCTAAACAACGATGGCCTCGGCGCATTGTTGTTGTTGGCTGTCAGGCTGTTAGAATCTGAGCGTCATCCAGATTGCCATATACTCGCCGAAAAGCCCAAATCCTGTTGTACCCTGTTGGGGTTGTTGTTGCGTCGGCTGTCCAAACGGATTCGTGCCGGTGGTCCCTTGCGGCTGATTGTTCTGGGGTTGACTGAAGGCACCAGTCCCAGTATTGCCGAAGGTACTGCCTGTGTTGCCTCCTTATATCGGTAAGTCACATGGCGTGGGTGATCACACAGCACAAAACATACCAAAGGCACTGAAGGGCTTTGGCTGGTTATTGTTTTGACCAAACGCACCCCCTCCAAACAACCCTGTTCCAGCAGTGTTATGCTGAGGTTGGCCTAACCCTCCGAAGCCTGTGGTCTGTTGCTGCTGCTGCTGCTGCTGCTGCTGCTGCTGTGGCTGCTGACCAAACGCATTCCCAAAAGCACTGGTAGTTGCTGGCGCAGTGTTGGTCTGACCGAAGGCGCCGAAACCGCCTGTCGTAGGAGCTGCGGGGGTGTTAGTCGCATTTGTATTGCCAAACCCGCCAAACATGGGATTTGCGGCGGGAGCAGGATTCTGAGGAGCTGGCTGTCCGAACATGCCGGTGGCAGGCTGAGAAGGAGCGCTAAATGCCGTCTGACCAAATGCGCCCGCCGTTTTCCGACCTTGCTGATAATCTTGCCAACGCAGCTCCTTCAGATCGGAAAAGCATGAGTGATTCGGGATGTGAACGCAAAACAGCACTGAGGGACTGACCTCGTGAGAGTAGCCACGATATGAGGGCATACACGATATGCTTTGGTATGCCACATTAGTGTTGGTGGAAGGATCCTTCTCATTGAACGCCCCATATAGCGGATTTGCAGTGCCCGTAGTCACTGAAGGCGCCACAGCCGCCACACCATCCGAGCCGGCTTGTGCTGTAGTGAATGATAAGAAATGCCTTATTCATAGTTTAGGATGGCATACCAGTAGTAATGGGGGTACCAAACGTTGGTGCAGGCTTAGTACCAAATACGCTACTCCCTCCAAATGCACCACCAGTACTCGTCGAGGGCTGGGGGCCAAATGCACTAGTTCCGGGGTTCGTCGATGCGTTATTAGGTGTACCGAAAGCAGACCCGCCGCCAAATGCGGACGTGCCTCCTCCGCTGAAAGCCCCGAACCCTGGTGCAGGCTTTGGCTGTCCAAAGAGGCCTGTAGAGGCCGTGTTGGTTTGCCCGAAGGCACCTGCTCCTATGATTCAGCGACTGTGTGAAGGACACAAGAATGAGTAAACGTACCAAACCCGCCGCCAGGGGCTGCAGTATTCGTGTTTGGCGCAGCCAGGTTGCCGAACATTGGGTTGGCTTGAGGTTGTTGCTGCGGCTGTTGCTGTTGCTGTTGCTGTTGTGGTTGGCCGAAAGCACCAGAGCCGAAACCTTGCAAAGAATTGACAGCTTAAGTAACTTTGCGTGAAGTGAGTCGAGTTTGACATTCACTGACCACCGGTCCCGAAACCTGAAGGCTGTCCGAACGCGCCCGGCTGCTGCTGTGGCTGCTGTGGGTTCTGCTGTGGGTTGGCCCACGAGGAAGATATGTTGTTGTTAAACATGGTGGTTAGCAGCCTCAGCTCGTGCTGCACGTCGTGGTTATTGTGGACGTCGTTGAACGGCGCGTCCGGACCATGCTTCGCGTCTTCAAGCGGAGATCCAATTCTCAGGCGTCTGGTGGCCCGCGGAGCTGGAAACGCGTCTTCACGCGTAAGCGCCTGTCGTCGCGCACAAGCGCACAAGATGCGCGTTTGATCGAGCGAAATTTCACTATACTCTCAGCGACTGCAACGATGCCGGACGGGTCTTCGCGCACCCCACTCCGCTCGGGGGGCACGTTCAACACTCTCGCCCGAGAACACCTGTTCAAAAACCCCCCTAAGGACGGCGCAGCCGTTCCCATCCTCAATGAATTTGTCACTCCGCACATTGAATCTTTCAATGCTTTATTCGACGACTCCGGTCTGCCTGCTGGGGATGGAGATGGGCGCGGGCTGCTCTCACTTGGTATCAAGGAGATTGGTGAGCGAGTCGTCTTTGACGGCAAGGGCGAAGTAGGATCGGAGAGTGGTCAAACTGGCTGGGGCAATCGTCTAAGCAGTGAGTATGCTACGTTCTGCAGCAACACTAACTGTCATTAATTCGTATATAGTGTGGTACGAGCAGGTTACAGTTGGGCGGCCGCAGGTTTCCGAAAAGGACCAGCAAGTCAGAGACACCAAGGTGTACCCTGCTGAGGTACGACGACCTGACATGTACAACATTCCCCCCCTAGCCGTACTCATCTTCTCCGTCCTGGTGATGCACACATGCAGGCGCGTGAACGCCTTACCTCGTATCGCGGTCGTATGATGGTCAAGCTGTGCTGGAGAGTGAACGACGGTCCCGTTGAAGTCGAAACGAAGGATTGCGGTTTACTACCCATCATGGTTCGGGTGCGTGAATCATGTCAATTCTGCAAGGCGGAAAACTCTTATCGCTTTCCTGCTGACTAGTCCACCCGCTGCAACCTGCGCGGAATGTCCTCCGCGGATCTTGTGAAGAAACACGAAGAACCAGAAGAGTTCGGCGGGTACTTTGTCATCAACGGTAACGAACGTCTTATTCGCTATCTCATTCTACCTCGCCGACACCATGCTATTGGTCTTGTTCGACCCTCTTTCACCAACCGTGGCCCTTCCTATACTCCCTATGCTGTACAAATTCGTTGCGTGCGACCCGACCAGACGAGTGTCACTAACACTCTCCACTATCTGTCAAATGGAAGTGCAATGCTACGATTCAGCTGGCGGAAGCAAGAGTATGTCGTTCCAATTATGCTCATTCTGAAAGCGCTCGTATCTGCATCGGACAAGGAAATCTTTGAGGGTGTAATGATGCAAGACTACGACGACACGTTCTTGACCGATCGCGTCGAACTTCTGTTGCGCAGCTTCAAGATGTACGAGTTGCGTACTGGAGACCAGTGCCTGGAATTCTTGGGCAACAAGTTCCGGGTCGTTCTGAATATGCCGGAGGATTGGACAAACAAGGCCATTGGTGTCTGGCTCGTCCAGAAAGTCATTCTTGTTCACCTAGAGTCCCCTCGAGAGAAGTTCCGGATGCTCCTGTGCGTGACAGCGAACCTTCATCCATTTATCGCAGCTCCTAACCATATACCAGTTTCATGCTGAGGAAACTATACGCTCTGGTCTCGAAATCATGTTGTGTCGATAACCCGGACTCTCCTCAGCATCAAGAAGTTCTCCTTCCCGGCATGTTGTATGGCATGATCATCAAGGAGCGACTAGAGGAGGCATTGAATGGTTTCTGGAGCGGGATTCGGCAAGACGTCCAGCGGTCCGAGGCATCTGTTGACTTCTTTGATAGTGCGCTTTCTACTAAACCTTAACGGACTATCCGCTGACTACTTTCTCAGAACGGTACATCAAGAAGGTCCTTGCCAGGACCAACTTCGACATCGGGGCGAGAATGTCAAACTTCTTGGCCACTGGCAATTTGGTATCCCCTTCCGGTCTGGACCTTCAACAAGCATCTGGGTTCACAATCGTTGCGGAGAAACTGAATTGGCAGCGTTACATCAGTCATTTCAGGTCTATCCACCGTGGTGCCTTCTTCGCTGAGCTCAAGACAACGACGGTCCGAAAGCTGCTTCCAGAGGCATGGGGTATGACCTTAACTTTAGATGTTGTAGCCAGGTATACTAATCATCATGTCCTACTGTAGGTTTCCTATGTCCTGTACACACGCCAGACGGTTCTCCGTGTGGTCTCCTCAACCACTTATCACGCACATGTCGTATCGTCACAGCACCACTAGCTGTTGCGCATATACCTGCCTTGCTAGCGGCGCATGGTATGACTCAAGCATTCATTCCCTTTGTCGACGGTCGCAAGAATCTGTGTGTGCAGCTGGACGGTCGGGTGGTCGGCTGGGCGCCCACTGCCGTTCTGCAGCGACTTGCAACATCTCTCCGAATATGGAAGACAGAAGGCAAGCACAACGTGCCCCTGGATTTGGAGATCGGGTTCGTGCCTGTGTCGCACGGTGGACAATACCCTGGGCTGTATCTATTCTCTTCCCGGGCACGCATGATGCGTCCAGTGAAGTACGTCGCGAATGGACGAGACGACCAGATTGGCTCGTTCGAGCAGGTCTACATGGACATAGCATGCACGCCCGAGGAGATCGAACAGAGTGTGTCAACCCATGTCGAGCATGCACCAACAAATTTCTTGTCTATCTTGGCCAACCTCACCCCTTTCTCCGATTTCAATCAGGTATGGAGCAAGTGCGCATTGACATCATGGGATCGTTTGCTAACTGATCATGCAGAGTCCCCGAAATATCTATCAGTGCCAGGTATGGACATGTAGTGACGTCAGTAGCGTCGCACATACTCACATGGGATTTTGCAGATGGGGAAGCAGACGATGGGAACTCCTGCGACAGCTATTCAGCACCGAACAGACAACAAGCTGTACAGGCTCCAGAGTGGGCAGAGCCCCGTTGTGCGACCCGCCCTGCATAATACATATGGTATGGATTCCTTCCCGAATGGCACCAACGCCGTCGTTGCCGTAATATCCTATACGGGGTACGATATGGAAGACGCCATGATTCTGAACAAATCCGCACATGAGCGAGGTTTCGCATACGGTACTGTGTACAAGTCGTATACGGTAGATCTCAAAGACATGCCTGGAGCCCCGCGGCACTCAACGTCACCGACGCTGCACTTCGGCTTTGGCTACGACATCAGAACTGAAGGGGAGAAGCAACATCCAAATTGCGAGTTCTTGGACCTCGATGGAATCCCCTTCATCGGTGCTCGACTGTCTCCTGGCGACCCTATCGCTGCCTACGTTGATGACACCACTGGTCGAACTAAGTTCGTCAAGTACAAGGGCGACGAGATAGCATACGTTGACACAGTACGCATTATATGTAAGTGATCCCAGTATATATACTGCAACTTACTGTTTGGCTGACACTGATCTTCAGGCGCCGATGCTGGCGACGCGGAACTGCAGAAGATCAACCTCACGCTGCGAATAACGCGTGCCCCCGTCATTGGAGACAAGTTCTCCTCTCGACACGGGCAAAAGGGTGTCTGCTCACAGAAATGGCCGGCCATCGACATGCCATTCAGTGAAAGCGGCATGCAGCCAGACGTTATCATCAACCCGCACGCTTTCCCGAGTCGTATGACTATCGGCATGTTAGTCGAGAGTATGGCAGGCAAGGCGGGCGCTATGCATGGTCTGGCGCAGGACGCCACTCCTTTCCAGTGAGTGGTCGTTTTACTGCACTCCGCTCTAGCAGCACTGACTGGAGTCACTAGGTTCACAGAGGAGGATACGGCAATCGACTATTTCGGCGAGCAACTGCTCGCGGCTGGCTACAACTACTACGGCAATGAGCCGATGTACTCTGGCATTACGGGCCAGGAGTTCGCGGCTGACATCTACATCGGCGTCGTGTACTACCAGCGTCTGCGACACATGGTGTTGGACAAGTTCCAAGTGCGGACAACAGGTCCTGTCGACCCCGTTACAAGACAACCAGTGAAGGTGCGTCTCGTGCTGTCTCCCATCATGTATCCCGCTCACAATCAAGCACGCAGGGACGTAAACGGGCAGGTGGCATCCGTTTCGGCGAGATGGAGCGTGACGCGCTCATCGCGCATGGCACCTCCTTCCTCCTCCAAGACCGTTTGATGAACTGCTCCGACTACTCGACCGCTTGGGTCTGCCGCACCTGTGGCAGCCTCATCTCCCTTGGCTACGATGACGTCAGCCTCGGCGAGATGGTCGTCGGGGCCTCTGGCAAGCTCAAACCTACCGGGCCTGGTGGCGAGTACTGCCGCGTATGTCGCGCCGCAGCGGAAGGGGAAGACGCGCGCGCACGGCAGGCTCTTGCGAACGGAGAGAACGGGCGCTCGGCGGCGCACAGCGACCTCAGGGTGGCAATATCGTCGCAGCATGTGCTGGGGCCTGCTACAAAAGGAGGGGAACTCGACATCGTCGCCGTCCCCTACGTCTTCAGATACCTATGTGCGGAGTTGGCGTCGATGGGCATCGCTATTTCACTGGAGGTCCGGTAGCGCTTCTCACCCGCTGTAGTGTCTTGGTTTCTCTTGCTGTCGTTCATCCGGACATCTAGCACATCGCACCGCTCGCACATCGGCAACCATCAGGTCTTCCATTACTGTACTATGTGCACGCACGTTCTAACCAGAGCTGCAAAGAGTAAAAGTAGGCATAAATCACACTAAGTATATGAGACGCTGTTCAGCAAACAGGGAAAGAGAGTCTGGGTCAGTTATAGGAAAGCAAACAGTGGTATCCCGGTATGTAACGCGGACAAACGAATGGATAGTACGCTAGAACACGAATGTAGGTGTGGGATAAACATAGTATGGAGGGGGGGCACATGGCGATTCGAAAACGCATGATACGGTATATTACTTATGTATGAGCACGATGGGCGAAGTCGGCTCGTCGACGAGGGTGTCCTCCGTAGTCGACTGCGCGATGCTCCGCGTACGTTTGAGCACTGCAACTGACGGGTCGTAGCACGCCATCGAGGGCGAGGGAAACGCCTTGCCCGTGCCGTGGAGGTCCAGCTTCGCCCCCGCCGGGATATCCACGCCGCTCGCGCCCAACCCCGGGTCGCCGCCGAGGAACAGTTCCACGAGGGAGCACTCCAGCTCGCTCAAGCTCGTCAGCTTCCTGTCATCGAGCGGTGGCGGCGCAGGGAAGTCGGACGCGTCCACCGCGACGGCGCCATACGGGTACCCGTGTCGCGCGAAGAACATGTCTATGAGCAGCCGGCACTCGTCCGCGCTCGTCGCCGCGGCGAGCAGCCGCCGCAGGTCCGCAACCGCCGCGGACGTGATCCCGGTGCGGAGTTTCGACGACCGCCTGCTCGACTTACCCGTGGATGGTGTGGGCGACGCAAGCGGTAGAGGAGCGGGTCCAGCGTCGCTTTCAATGGGTGACGGAGGTGGCTTGCGCGGGATGGGGGAGCGCCGGGGTGTTGGCGGGGAAAGGAGTCTGGGTTCGCCGTCCTTGGGACTGGGAGTCTTCATGCGCCCGTTCACAGGTCGCGGCATGGACGTCTGTATCGACAAGGTGCGCTGGCGCGGCCCATCGTTTTCGGAAGAGTGCTGCTCCCCGGGACTGCTATCTCCATTTCGATGAGGGCGCAGACCCTGAACCTCGCCTCGCACCGAGCCATTGCGAGATGGGGCAGAAGTATCTGAGTCTGTGGTTGCAGAGCGAGCGGGGACGGGGGGACGCTCGGCACCACCGTCTCCCCAAGGCGGGACAGCCTTGCGGACACTACCGCCGCGTCGCGGGGAAGGCGTGCGCTGGCCAGACTCCTCAGGTACAGATACTTGCGATGTCGCCGAAAGGGAACGGGCCTGCATAGGCGGTGCGCTAACAGCAGACGACGGCGATCGGACACTGGGAGACGTGACCAAAGGTTCAGGCGACACCGGGATCGGCGGCGGCTGCACAGAGCGAGGCGAGCTGATCACCACACTGGGGAAGGACCGCTTCGATGCGAGAGAGGGCGGCCTGTACGCTGGCGGTGGGGGAATGTTGCTCGTGCTGGGCTTGCGCCCGAGCGAGCGGGGCGTCTTGGGCGTTCTCGGCGTATCATCGCTGTGGCCGCCCATCTTCTCCATGGACCCGCCGATAGTGAGGCGCGACATCATGCGCGAGAAGCGCCCCGAGCGGCTCTTGGATGAATCGAAGGACAGCACGCTCGCGTTCGCCATCGACGGCCGCGGGGGATCAGCATCCTCTGGCGGGCCCTCGTCGAGGAACGCGATAAGCTCGCGCGCGGACTGGGAGATGTACGGCTGCCTCTGCGATGCGATACTGGCGGGAGCGCCGTGGCGCGGAGCCTTTGAGCGCACACTTATCTCTTCGACCTGATCCTCTGCCTCGTCCCCCTCCCCTTCCGACCCGCCCATGATGTCGTCGAGGTCGATCGACTCACGGTTACGCACAACCTTGCGCATGCGCGCAGGCACACCGTTGCTGTTCTGGCGGGACGCCGAGCGTTGTGGGCCGCGCGTGGGAGAGGTGATCTGGGACGGGGGCTTCTGGCTGGCGGTAGACGACGAGCGGGACATGGTGTCGTGGCGGGGATGGGGCATGTCTGAGATGGAGATGGAGCGCGTGCGGTTAGCAGAGGAGGGAGGTGAGCGCGCTGAAAAGCTCTTGCTGCTCTGGCGGGTACGGGGGAGGGGACTGGCGGATCCGGTAGAACCAGGGACAGGCGCACTAGCAGCCTCTTCCTCGTCTTCGTTGATCGAGTCCACGTGGTGCAACACTGGGCGTCCCACACTCGATGGCGCGCGCGCTCGCTCACTCGCTCCCACTGTCGGCGACGGCGTGCTGGCCGCAGTCTCGCCCTCGCCACCACGCTCGCTGCCCTGCCCGTCTTCGCCCGTGCCTCGCTGGCTCGCGCGCAGAGCCCGCGCGCGGTTGTGCGCCTGCCAAGACCGTCAGGGCCCATCAGCGATTCCCCCTGGTGCCACACTCACCTCCATCGACTTGAGCCTCTCCGGCGTCAGCGAGACCTTCATCGTCGCCCCCGAGCGCATGAGCTCGTCAAACTCATGCAGGAGATCGTCGTCCTCCTGTGCCGCGACGCGCCTTTCAGTGCTCTGCCGCCACGCGACGGTGGCTGAATGAAACTCCGCACCTCGAAATCAGCGGACCCCCGGCTCCTGCCGCCATCGCTTGAAGGCCGGGAGATCTCCAGCATAGATTCCTTCTCGCTTGACGACCGGCTGTGGCTCAGCAACTTGCGCTTCAGCGACCCAGCTCGCCCTCGGCTCTTCTCAAGGGACATACGCCGCTCCGACGTCCCAACCGCCGTCACCGTTATGTTCGACCTGAGCGACTCGCTACGCGCGTGTGCCACAGGCGAGTCGCGGATCTCTGACGCCGTGGGAGTTGGCGACACGACGCGATCGCTGTTACGCGAAAACGACTTGCTTCGCCGCGGTCGTTGCGCTTTCGTCAGCTGCTCTATCTGATCATACGCTGTAGCGTATACGCCATCATCAGAATCCCTTCTCTGACATGCCTAGGGTGTCCCCCAGCCGCCGAAACAAATTCTGAAACATACCTTTCATGGTTTTGAATGTGCCGTAGATCGCGTCGTCTTCGCACAACGCAGTGAAAAGATCTTGCGAATTCGCGATGGCTCGGCTGCTATCGCGGGCAGTGACACTGCTGACATTTGATAGGACATGCCTGCGCATTGTTAGATGGTGTCGCCTCATGTTCTGTCATCAACTCCTCCCTTCCTGACAGAAATAGATGACAGATCGGGATTGAGAATCATCGCAAAGAATATCTTGTGGCAAAGCCTGAGATGCATGGTGCCTATGATCATGTCTTTCAAGAGTCGCGTCCCGTACCATTTCGGTAACGAGATGCGGCTCGTACGCGAAGCAGATACGTAGAGTAATGCCCAACGAACTCGGCTCACGTAGGAGACGAGATCGGCTAGACACCCGTGGAGCATCAACGAGACAGTCTCTGCAGAGACAATGTGTGTCGGCAGGATTTACGCGTCCACGTCGTCCAGACAACTGCCATGATGTCCGAACGGCAATCTGGAAATTAGCCACGACCGTTCTCGGGCTGCCGTTGACACCCTAGGTTAAAAGCCAGGAGCAGCTTCCCACCCACGCGCGAAATTGCCATCAAGCTGTCCGGACGACTCGACGGCCATGAGAGATGGCCACCGTCATGTACATGGCATCGGACAGCTGAAGGGGCAACCATCCGACGAGTGTGCGACATTGCAGGCGCACCACACATGAAACTTCGACACTCTTAGAGTGAAATGGCCTGCCACTAAGAGGCGGCAAGAGCGGTGATAGGACATGATCTATATGTCGCCTGCATACGAGGCCCTGCAAACGCCTGTGTCTGTAGGCACTACGTGGGGCCTCAGACATTGCTTCGAACATTCTGTCGTGCGCAACAAGCAAGCTGGGTGCCCAAGAAAGAGAGGAGACGAGGCAGCCACGTACGTGCCGGCAAGAGCAGACCAGTTTGCATAACCCCGCGCGTGCAGGGATTGCTCACTGGCATACGAGCTGTGCTTGGCTTTCACGCCACCGGCAGCGCGTGCGAGAACATCCATAAGGACCAGGCCCGCAGACAAACGTTTCCACAATCCGATGAACAAGCCACAATGACCCAGTGTCAGTCAGACCAGACTGATGCGGCTGTGGGTCCCGAGCACCAAGAGAGTAGGGAGGTGGGGTTGATGACAGCATATGTTCGCGGATTCACTCACCCGCATATCGCTCTACTCGCGAGAACATGAGCACACCGATAAGCCAGACGATGGTGACACGTACTCTAGGATGGCAGTCAGATATAGCGCTGCAGGAGATACGTCTGACGGCTTGGGAGCATTGTGTGCGCCGCGCGCCTCCATGCGCTCTCGAAGTCGAGTCTCCGCGTCGGCGTCCTCGTCCGCGTCGTTGAGGGTAGAGTATGCCACGCATTTAAGGCGCAGCAGCTGGGCAGCAGAAGCGAGAGACGTTAGCAACGCGGGGCCGAGTCCAAGAAGCACTGCTTTGCGATCACCTCGAAGCTCCACAAGAGGTCGAATTCACCTTCAGCGGCGGTTGCCGACCGGGACGACGAAGACGACAACGACGACGCGCGCCTGATGCGCTCCCAGTACGACTTGAGTTCGACTTCCGCCTCGAGCAGGGCGTCCTTGCCCAGGTTCGTGGGTACCAGCTTCAGTAGCGCCGCCCGAAGACGTTCAGGCACCAGTGCGCGCGCACCAGACAGGATGGAATAGAGCAGCTCATCGAGGAATACGTTCACGGCCTGCAGCGTATCATGGGCGAGTCGAATGAGGCGCACATCGGAGAGGATGGTGTCTGCAGAGCGCGCGGAGATGTACGTCGGGCTAATGGCGAAAGACAAAGACATGAGTGCCGGCCCAACGCGCGACACAGTAGGTGTATGCCCGGACCCTCGACAAGGTCCTAATTTCGGGCTTCAGATCTCGGAGCTTCAGCTTCAGAGACGGCGAGCTGCAACGATTGCGAGCATGGAATACGCAGCGAGAGAGGGGATAGCAACACCGCGCCCGCGGTAGCGATGGGTAAACCCAATCACGCTCCTGGCATGCTCGATCTCATCTATCATGTAACGATCGTCCCGCCGGCATAGTATCAGCACGCGCTCTTCATCCCCTCACACACGACGACATGTCTTCTCGGGGCCCATTATATCAACTAAGCTACATACGTACCGTACAACGCCCGTGTATTCACACAGACATCCCCACCATATCCTGGTCTTCCGCCTTCTCTTCCGTCGCCAGTACCGTCCACCCGGGCAACGACTCACGCTGCTCGTCTCTTGACTGATGGTGCGATGGGCTCTCAACGAAGCTGACCACCGCGTCCGCCACCGCCTGGGCAGCCTCGCTCCCACCCTGCCCCAAATCAGCTATCTCACCCACGTCCGGCGTTGTCATCCTACTACGCGCCGCAGGCCACTCCAGTCCGTGCGCATAGAGCAGCTCGACGTCATACATCTCCTCCTTCACTTCCTCGTCCTCCCAGTCCGGCGGCGGGAACAGCACGAGCCCCTCGTCGATCAGGCGCGTCGTCTCGCCCGACGGGATATCTTCGCAGCGCGCCCTGAGCAGCTTCCCCGGCGCGATCCCGTCGTACTCGTCGTGCGCCATCCGCCGCCGCGCCTCCAGCTGCGCCGCGGGGACCTCGCCCTCTTCAACGGCCCGGACCATGTCCGCCATTTGTCGAGCCGTGCGCGAGGGCACGCCCGCATGGACCCTCCGGCCGGTCCACCGGAATGACGCGATGTTCTCGAGCACCTGTACGCGTGTGAGGATGAGAAGTGTCGCATGGCGTTCAACTGAGGTCACACCTGGGCGCCGAGCCAATGATGCCGCTCTTTCGAGACGGCCTTGTGTCCGACTGGCATAGGAATGGCCATATATGTTGGCATCTTGGAAGGCAATGGCACCAGCTGTTGTGGAGCAGGCTGGAAGGGCGCAGGAGTCGCCTTCAGTGGCTGGTTCTGGTGCCTGAATGTGTTGTGGTGTTGGAATAACTCTTTCGAAGACGAATGTGATCGGTCGCAGCCTGTGTGACTATTAGCTTGCAGCATAATATATGGTCGTAGTGCGCTACCTTTGAAAGCACAGTACATCGGCAGCGAGGCATGCTTAGTGAGGTGGTGCCGTAGCAGCTGTCTCGTCGAAAATCTACGGCCGCACCCTTTCCACTCGCACATGTACGCGCCCTTGCGGTAGTCAGAGTCAGCCGACTACAGCACGATTCAGCATCAGCACACATACTGCGTGGTTCTTCTGCGCGTGTTGCACGACATGCTGGATCAGCTTCATCGTGCAGTTCAAGAATGCGCCACAGCCTCTCCACCGACACGGCGACTCGCGCAGGCGCGTGTACGACAGCTGCACGGCCTCCATCTGCAATTGCTCTGCGACGCATACGTGAGGCTAGGTACATGCAATCACATTATGGGATACAGACCTTGCTCGTCTCGCTCCTCGTCTGTCGCTACATAAACCACAAGCGCGGTCATGATCAGCTCGTCGGCCGTGCATCATTACCACGCACCGTCACTATCGCGATCCAGCTGCTCGTCCTCATCCTCCTCGTCCCCGACGATGACAACCGACATGCTACGCGACCGGCGTACCTGCTTTCCCGCTCGCTTCTCCTCTCGCGCCTTGTATCGCTGTGCCCATGTCGGGAGGGGCGGCGCCAGAACAAAGACTTCGCTTGAGCCACTCCCAGTAATACTTCGCGACGTTGACTTTGCGCTCGAGGCCGGCTTCACCATGGACTTTGCAGGCGGGTCGGCGTACTCCAGCTCATCGTCGCTCAGGATTTGCCTCATCCTGCCCTTCCATTTGTGCTTCACGGGACTGCTGGTGGAGGCTGCCCCGGGACCCAAAAGACTTGTGTCCAATACGAAAGGTTCCATGGACATGTCTTCGTCCGTGTCCACGTCTGCATACCCCGCGCCCGGAGAGCTCTTGGGGGATGGTAGGAACAGCGGTGTTTGCTCATACGACAACCCGACCTCTTGCGACATTTCCTCGTCAACCGCTGTCGACGCCTCGGCCGCATGAAGGGTAGGCGAGACAGAGGAAGACGGTGGCGGCGCGGTCGCCGATGCCTCCGAAGTTCGACTGGATATTGCATTGTGGTGGGCACCGGTTTGCGCACCTTCATTTGTGGCGCCACTGGATGTTGGCAGGCCGTCCAGCGCACGCATAGCGTCCGTAAGAACAGAGACAGACGCTGCGAAATTGTGAGCCGCCACGAACAAAGGATCGTTAACGAGGCTGCGCGGACCTGCCTGCACAGGAGCGTGTCGCTCCGGCTCGTCGTCGTCGTCTTCCTCCTCCTCTTCCTCCTGCCGTAGCGCCGTCATATCCGGCGCGGAACTCTCGTTGCCGCTTTCATCACCCACTCGTCCATTCTCCACATTGACACGCTGCCACACTTCGAGCTCCAGAGCGCCATCTGTGGCGATCTCCACAACCTCAGGAGATTCTCGTCTCTGCTTCTTCCGCAGTGATGGCGAAGCAGTCACCAGCGCAGACAAAGACTCCGTCCTCTTCCTCTTTGGCCCATCCGCGGCGTCAACCGGCGGTGTCGCACGCACCTCGGCGGGCTGCACGATGGTAGGTGGCTGAAACGAGGACGGTTGGCTGACAAACGGTTGGCTAGCCGGTGGCTGGGAGGAAAGAGGTCGACTGATGGACGGAGGACCATCAGTAGGTTGGCTAGTGGAAGGCTCGCTGCGAGGCCGCTGGCTTGAGACCATGGTGGCGACTGCAGTTGTGTCTCTCGGGCGACCCAGCGAGCGCATGATATCCTGCGCGAGACGGCTCTTGTTTGCCTTGTTCGGCGTCCAGGGACTGCGTGGCCTGTCGGGAACCTGCGTCGCAGATGCATCACTGGCAGCCTGGGAGCGCATGGCGCCAGTTTGTGGTGAAGCAATCGGAGCTGTAGACGCGGGCATCGAGTTTTGATTTGTAGTCGCAACGGGCTGGGGACGAGGTTGCACATCTTGCGGTTCAATGATGACGATATCGGGACTCGTAGAAGTGCGAGAGACAGGCGAAGGACCTCGTTGGCTGGGAGTGGTTGCTGTTGGAGTGCGCAGAGGTAGCTGGAGATGGAATGCAGGCTTTAAATGAGATGGTGGAAATGTATCGAGTGGAACATTTGGATTGGATGGTATGGGACCACTAGGTGGCATGGTACTTGGGGTACCTTGGATCCAGGAAGTTGCATTTATTGGAATTGAGCTTGTCGTGGAAGATTGAGGAACAGAGCTAGAAAATGACTGTGTCTGGGCAGCAGATCCACTTAGCTGCACAACAGGCACAGCAAGTCCTTGAGGCACATTGAAACCCAAGGTAGAAGCTGGGTTGAGGGTAGGTTGCATATGAAGACTTGATGCAGTATTAACAACTGGAAACTGCTGAGCCTTGGTGTTCACAGTTGCTGAGTTGCTGAGATTAGACTTGATCCTTCTGATGATCTCAACAACAGTGGCAGGACTCAGAGCCTGCAAAAACACATTGACATCCAAGTAATGTAAGAATTTGTAATTTGTAAGCCACGCACCTCTAGTTGTTTGAAGACATATTTACTAATGAGGTTAATCTGATTCTTTGTGGGTTCTGGTAGCTGTTTTTGGACCCTAGCCAGACTGTCACTATGAACAGTCCCAGCAGGAAGATCCCCTTTCATGCTGTCCAAGACAGACAAAATGATATAGTCCACAATATTTGATCTCAGTCCCTATGCATGGTGTTCAGCATTAACAAGCCACTGGTGGGTGAAAGATTACCTTGAGGATATTGAAGACCCTTTCATAGACCTCATTGTCCTCGTGTGTTGAAGACACCTTTTTGGCTTGATAGGTATGGGTGACTTTAGGATTGCTATTATCTCCAGCTGTAGAGCTCATGGCAGTGCTTTGGGTTGGCTGTGGCTGCTGTCTATGGGCAGTGTCTTGTCACAAGACTGTGAGAACCTAGTCACATAAGGTATGACAAGACCATTTTATTTACTGTTGTTTGTCCCATGGAAGTTTTGAGAAGCTTGATGAGCAGGAAATGTATGGGTGCCAGAGTTAGCAAATTGGGATACTGGCTGTCCTTGAGCCGTCTGGTAATGATATTGACCCTGGGAATGACATGTCACGACACGTAGCAACTGAATCTAGTGTCTCTTACATGTGCTTCATATGAGATTCCCGTAGACGGTACATGCTCCCTGTAATACGGTTGCTGTTGAGGGGTAGCGGCCTGAGATCGATAGTATGGCGACTTTGAGGTCTGTCGTGACGGGCCAGAGACCTGAACACTTCAGTCAGCATACGAGATTACTGAACGAGATACTTTGCTGACCCCATGCAAGACGCGGCCGCCTCGAGTCGGCTCTCCCAAGCCACTATTTCCCGGGAGGTTGTTTCCAACCGAAGTGGGCCAGGTCTGACTGTTTGCCGCTACCGACGATGCTTGCGCAGGAGAGGGTGCGGGAAGTAAGCCCCTGTTGCCAACATGAGCGACGCTTGACTACATGGCAATCAGATTCTTACTGGACTTGAGGATTACCCGTCTGGAGCTGAGCAAGAATTTGCCTGTAAACCAAGTTTCGCCATTGGCACGCCGCAGGAAGCTCAACCGAGGACTTACTCTGCCTGGCGACCTTCTTCTACACGCCTTAACAGCTCCTGCTCCTGCGCGACAAAATTCTGATAGCCGGACTCCAAATCCCGTGTATAGTTGTCGAGTTGGGCGCGAGCGGCATGAACCTGGGCCATATGCCTCATGTACGCCTCGCGAGTTACGAGATAGTTGGTGGCGACGGGCAGATGCCTCTGGTCTGAGTTGTTGTTGCTTTGACCATTGTTCATGGCGAGGCGCAGGCAGGGGAGAGAAGTGCGAAAGCAAGATGCAAGTGACTGAGAGCTAGAGCGAGATGGAAGCAAGCGCCGCACAGGAACTTCGGGCGTCTATCTGACGCGTCGCGTCGCGTGCAGGCATGACGCACTGAGTTGTCCCAACGCCTCGCGTCCGTCAGCTGCTCACGATGTTCACGGCACTGCTCGCGTCACGCCGTGCTACGCCGTGCATTCACCGCCAAACACGATTATATGCTGCTGTTTCCGCCTCATCACCCATAAACCCTCACACTGTTGGACCATACAGGATCTTTGACCGTCATGCTAAGCGACGACAGAAAGATCGCTCGGCTCTCCGAGAAGCAGGAGTGCGGAGTCGGACGGTCGACTATGTGAGAGATGAAGTTGCAGATAGGATGATTGAGCGGTTACTGGTGCGCCATCCCCAATGTCAACCTATTGACAGCATATTCACTGCGTTGCACAGGATATCAAAAGGAAATTTAGCTCCATACTTGATGTCGGTTCTGGGCCAGGACACTTTTCCAAGCTCCTTGAATCGCAGACTACGGATAAGGTGGTAATGCTGGACTCGAGTGGTACGTATAGCCGTCTAGTTAGCGTCCTCCACGTTCACAAATGAAGACCATATCTCTTAGAACACCTACTGTGCCGGGATCCCGACTCTGACTTTGAAGGTATGTTAACATGCCGGCATATTATAGCGCATTGTTCTGAGTGGCTTTATAGTCGAGGTCGAGCGCATACACGCCGATGAAGAAAGCCTGCTCAACGTAATACCACCTAACTCCCAAGAGGCCATCGTCTCGTGTCTGAGTCTACACTGGATCAATGATCTTCCAGGCAGGATTCTATGTCACGGAAAGCAAAGAGATATCTTGACATAAGTACGGCGATATACAGGTATTCTTGTACAGATCAAGGAAGCCCTCCAGCCGGATGGGGTATTTCTAGGGGCCTTATTTGGCGGAGACACATTATTTGAGCTTCGGTATGGACTACATATACCCTCATCCCTTCCCGTGACCTAAAATTATCTATAGGACTTCCCTTCAACTTGCTGAGATGGAGCGCGAGGGCGGTATATCCCCTCATATCTCTCCTATGGCCGGTAAATACATCTCTGGCCTATACATTCGAACTTGGCATTTATCAAATATTCTGCAGACTCCCGCGACGTGTCGAACCTGCTCGGCCGTGCAGGATTCACGCTGCTCACGGTAGACGTAGACGAAGTGAAAGTAGCCTACCCCTCAATGTGGGAACTTATGGAAGACCTGCGCGACATGGGCGAAAGCAACGCTGTCATAGGGCGGTAAGTAAAGTATCATGAAGAACGCCTAGTCAATGACCCATCCATCCCCGTAGGCGCAACTATATACACCGTGATACGCTTGCTGCAGCCTCAGCAATTTACAAAGGTGTCGTGTACGGCGCATGATTGTCGATCCTATGCTTAAGGCCAGCTGTAGAGCTACATGAAAATGAAGATGGCTCCATACCCGCGACATTTCAGGTCATCTACGTGGTACGTACCAGCATGTTGTATAGGTGCCGAGCTCAACCGATAACCGATCACAGATTGGCTGGAAGCCGTCGCCAAAGCAGCCGAAACCACTCGAGCGTGGCACCGCTGAAATGAATCTGAAGGAAATATTGTGATCACAAAATCCATCATTGCATATTGCCTCAGGAGCAAGACTCGTTCAGCTCTGTGTTAGTCACACCTTCGTCATGCCCACTCCGTGGATCGTCCGCCTCATCGTCCTCGGCGTCCTCTAATGTCCGTTCGTCGAGCACTATCGCACTCTGTATATCGTCAGCATCTTCGCCTCCATCCTCCGCATCTGCTTCCCCATCATCTGCATCTCCCTGACCCTCCGCCGTATCCCCGGCTTCACTCACTTTGCCCCCCTTCCCTCTTCTGCGCCCTTCCTGGAACTTGCGCTTTGGCACGACTGCCCACAGAGCCTTCTCCCAATCACGGGTTTCGACCCAACGTAGCAGGATCTCGAATGCTTGGTTCACCGTCAGCACTTTGCGCGTGCGCAACTCCGCGAGATATGTCCCGATTGGTAGGCGAGCTGCACGAATGCCGCTCTCGCGTGCTTTGTTGAGACAGAGGCTCTGAGCAAGGTGAGATGAGTGCGGATGAGACAATGCCGCTTAGCATACGAGGGACACCGGGAACGGAAGGCGAGACAGATATGCTGTACATACCTTGTAGCGATTGTGGTCGCAGATTCCCCCGATGATATACGTCTCGTCCTCCCTGAGCTCTGTCAGCTCCTCGTCAGCGTCCGCGGTGAGGTATACGACGCTCTCTTTTGCTGCAGTCGCGCGCTGTCGTTTACGCCCGTGCGTGTTCCCTCCGTTCGAAACGTCGTGTTGTCCTTCTGCGGTGGATGTCTCCCCACATTCTGCCTTTTCCGCTATTTCTTCAGCGACTGCAATTGTATCGTTACCCTCGGCGTCCGGCGTCCCGCCCCACAACGCCTCGTACCCTTCCGTCCAAAACTCAGCGGCCACCCACCGCTTGTAAGCCGCGTCGCTCATGGCCTCCATGCGCGTCAGTGTGCGTCCATTCAGTGAGGTGAACAACAACAACGAGAACGAGGGGTCTGAACGCTTGTTCGCACTGTACGTGTATGCAAGCTGAGACGTGAGCGACTTGATCTCCTGTGCCCCGCCGCGACGTCAGAACCCCCTGCGCCCACTACCAATGCACACCAACCACAGCCGGACGGACTCACGTTCTCCGTCATCATATCGTCGAAGCCCAGGTCCACGACGACGCGCGCCCCAAACGCCGTCCGCGGGCCCTCGCCTGTACGCCGCTTCTTGCGTGCGGCCTGCACGTCCTGTGCGTCGAGCTCGCCCGCCGCGCGCTTCTGCGCAAGGAGGCGTTTCTTCTCCTTCTTGCGCTCCTTCTCGGCCGCACGGCGCTCCAACTTGAGCTCTGCCGTGCGTGCTGCCCTGGCGAGCTTTTTCTGCGCCTTCTTCGAGAGAGGCTGGGTTGGCGCGGGTTCAGAGGGCGCGCCGCTAGTCTCTGGCGTGGGTAGTTCTGTTGTAGGCATGGAGCCAGGAAGCGCTAGACATCCCGCCTCCACTACTATTTCTGCCGAATTTTCCATGCTCTAGAGGCGGCTGCGAGTGGAAGCAGAGGGATTGGCATGGAGGTGAAAAGGTCGGATGCACCGATCAGTACTCCTATCGGCGCCCACATTATCTTATCTATTCCCATATTTGCTCATGAAACACATCGTCGAGGGTGACTTTGAGGGTACACACAAATGATCAAGAAGATGGTAAGTACATGTGGACCTATGCTTAGATCAACTACTATTAGTGGTATACGTATATTCAGTACTCAGGCCAATCTTTCCGAGGTCATTCCACTTCATCTGCATCGGTGCCAGTACTGGGCTCAGGCGGTGGCCGGAAGCACCTTCTTCAGCCACTCCTTGAGGTCGCGCAGTTCTTCATTGCTTGTTGAATGCGGTACGTCCTCATACGAGTTGAACAACAGGCCACCCTTTTCTGGCGCCGCCGCGTCCGCAGGCGGGATGCCAAGTTCCTTCTTGAGAAAATCGGCGGAGCGGACACCAGAGCTGAACTCAACAAGCGGGTCATCCTCGCCGTGCCCCCAGAACCACGGCGTGAGCTTATTAACAAATGTAGCCATCTACGGATTACCTCAGCGCTTTAGTCTAACTAGCGAGAACAGAAAGTCTGGCACATACCGTCTTCATTCTGTCGGGTAAGGGGAGGTAGCCGCTCAGAACGGCGACTCCACCGAATTTGCGTTCTGAGGTGAGCCCGGTGAGCAGGCTCAAAGCGCCACCCTGGCTGAAGCCACCGATGAGGATACGATCTGGTGAAATGCCCTCATCGACCTCTGAGTCGACGAGCTTGTTGATATAGGCAACGGATCGCAGCATCCCGGTCTCATCCTCCTGTGCTCTGGGCCATTCGAATCCGAGGATGTCATACCTACAGCACCGTGATCAGCCGCCCCAAACGGAGAAAACAAAGGACAGAGGGCACCATGCTGGCATCTCCACCCTCCGGTTCGCTGTAACTGGCACGGTTGGGCTTGAGGAATGGATCGATTCGTTATCAGGTTCAAGATTGGAGGAGGATGCTCACGCGTGTGGGAGGATCCACTTGACATGGTGTAACGCCGAGTCCGTGCTGAACATGTCCGCGACGGGCTTCCATCCATACCCTGTGTCGCCCAGACCCTGAACACCGCAAATTCAACGAAAAAATCAGCTGCCTGCCGAGCGCTCTCATCAAAGAGATAACAGACGTGAAGAAAGATGATGGTGGCGGTATGTTTTGCGCGAGGGTTCACTATGATGGGCTTGAGATACTGGAGCGCTGCCATGTCTGGAGATTGGTGCACCAAGAAGGGAATAGTGGGCACGGGGGTGGAGTGGGTGGAGGTGAGGTAGAAGTAGAGGACGGCAGCAATAGCGGCGAGGAGGGAGACCTGGGAGACAAGTCGGAGTCGGAGGATGGCGGAGAACATGCGACGCCACACAGAGTCGTCACTACCATCACCGATCCGACGTCCGATCCGCGATACCACTTGCCCGTGATATTTCCACCCGGCTCACAGGCAGGACTTTGCAAGATGGTGGAAAAATATATCGTACAAACGTGCACACCAAGTACAACGTGGACACTATCGGCGACATGAACGAAAAAATGTACGCTTCTACGGAGATCTCCCAAACACCTTCGAGCCCTTCTGATAACGTTCCAGCTCACTCTCGTGCGCGTGCCGTGGGGTAAGGTTGAGAGACAAGCTTCGCCTAGTCTCGATCACGAATGGACACTCTGGGCCCGATCGAGATCATTGAGGATGATGCGGTCACCGATTATTCAAAATCAAACAACTTTTCATTTACGCGTTGTTACACAACAGTGATATCCATAATTCATACACATACATATCAATAAAAGGGTATCAAATCTGACATCCACACATTTGCACGCATGAGGGAAGAGAAATACACACTCGGCGTGTCCATAGCCGACCAATCGAGCATCATTTTCGTGCCCGCGTTGACCGCCGCAAACCGGCAGTAACAGCTGCGCTCTCCCCATCGGCATCTCGTGTCTTGCGCTTGCGACCAGCAGTCTGGCTGGTCTTTCGACTCGCCAATCCTCCTCTGTCGTCCTCACCGCCAATGCCCTCCACTTCCTCAGCATCGGCATCTTCGCCTTCCTCGTCAGGCTCTTTGGCGGCTTTCTTCTTTGTACCCGCATTGGTCTTCTTTGCTCCACCTTTACCCCTTGCCTTCGGTGCAGTATCAGACTCTTCCCAGCCACCGTTTTCGGCAAGCAGTTGGACCACATTCCATGTCTTCTCCTCGACTCTTTGAACACTCAGTCGTCCACGAGTGACAAGTGCCATTTCTGGTCGATGCAGCGAAGTCGAAGTCGACTCTATGCAATATGCAGGATCATAAAGTAGTACTCACGTTTGATGGCCTTCACGCCGTCCGAGTGAATGTACCCTACGTCCTCCGGGGTATCATCTGTGGCAGCACCTGCAATACGACGGAGCAGCGCGAGGGAAACGAAGTGCGCAGTCCGCGCTACGAACGTCACATCTACCATGTACCACTTTGGGTTGTCCTTGTCCGTTTTCTTGGATAAAGCACATGAGCTTGCGATTGGCGCCACGCAGAACACATGCCGTACATACCGCGTCATAGTAGGGATGTGACCTAGTGCTCCCGCGCGCTTAGGTCAGACGACAGCAGACTCAGAGAACGTCAGCACACGCACGGATCCCAGGCAGTGTCTCCAGACGTTCTGAATCGATTAGCAAGCGGGAATGATGGGGGGCATGTCAATACTCACAGTCAGGGTAGGCTTCTTGCGACACCTGAGACAAACAATGAGCCTCTGGCATATCAATACACGAGGAATCCGTACCTCTGCAAAGCCTGCTATACCTACGGGTATGCAGCAATTACTATAACAGTGGGGAGTTGGGACGGCCTGAGAACTTACCGGGTGTCTTACAGTTGGAATGGTAGAACAACACCTACTCGATACGGTTATGAATGGCATTCATATCCGCATATATGAGGGGCCATACTCACTTTGTCGCCCACTTTCATTTCTTTCATGAGGTTCCTCGCCTCTGCATTTCGCACTCCCTCCCAAGGCGTTGTCTTGACGGAGTCGAAGTCGTCCACACTGAACTGATCCGCGCGACAAATGTAACTCCCGCGCACCACAAACGTCACGGGATGGTACCGACCTTGACATCCTTCTCCTTCACGATGCGAGAGTCGGGTTCTGCTTTCATGAGCCAGTATTTTGGCGACATCGTGGAAGGAACACGAGCAAGAGCCGCTCGCCACTGTTGAATAGACCCAGGCCGCTCGGCACGCCACTAGCCGGGTGCAAGCGTTGTCCTCGTTGCCCTTGGTAAATCCCGGGATAGCCAATTGGCCAAACAACTCTTCCACGGCGATCCACACGCACGGTGCAGACGGACGAAGGCAGGCGGAGGAGTGCAGGTGGACGCGGGTTCGGGGCAGGCTGGCGGAGGCAAAACGTGACGGACGCGGAGCAGGCCTGCCGCAAACAGTGGAAAACACGCCCTGGTCGCCAACCCTGACCATCCCCGCTTCACATCACACCTTCCCCCGTTTTCACGCACTACACTCTCGTGCGGCGACGGCGGCCTATTGTCATGAGCAGCGTCCATGCTGCGGGAACGGCTACAGAGACTCAGACTGTGCTGTCGTCAGGCGTGCCCGCACAGCAACCACCTGCCTCGCCTGATCGCGCCGAAGACGCGCGCGATGTCCCATCCACCGCGGATACGGAAGCTGGTGGGCGCGTCAATGGTGTCGCGAAGATAATGGAGGACGAGCCGGGGCCGGGGGAAAGTATAGGGCCAGATCCCGTGGAAACAGTGGAGGGCGGCAAGGAGGAGCTGGTGCATGTTGAGTTGTTGGAACAGGAGCCGTGCGAGGGTCCGATGATGACCCAGGACGACTCGGGGCAATGGCAAGAGGATGATAGTCATGAACTGAAACGCGTCAAGGTCTACGAGCTCCAGGGATCGCGTTGGGCCGACAAGGGGACCGCGTTCTGCTTCGGTGACTTTCAGGACAACGAAGCCCTCTTGATTGCGCGGGCGGAGGCGGACTTCAACAATGTCATTCTTACCACCACCATTCGGTGCAACGATGTGTATCAGCGACAGCAAGGTGCGTGGCTTTTCTTTCCGTGAACAAACACACGGGATTTATATTCTAACGACGTATCCTTAGATACATTGATTGTGTGGACGGAGCCGGATGGTACAGACTATGCCCTCAGCTTTCAGGATCCAGAGGGCTGTGCGGAGGTGTGGCATTTTATCCAGGAAGTTCAGCGGCACCTGAATGTCAGAGGTTAGTATCTTCCTCGTCTCCCTTCGACGCGCGTTCCTCTCAACACTGTGGCGTCGGCCGCTCTTTGCAGAGGACATGGGTATGTCTTCATCCCCGATGATAGGCTCTGAACCGTCCATCACTACTGCGAGCATTATTCGGTCTGGGCATCTACCACAACCTCAACTGGGGATCATAGGCGAGATTGAGAGGGCGATTAAGACCCTGGCGCGAACAGCAGTCATTAAGGAGCGAATATGTGAGTACATACAAACCGAGGTGAGTAAATTATCGCGTGCTGTTTGAGATACTTCATTCACCACGTCGCATCCAGGAATACATTAAGGGCATGATCGACGTCATGAATCAGGCGGAAGACCTAGAAAGCCTCGAAAATCTCCATGCCCTATGCTCATGTATGCAGGCTATCCGTACGTCTCCACATTGTATCTTTATCCGACATATACCAATATCGTATCACTCAGTGATGCTCAATGACCACAGCTTGTATGAGCATATCCTGGAGGACGACCTTTTCTTTGGCGTCGTCGGCATGTTGGAATGTCCGTCGCGCTGACTTGCCCGTATGCGTTCCATCTGACCAGCCATGCTTCTCAGACGATCCGGAGTTCCCCAAGCACAAGGCAAATTATCGCGAGTTCCTTCACCAGGCATCACACTTCCACCAACCCATCTCACTCGGCGATGAGGCTATTCAGAGGAAGGTGCACCATACATATCGCCTGCAATTCCTCAAAGACGTTGTCCTCGCCCGCGCCATCGACGATTCAACGTTCAACGTTCTCAACTCCTGCATTATCTTCAACCAAATCGACATTATTAACCACGTTCAGAACGACCCGTCTTTTCTTCGCGAGGTAGTCGGCCTGTTCATGGACGAAGACCTGATTCACGCGCTCGGGCTCGAGCCGTACAAAATCAAGGAGGTGAATGGAGACAGAATGGACGTCGACCAGCCGGGGGAGAAAGCCAATGGTGCAGCGCAGCTCAACGGCACAGTTGAGGGCCTGCCCCACTTCAATCCCCCATCAGAGGAGGAGCTGGCGCGTCGACGAGAGGTCATCTACCTCATCCAGCAGCTCTGTGTAATGGGCAAGAACGTGCAGCTACCAGCTCGCATGGCGCTATTCCGGACACTGGTGGACCGAGGTATTCTCTTTGCCGTGCAGTGGGCGCTTGGACAATCGGAGACCGACGAGGAAGGGCGCCAGATGATTGCGGCGGCAGGAGAAGTCCTGACCGTGCTGCTTGATCATGATCTCAACGGTGTACGCGGTCACGTGCTGAAACAGCTGAATGCGATGGATCGGGAGAAGGCGAATGGGAAAAAGATTGTAGAGAAGGAGACCGTGCTTGCATTGATGTGCAGGATCATGGTGAGGAGCCGGGATCTAGCCGTACAGAGTCAGGTGGGAGAATCGTTAAGGACGTTGCTGGAGATCCAGCCCGATGTTCCTGACGCGCCCGTGAGTTCCAAGCTCTGCGAGCGTCACTGTGAAGGCTCATCATATGTTTCAGGCGCAGTCGATGGTGGGAGTAAGGATGCTTCAGCGTGCTAAGGATGATCCTGGGGTCGAGAAGTTCCTGGAATATTTCTACAAGCACTGCGTCGAGACGCTTTTCAGACCATTCGGAGACATTCCCGAGTTTAAGAACGCAAGTGGTATGACAGCCGCAGATTGCCTCCTGAGATCACCACTGACATCGGACGTTAGACTCCTCGTTGACCATGTCACGGGAGCGAGCGAATCTTTTCCTCTACCTGTGTGACCTACTGTCCACCTTCACATTGCAACACTCCTTCCGCAGTCATTTCTATATCCTCTCATCCAACGTTGCAATACACGTTGCGTCGTTGCTGGGCGCCAGAGACAAGCACCTCCGCTTAGGTTCGTGTTCTTCGTTACGCAGTTATTTCTCACGCTTATTTCTGTTTGTCGGTCTCACCCATTCCATAGCCGCGTTCCGCTTCTTCCGGGCGTGCCTCAAGCTAAACAACAGTAATATATTCAAGTACTTCATTAAACATGATCTGCTACAGCCCATCTTGGATCTCACGGTGCAAGAATCTCGACGAGACAATCTTCTCAGTGCAACGTGCCAAGAATTCTTCGAGTATATGCGATCGGTCGGCATCATCATAGAAATTGTCTCATTTCACTGATCACTGATACGTGGCCGAACAGGAGAACCTCAAGGATGTCATACAGCACTGTATGACACAACACGAGGCGCAGATACGGCAGTTGGCGGAGTCTCCGCTAGGGGGACCCCGCTTCCGCAACTTCATTGCTCGTTGGGAGATGAACATTGAGCCACCACCAGAGGCAGAGAAGATCGAGAAGTGCGTGATAGAGCCCTGCCTTCGTCCAAAGCTAATACGCATCATCGCCAGGCCTATGCCGAGTTCCCTGCGGCGCTGGGGACAGGGCCGGTTGCTCGAAGCAGAGGAAGAAGACTACTTCAACACAGACGACGACGTTGAAGATGTACCCGTTCTCGGTCAACAACTGCCGAAAGGGAGTCCTCCCAAGCGCAGGCGACTCCGCGGCATGGGTTTGCCGGGACGTGTACCTCGGAGCCAACATCAGTCCATGCCCTTACAGTCGCTTGGCGCACTTGTGGCGTATGATGACGGCGAGGATGTCGGCGGTCTAGGTGCTCTTGAGGATGAACCGGCCGCACCGGCGTCGCCATCATTACCTCGCTCACCATCTGGTGGATTTTTTGCTGGTGCTTCTTCTGAAGATGTCCCCTCAAGTCCGCGTATATCACATAAGCAGATTGCGTCAAAGTCGTCTTCACCATCTGACGACCATGATGATCTTCTGGAGCAATTGTTCAAGTCTGGACCATCTTCGCCATCGAATGGGAAAGCACCGGATATTGTGGGCGCGAAACGACGGCGAGATGACGAGGACGATGAGCTGCTCGAGCGTCTGGCTAGCAGATCCAAACGACCCAGCGTTGGGCCGAATCCAGAGAAGGAGAACACTGATCATGCTATGGTCAGTAAAGCAGGTCTAGCGAAGTCAACAGATGAGGGACCAAAGAAGATCAAGCTCAAATTTGGGGCTGTGGGAGCCGCTGTCGCGTCTTCCACATCCCCATCTGCCCCAACTGCACCTTCAGATCCTGGTTCGAAGGAAGGCGACAACGGTTAATTAACTGCACTTATTATGGACGTGCGCTGTCCTGCTCTCATGCAGTCACTATATTATCTTCACGACAGTATCATAGCATGCTTTGTATGTCGTAGAGCTCATGAATCAATCTTGTTGTTGCCAGGAACTGTTTTGCTAAATACTGAGTAGAATACATATCGTGTAGGGAGAACAACCAGCACAGTAGACCCTGATGGAGACTAGCCAAACAGCATAAATGCAAGCTATGCAAGAGCAGTGGAATCAATGCTATGGTAAAAGGGATCGGGGAAGCAGACGGACGGTGCGGCGAAAACAGACTGAAAGGAGCATTAGAACAAATAATTCTGTAGGACAGGGTCTGCGTGTGGAGCCCAGGCGATTGCAAAGAATTGCTGCGAGAATGTACGAATAAGAAGTTAAACGTCCGGACAGTCAAGTGTAGCCTGGGTAAATATGCACTTGGGAGATAGGGAGGATTGCACATAGTTAGGAGATGCAGCATGTGGCCATCAACCTGCGCGGCTGGCCTCTATGTTCGGTGATGGAGTTGAGGACAAGCTTTGCGAGAGGGGGTCGTTGTTGGCGTCAGCGTTTGGCTGATCGGGTATCATCGAATGCGATGGAGGAATGCCGAAAGGAGAAAACGTGGTGCTGCTGCCGCCGCCGCCGGTGTTGGTCAGTCCATAAGCCTGCGGGTTAGCTCGAGGGAACGCCGTAGGGCCTGCGAGCGATGCCGAGAAGGAGCCTGTAGGCGGCGGCGAGATAAAGCGAGGCGGAGGAGGGGACGTTGTATAATGATAAGAGGAGGTCGGCGATGTCATCCCCGTTGTGTCTCGGCGCCCACGACCTACTTCGAGGTCGTTGAACCTGGGCGTGTACGGGTCCGCAAATGCCTGGCCCAACGCGTGACTTTGCTGTTGTTGCTGCATGCTCGCATCCTTCCCGCTGGTGGGCGTACGGACACCGAGGGGATTCTTGCTGTAGGAGAGGCGAATGCCTCCACCCTTGACCAGGCCGCTGAGCGTGTTACCCGACAACTCGTTGAGGGCTTTCGTCGCATAGTTGACATCCTCAAACTGCAGAAATGAGCGTCAGATATTAGTTGCGAAATGATGGGGCCATAATCAACATACCTCCACGAAGCACATCGGTCCATTACTCTTTTGCCTGAAGCAGAGCTTCCGATATCCGGGTCGCTTCGAGAACAGATCTCTCAAGCGGTCCTCGAGATACGTGAGAGGCAAGCCACTAGGAGTGGGCGACGTAGGCAGGTTCCCAACGTACAACGTGTTGATCTAGACAAAATCTCATCAGTAACCCGGCTGTCAAGTACGAATCAAATCAACGCACGGGTGGGTTCTGGTCCCCTGAAGCTCTGCCTGTTCCTGAGCTCGCGCCCGACGCCGGTGATGGCAGCTGTGGCGATGTTGTCCCTTGATCAGTACTCACCGCGAGAACGGCGACAGACCGCGAAAGCTCCTCATCGGCCCCGCTCTGCGATCCACTGACACTCGATGCGCTGGAAGCGGGTAGGGAAGATGGGCTCGTCAGTGGCTGCAGCACACCAGCAGGCTGTTGTTGTAGCTGCTGCTGTTCGTTACTCGGTGAATACGGTCGCGGACGCGTAGGTAGCGACGGATGGCTCGGCAGAGAAGACGTGTTGGACTGTGGCGAGAAAGGTGCACTCCTGTTACCTGGAAGCCCGGAGCCATTCTGCGACGTCGCCGACAGGGGACCGGAAGACAGACCAGAAGGAATGTCGAAATTGCCCGGAGGCGATTGCTGCGGCGGGGACACGGGGCGAGGCGGTAGAGTGGATGACAGCACGGGGGCAGACATCTTCCTCAAAGCGGCACTAGCCCCTACGTCCCGCAAATTACCCCACGGACTCTGACTCAAGCCGTGCATGCCCTCGTTCTGCGACGGCGTCTTGTGCAACGCCGGTGGCGACGACAGTCCCATCGGCACGTGTTGAAGCGCACCCGGAGGAAGCACGCCATTCTCTGCAGAGAGGAGAGAGTTCGCACCCTGCCGCACCATCTGCTGGGGAACCGAATGGAACGCCTCGAATGCAAACGAGTTTTGGCGTAGTCGGGCCACCTCCTTCTCCTTGCGCTTCCGCTCTCGCTCCTGCTCCCGTTCGTCCTCTTCCGCGCGCTCACGGGCGCCGCGCTGAGAGAACGTCAACATGGCACTCCCAGTGCTGGGATCCGTGCGCCGCCGGTCCTCCTCAACCCTTCCGTTTCCGTCTATCAGCCGATCCCTGCGTGGGCCGAGACCGACTATACCCATAGCACCAAGTGCACCAAGCTCCCTATCTCTTTGTGCCAGGGGAAGTTCACCAGCCCCTGTAGGGCCAGTGTTACCGCCAAGTCCAGCAAGGCCATTCAGGCTAGCATAACTGGCTAATGACTCGGTCACGTTGCCACCTGCGCCATTCATGAGTGAGTTCAGAGGCATGCCGGGGGGTACACCAGGGCCACGCTTCGTATGGAGGTTCTTCTTCGCCATCTCAGCCTTGAGCACCGACCCGCGCTCGACGTCGACACGACGGCCTTGGAGGATGTCACGTGCCTCAAGCGCCTCCTGGCGCGTACGGAACTTCGCGAAGCCAATGATCTGCTTGCGAGGCGGCTGCGCGGGAAGATTGGATGGAATGAAGTGGCTCTCATCATTCTGCATCGGCGCAGCAGGCCACGAGGTGGTTGGGCCATCGCGTCCACCGTCCACAACAACACCGCCTTGATTCACCGTCACCAAATTGTACGGATCGTTCGCGCCAGGATATGGGAGACGTGAATTCGTACCCGAGGCGCCCGTCGAACCGTATGCGGTATACTCTTTGTTCGGTATCTTGAGCGTCGCCGCTTCGAACCCTGACGAGAAGGTGAACATGTTCTGAAATTCTCGCTCCTGTCAAACCACAGAAATCGTGTATCAGCATAAATCATATATAACGGGAACGCATGTCAGAGCGCTAGAACACACCTGCATATCTTCTGGGAAGCCGACGACAAAGATAGTCGAGATCTCTTCCTGCTGCTGGTTCTGCGAGCCGCCGTTCACATGGTTCATGCTGGAGGTGCCCGTGAGAGTGCTTCCCTGACCGTTGGCACCTGGTCCAGACCCGGCAGAAGTTGCAGTCATAGAGGGTCCAAACTGCGTCTGCGGGGGCAGTGCACTGGGATGGGCATGTGAGAGGGTGTGCGGGTTCCCATTTGCGAATGGTCCTTGGAACGATTGCTGTGGCCCAGGCTGATGCAGCGCCATTCCGCCTGTCATCGGAGCCTGCTGATTGACTTGCGATTGCAAAAGCTCCATGCTCCGGCGCATGGGATCGATGAAGGATTGGCCAACCTGGTGCAAACCGTTTGGGACGGATGTGGTAGGTCCCACACCGGCGAAATCGTGGGCACGACCCGGATGGTGGAGCCCATCGTGGCCATAAGACGGCGGTGACTGCGGGGGCTGCAGATTTTGACCGCCGTACATTTCAGATGAAGGCGGAGGGAAGGTGTTAAAGGCTGCTGAAGCATCGCGAAACGGTACAGCGCCGTTGCGCGGACGACCAGGGAAGGGGTTGAACGACGTGGAAGTCCGGAACGGCACCGAGTTGAAGCCGTTGAGCTTCGAATTCAGATTAAGAGCCTCCGGCTCGGTCGACGATAGCGAGGCGTATTCGGATGTAGGGATATGAATATTGTTCATGCTGTTATACATCGAGTGGTTGGTATTTGTGTTTTGCGGGCCCGCGCTGTACGGGTCGACTAGGTGAGTGGGAGACTTGAGATGATTGGGAAGCATATTGTTAGGGGAATCTGGACGAGGGTGCTGCTGTTGTGATTGCATCGTCATGTGGAATGGCACAGGGGGCGATCCTATGGACATTGAAGAAGTGGTGGACAGGGAGCCGAAAGCGTTCGCAGACGATCCGGGGACTTCGGAGTCAGACGAGGATATGGGCTCAGCGTCTGCCTGTGCGTCGACGCTGTCTAGGAGGGAGCGGTTGATGTACTCCTCACCAAAAGGTTGAGAAGCCACGGCGGAGGGAAAGGGGGACAGTCGGTGGGTTGGTACAGACGACTCCAGGGTGGGCAATTGAGACAACAGTATGGTACTCTTAGAGAACTCGGAAGATATAGGAGGCGGCAACAGAGCAGAGCGGGGAAAAGACGGGTTCAGAACATCAACAGCCAGGGCGGCGACACGGACAGCGGAAGACAGGAAACGCGTGTAGCTGTCGATATAAATACAGACAGAGGCAAACTAGAGCAGGCGAGCAGCGGTAGGATAGGCGGGGGCTGCGTGCTTGGCAATGGGGGGCGCGACGCGTGAGACAGAATGAATATGCAGAGTGCGATGGTGGTTTATGCGAGACAGTGGTAAGCGAGCAGTGGGTGAGAGAGCGGCAGGCAGCAGGCACGTCGGCTAGCAGAACGTGTTGGACAGCGAGGGCGGGGCGCTGCTCGCTGTGGCTGGCGACGAGGAGGTGATCGAGTGGGTGGTGAGAAGGGCGGACGGCCGGAGTGCGCCCGGAGTGTAAATGTCCCCAGTCAGTGAACCGCGTCCTTCCCACGCACAGACCATCTTGCCCTTATATGGCAACTGCATGTGCAAACCTAACCTTATTTCCCGGCAAGATAATGGCGCACGTGGGTTGTTCCTGGTGCCCCTGCACAATGCACCCCGAGGGCGTCGTCGTCGTCATTGTCCACGGCGAGCAAACATGGGGACGTACCAAAGTCATTTGCTTGCCCAACATCCCTGTTGTATTGTCCTTTTTTGCCATCCTCCTCACCTGTTTACTAAACAGTCCTGGCAGTCGTCCATAGAGGTCATAGTAAAAGCGCGACACTGAGATACTGAGAGATAGTCATAGTCCAAAGAGACCACAGACAAACCAGCGAGCTAGCTGAGCTGAGCCAGGAAGTCGCAGAGAGAAGAGAGAGAGAAGGCGAGGAGCGAGTCGGGGGCCAAGCTGCACGAGCCACTGCCCACGCGAACCAGACGTTCTTCACTGTGATATCGACAAACCAGGCCTGCTGCCGACCGCACCGGAGGCACATTCGACCGCGCACCGTGTATCGATCTGCCTGATGTAGTCCGTTCGTTTCCGGAAACGACGACAGCAGCGGTGCGAGCGACTCCCAGCCCCGCTCGGCATCCGAATATCCATATATCCACGTGAAACTCGCCTACGTACATTAACAGAGCCACCGCTGTCCCCGGCCGTCAATTATACTGTAACAATCCATCCGAAACGCATGATAATATAATGGGCTCAGCAGAAGAACCATCTCAGACGTCAAAACGTAGCAATGATCAAGCATCAATCAGTGTCGAGCTCGCGCGCGCACTGAGGTCATTCTGCATCAGCGCCGGTCTCGGAGACGAGCCTCGGATGTCACTTACCACAGATTACTCTAGCACTCACGAGGTCATCGACTCTCGGTCTTCGAATAAGCTCCTCGCCTGGCCGCCGACCCGCGCCCCGTTCACCCGCAGGTGGACCTCGTACCCAGTGATAGAGCTCGCCAAAAGCACGATCGCCACCGCCCAAAGCATGGCACCGATGAACCGCCTGCGAGCCCGGACTCCGGCCTCCGCCAGAGCATGCGGTGAGCGAGGGTCATAGTACGGTAACAGCTGTGTTTGCTGTGCGATAGGTGTTGGACCGTATCCTGCATGAGTTGGGAAGGGTGCGGGGTCAGGTGCGCTCATGGTCGACGATTGCTGCTGAGATGACTGGTCAGGAAACTCGGTGTATGCCGGTGGTGGCGAGGAGGGTTTGGGCGTGGACGAAGGCGAGGATGTTTGGGCGGCCATGGTGAGCTGCACGCCCTCAACGGTCCTGACCAAAGCAGAGAGGACGCCACGCGCGGCGGCATTGCGAAGGAGGCGCTGGACAACGTCATCAACCCCTAACCTAGTTCTTGTCCACTCACAGGTCACTCTTCCGTAAGTTGCTCGTACATTGCATAGTGGCAGCTTACAGCTGATCATGTACTTCAAATGCAGGCGATATGTATGCAGAGCGCTCGGGAGTACACCAGAAATTCGCTTAGGCATCAGTTGTCCTCGTTCTTAACCTGAATTACATTAGCTCTCAGAGGCTAATATTCTCAAATGATAGACAGCGCCACTCCCATTTGACACGCCGAAAGATGAGAGCCGAAATATCTCTACATTATGATGCTACAGACTTCTACCTTGCACTGGCACGTGAGCGCGTCCGAGTGCGCCACGGACGCGACGCGTCATGCGCCACCGCAAACGGTGGGCGGGTGTGACGCACGCCCACATCCTATACGTCATCTCTGACCCTCCTACCCATTCTATAGAGCATAAGACATGTCCAATGCGTTGATTGAGGATTTCCTCAACAATATAAATACCCCCCGCCGCCCGTTCCTTCATGTTCTCATCCGTCTTTCGAATCCCTACTAAGTTCGCCTCCGCATATATCAGGCCTCTCACTGAAAGAACCACCACACGAACCTATAATTTCTTCAGAGCATACTCGACAGCGCCCGCTATGGTAGAAGCAAACGCTAAGTTCTCCGTGAAGAACCTCTTCAATGTCGAGGGGCGGGTTGCCGTCATCACCGGCGGCAGCACTGGTATCGGCCTTATGATCGCCCAGGCCTTCGCGAACAATGGCGCGCGGGTTTACGTGACTAGTCGGCGCGCGGAGACCCTTGAGAACGCTGCGAAGAAATGGGGTTCTGAGCTTGTCCACCCACAGGGCAAAATTATTCCTGTCACCGCAGACATCACGGACAAGGCGTCCATCAAGACGCTTGCAAAGGAGATCGCGAAGCAGGAGAAGCACATAGACGTACTTGTGAACAATGCGGGTATCGATGGCGACACAAGCAGCGTCGAAAAGGGCCACGAGAGTGTGCAGGCGCTGCAAAAGGAGCTTTGGAATGAAGAGTTCCAGATGTGGCAGGACGTATACAAAACAAACGTTATCGGGTCGGTGATGGTCTTTGACGCGCTGACAGAAGAGAGGTGGACTGACCATGTCTCCAGCTACTTCTTCACTACTGTTGCGTTCTTGCCCCTGCTGTCTGCCGCGGCGCGCGGCAACCACACTGGTAGCGTCATCAACATCTCGTCTATATCGGGCATCACGAGGACGACGCAACACCATTACGCGTACAACACGTCGAAGGCCGCGACGATCCAGCTCAACCTGCTCCTTGCGCAGGAGTTGCGCCGCCCGGGTGTCAAAGTCCGCGTCAACTCCATTGCCCCAGGTATATTCCCCAGCGAGATGACGAGTGAGTTACTCCTCCCCCCTTTTGTATCGCAAGGGCACTGCTTACCTATGGATCTACCATAGCTTCCGGGTCCGACGACAAGAACAAGTCGGCCATCCCTGTTGACGAGTCATACGGCGAGAAGAAGGGCATCCCGGCGGGCCGCCCAGGGCGGGAGGAGGACATGGCGCAGGCCGCGCTTCTGCTTGCTTGCAATGAGTACATGTATGGTCAGGTGAGCCTACGTCGGAAACTTTAACGCGTGCCGCAGTTGATAGGTAGCCATAGGTCGTGGCTGTCGACGGCGGATATCTGCTCGAGCACCCATAATGTTTTGCACAAAATACGTACATTAGCGAGTCGATCGGGGCGTAATCTTCTGTAGCATCGGTCCTCCTGAGACAAACTGTATCATTAGCGATTTTCGCGGAACTATCATATGTTGTCCGTCGTCGAGACTGCAGACACGAAGATATGGATATACTACAAGATTGCGATCAAGGGACGCGTTGCTGAGGTTGTCTATATGGTCACATGATCGCGTCGAGGTCGCGTCGCTCGGCTCGTCCTGTTTTCAGACAAATTTGATACGCCACACGGTACCATAGTCAGGTTAGTAAGTCTTGTCGTGCACCTCAATCAGGCAAAGTTATGTCGCCACCCCTCGTCGCCGTGCGAGCGAAAGTTACACGACCGACCCACTCTCGCCCATTCAGAAGACGTGTCGTATAGTCCGACACTGAGAACGCAAGCATACAGAAGCAAAGACGTCGATACACATAAACAGAGGATGGTACATACAACAGATCTACTCCGCTACCTCCTCTTCTGTTTCCTCGATCACCTCGTCGACCCACAACTCCATCTCCTCCTTTGACTCCTCGGGCTCTTTCTCGCTGTCTACGTCGACTGTCTTGCCACGTTGTCGGCGCTCCTCCGCAACCTCCTCCTTGACCCGCGCACGCCATGCGTTCCACTCGTCGACGAGCCGCTTGCGCTGTGCGATGAGTTCTGCGCTGATATTGCTCTCCTCGGCTGCATCCTCCTCCTCGAACTGCCGGCTGTACTCCTTGAGATTGCGGCGAATCTGGCGCTGCTGCTCCTTGGTGAGAAGTGAGCGGGGACGCGGGCGCCAGAGGAACTGCTTGAAACGGTCGAGGATGTGCTTCTCGAGCTCCTGCCCTCGGAAATCCCAGACGGCATACCCGTTCTCGAGCTGGATTTTTCCTAGTGGTCAGACACAGCCCAGCGATGTTTGAATGCAACTCACTGTATGTCTCCATGCACTTGCACTGGTAGCCAGATAACGGCCACTGGGATCCCACTCAGCATCCGTGACGGCATAGTGGTCGGCAGTACCCAGGTGCTGGATGCCACTTCCCCACTCTTCTTTCGACGGTCCGTCTCGGCGGCCAATATCGTCGTAGTTGAAGTCGAGGTCCCAGAACTCCAGCTCTGACTTGCTTGATGAGCCGATCGTCGCAAGGACAACATGACGTCCCCGAGGGGACCACCGGACGGTGTTGCTTGTCCGACCGGGCAACGTGCCTACTCGCAGAATGGACGTAAGCTCCGAAGGCAACCTGTATGCAATTGAACTCACGGAGGAGTTTGAAGTCGCCTTTTCCACGGACGAGCTGGTAGAAGCTGACGTCCGTCTTGATGGTCACACCAGGACCGGGGTTGCCCAAGTTTGGGTCATTACTTGAAATGAGTGCAAACCGCTCTCCCTTTGGCTCCCACGAGAAATCAGTGACGGCGTCTGGAGATGCAACGTTTTAACAGAATGATGATAATGGGCGTGACACTTCACTAGCCTTTGAGCTCGACAACCTCAACCGGGAAGTCCTTCTCGCGTACACGGAAGATTTCCAGGTTGCAGAATATTGACTTCTTCGTCTTGGTATGACGGTCAACCTTGACACAAAGGAAGTCACCCTGGTTTTGCCAGAAGAGCTTACACTGCAGTGGTTCTTCAGCACGATGCGATTGAGGGGGCATGGATAGCACATACCTCTGTAACATTAAACAGGTTTTTCTGCCGCAAGATAGCTCGGCCGGGGAAGTTCATGAGTGTCACACGGGCGGGCTGGTTGGCCACTTCAGGTGTCCAGTACGCCAGCATGTTCTCCTTGGGCTTCTTAGTGCTCTTCGCGCCATTCGCCTTCGCCTCAGCCTCAGCGTCCTCGCGGTCCTTGTCGCCGAGAGGACACCACTCAAAGTCGACAACACCGTCAATCTTGATACTTTTTTTGCCTTGCAGACCCATGCTCGGCAGCTCATACACACTGATCTGCTGTCCTGGTGTCACACGACCAACAAACTTGTCGTCCGCGCTCCACTTCAAAGCGGGCCATTGCATCTGCTTTTTCGTGTCCTCACCCTCGGGGTAGATGGCAGGGAAAGTACGAAGGAGGTTACCAGTCATGGTATCCCAGACAGCGATATTGTTGCCCTCGTCCTCAGGCGAAAAGAACTGCGGTCCCTGCTGTGCACCCTCCGGCACAACAATGGGGTCATGCGACCAGGTGACGATGTAGGTCTCGTTCGGTGAGAAGTCGATGAGCTTGACCATAGGGTGCGCAAAGCGCTGCTGCTTCGCCCACGACGTACCACCCCATAATTGCACACCTTGTCGGTGGAGGGTGGCAAGGTATGTGCCAAGTGGCGACCAAGATACATAAAGGTCGGTCCAATTCTTCCGAGAGCAACGTAAGGAGGTTGTCTCCAGGATGATCGGTACAACTTACGGGTCTGGTAAATGCGACTTCGCATTGTGACGGCTTCCCTTGCCAGTGGATCTCCACCTCGTCCCCTCGGTAGGTTGCGTACTGATCCCTGCCTTGGGAGTCGCCAAGCCAAGCGCGCAGGTGCTCCTGTAACAACTATGTAAACCATAAAGCATTCCTGCGGGGCTTACTTCTCTGACCTTAGGCTTGTACTCCTCAGGCTCGGGCTCCGCATACGTCTCGTCCAAATTAGCATAGCGCTCGATGTCTGTGAAGCGGTTGACCAAGAACGTATGCCTGGCATCGAATGGATGCCCATGCATCGCGTTCAGCGCGAACATTGCATCATTGGAATTTTTGAATTCAACGAAGACAAATCTGCGGAATCCTCATGTAGGGAACCATCATCATAGATGGCTGCAAGGACATACCCCTTGCTTTTTCCCGTCGAGTCATCCCATGGGACCGAGATGTCGTCGGACTTAATGGAGGCACCCTTGCGCGAGAACTCCTTCGCGATCTTGTCGAGCAACCTGCTGAGCTTCGACTTGTCGATCACGGGCACACCATCCACGACCAAAATGTTGTCGAAACCCTCTTCATACTGGACTTGGTATCTACGACAATGTTTTAAGCGCAGAAGTAAATGCTAAAACTCCATACGAACTTTGCTTCAATGTCAGAGTAGTCAATTTCTTCATCGTCATCGTGAACGCCGTTCACACCGTTCACACCGTTCGGAGCCATGATTTTTGTCTTCCTCACTGGTACGACAGGTTAAAAATCTAAAAACTGCCTGAGAGATGAGAGGAGAAGAAGAGTCTCGAGAAGAGAGGATGCAGTAGCCGAGGACGATTGCAGCTCGACAAATCAGTGAGATGAGATTTTGGCATCTGTCACACTGTCACGATAGAGGGTTGCTTGTGACACCTCTACATGTCACACTGCATATGCTTCATGTCACAACAGGGAGGAGAAAACGAGTGTCATTACGGGGGTAGGCTGTATCAACAGGGTTCATCCGCATGGAGAGTATATAGCACATTTCGATGACTAGTAACATGAACGAGAGGAGCGTGTGAGTGGAAACAGAACAACGGCGAGGAGACAGATAGTATCGCGAAACATATGACCGGCGACTACAACTTTGAAGTTCAAAACGGAAGCGAAGCTGTGAATAAGCGAGGCGACGCAGACGGAGAGCGTAGGAACAGATCCCGCATGCAAGCATAAAAACGTGATGACGATGGCAAAGGGACAACGCTGCGAGCCATGTGAATCGAGAGCGCGTGACGAAACGTGAAAAACGGGAAAGGTCGTAGTTTGTATTGGGTTCATTGACGAGATGGGAGTAAACAGGTGGGCGTGGTATGGATGGACAAAGCCATGACGAGAGGAAACCAAGAGAATGTGACATTTCGATGATATGCAAGAAGATGCTTGGCCGCCAGATTTGCTCACGGTGACGATGGCAGTGGGTGGGCAATGTCCCCGTTCTTCCACATTGCCGGGCTGTTCAGATCGAGGCTGGCGAGCGTGCCGTTGAGATCCTGAATAGGATCTTGCTCGTGCTCGTGACCACCGAAGTGTTCCTGGAGCTGCTGAGAGCCCCTCCTGGACAGGTCGGGCCGAAGGGTGATCTCCTGCCGCGAAGATGCCCGGCCGTTCGGGAATGGCAACGCTGAGGATGCCTCACCCAGTAATGAATTGAAACGCTGCGCTGCGCTCGGAGGGCGTATCGTCTGTAGGGTTGTGGGTGAGATCTTCCCGTTTGCGCTTGGTACCTTCTCGTCTTGTGTAGGGTTGTACCACGGCGAGTACGCCTTGGAGACGTTGGAGAACGCCTGTGATTGTGCGGCGTTGTGAACATCCTCGGGTTTCATCCCTTCTCCTAGATAATTCGGATCGGGAGAGAATGGAGAGAAGGCAGATCCGGAGGACGACCCTCCACCTTGTTGTAAGCCAAACATGGAAGGTGTGAACGGGTTATTAGCACCAATCCGATTGCCAGTGGCGTCTGATATGATACCAGCGAGAGGTTCCTGGTTGCCATTCGTGGCAGTGGAAGTGGCAGGATTAAGCATGTTGGTGAGACCGAACTTCTCGAGGAGCTGTATGGCCTGCTCAGGCGTGAGAGAGGGAACGTTCTGAGCAGTAGCTTGCGTTTGATACTGAGCCTGGAAGGCAGCGGCTTGAGCGGCTTGGGCTGCGGCCTGAGCTGCTTTGTCTGCAAAAAGAATGAGATCGTACACCAACTCCAAGGGAATGGCTGCTTACATTGACTGCGGCCCCAGCTGAGTCTTATTCTGCTCCCTCCAATAGGAAAGCCTTGCATTTTCTCAATCGCTCTCTCTGCGTCGGGCTTACGTACGAACTGCACGAAGCCACAGTGTTTTCCAAGTGGGACCTTGACCTGCGTTCAACAAGACCCATCGTCAATACGCTGGACCGTGAACTGTGTCAGAGCACACTTACATAATGGATATCACCAAATGGAGCGAAGAACGTCCTCAAGGTCTCCTCTGATATGAGCGGTGACAGACCTCCAACAAATACAGTGGTGTTGTACGGGTCAGACGAGGTAAGCTGCTCTCCGTTGGGTCCAATTAGGTTCGACAAGATAGCCCGAGCTTGAGCGTGATGCTTCCAGGACTCCTCAGAAATATTGTACTTCTGCGCCATAGTCTGCTCAGAGGCTGGCTGTGCGAAGGGTACAGGTATGGACCCGCCAGCGCTGCCGGGCGTCGAGGCACTCCCGCCTCCATATTGAGCCGCCTTCAAGGCTTCTTCAGAAGACGCTGAAGCCAGAGTGGTCGACGAGGTTGTACTGGCCCCAGAGCTCAGCGAGGGCGCCGAGACAGACGAGTTCGAGGACGAGTTCGATACTGTATTTCCATTTGCGCCTGCAAGGGGAGCGGACACACTCTTCGCCTGGTTGGCGTTGGGTAGGGGCAGCGCAATCGTGACTTGATTTTGCTGCTCAGGCACAACGGGAGCTGGAGGAGGAACAACAGGGAAGGGCATCTGAGAGAAGTCCAATCCTGTCATCCCCGAAGCAGGCTTGAACTTGGCAGTCGCGGGAGAAATGCGCACTGCGCATATAGTCAGCTTATTGCTGTATTAGGAAGTAACGGAAGTCCATACTTGGGCGTGAGAGGCAATAAAGGCCGTGCATCTCGATTAGAGCGCGTTGCTGATCCGCTTCGTCCGTAAACCTGTTTGGGAGAACAATAGATTAATACAAGTGAAACCCTGTGTGGCGCTAGAATGCGACGCGCCTCACGAAGCCGTACCCCCGCGACACTCCTGTCACTGGGTCCAGCATGATTTTAGCACTCTTGCAGCTAAGGAAAGGGCGGATGAACCGCGGCTCTCTGTCGTTGCGCAGACCGAGCACAGGGTTGCGGAAAACAGCGACGAGGTCCGAGTTTGACACTTCTGGAGCCAGGTCACCTACGAAAATGCTATACTCTTTGGGGTACTGCGGGTTCTGTCCATTAGGCAATGCAATTGTCTGTCCAGGCATTGTGGGCGCGGCAGTGAGAGGAGCCGCTGGGACTGAGGACGCCCAATTGAGGGAGAAGGGCTTAGTAGAATTTGGCATGATCACGGAGGGCCCACCGCCATTGTTATTGATCTGTGAAACCACTGATGCGGCGTGGGCTTGTGAGGGGAATGTCAAGAAGCAATACCCTGGGTTGTTCGCCTGCTGGCCAGTAATTGGGTCGGGTGCGGGACGCGGCACCTTGATACTGACCGGGTCCCAGCCCATGAGGCCACAGACTTGCTTAGCGTACTCTTCGTCCATCCAAGGTTCAAGTTCTCCCCACCAAAGTGTAGAGCGGGCTGCTGCTGCAGTGTTAGTGGGAGAGGGTACGGAAGGGGGTTGCGCGTGCGGAATTTGGATTGTGGGGGAGCTAGAAGGCTGTGGCTGTTGTGGGATATGGCGATGTCCTAGGAATATGTCACGAGGGTCGCGTCCGTCGCGGTCGTTAAAAATCGCTGAGGGAAGAAGAGAGGAGTTGTAGAGCTCTGCGACAGAGGGGCCGCGCGTAGGAGAGGGAGAGTGGTGGTTGTGGGCGAAGGAGGAGAGCGATGGTTGAACTTGTGAAGGCATGATGCCACCGTCGGCCGGGAACTTGCCCGACGTTGGTGTGGCCGGGAATGTGGCCGGTTTGGTAGCCCAGCTGTCGCCCGCCGCGCCGCCGCCCTGCGTCGAGTTGAACATACGGGGAGCTACGAAGGTCGAGAAGCCGGAGCTGGACGTCAGACTCCGGCGGTCTCCCGAGAAAGACGACGACGAGATGTAGTAGTTGGGCGGCAGAATGTCCCGGTCGGGCAAGCCATCCCGGCCGCCCAGCTCGTTGCGCAGACCACTGTGGCCGAAGTCCCGCGAGCTGTGGCCGTAGGCGTCGCCGGAGCGCCGGCCGTCATAGGACGGGTGGTCGACGTCGTGGTGGGCATCGAGACGTGACATGTCAGAACAGAGCGTGAAGATCGACAGGAGATCGGGCAGCTGCCAGAGTAGGTGTTTTTTTGCGTGGGTTTTCTGCGGTTTGGCGATGCTGGTGATGCCGAAAGACGTGAAGAACCGACAGCGAGAGGAAGGACAATGCACAGAGAGAAGAGCGGAAGAGCTATGCGCAAACGACAAGTTGGCGACAAACGGAGGAAAGCGACGCGGAAAGAAAGGGCACGGAAGCGACAGCGATGCGACACGACAAACAACGACCCAGGGGTCGGGGTGAATAGCAAGAGAGCTCTCTAGTCTTTGAGAGACCACGTCGGGTGGAGGAAGCAGACAAGTCCCTGCGGAGTCAGATATCTGTGGCGGAGTTTGCTGAGCTGATGGTGGCCAGATCTCCCAGGAGCTCCTGTCCCTCTCCCGGTCATCCACGAGGCTAGCGAAGGGCCCATGCGCGCGGCACACTTGGCGCGTAAAGCAACTTAGCCGGCAAGCCGGAAAATACTATGTCCACTAGCCATACTGGGTAATAAAGGGGGTGCCGTGCCTCGCGCTGCGAGGGGCGAGGAGCGGCACACGGCCCAAATCACAAAGAACGTGTGTGCAGCAGGAGCGTCCTGCATGATCAACCTCTCTGCGAACCCACACTGGGCGGCGGTAGTTGAGATACAATCTATTGTGTGCGTTTGTGGGTCCACACTACCCTCAGGGTGATGGCGCCGCCGGAATATGCAACGAGCGCTTCCCGCGCTGCTGTCTCTTTTAGGCGCGTATCCCAATCGGCGTGCTGATGCTCGAATTCACGCTCTTGATGTGGGATGCTCTAGATTGCGATATCCTACGCGATGATGTTCGAATTTGCACTCCTGATGTGAGACGATCCAGATTCCGATTGTGTCATATAATATCCTACAGGAATGAGATGGGTAAGGCATGCACAGCAAGCGACCAAGGCTACACCGTATCAAACGCATACATGGGTGTCGACGAAAGCACTGCAGTGAGAAGGGGAAGGAAGTGCGTACAGAAGATGATTAAGTTAGGGTGCAAATACTACAAGCTGTCTATGTACGATGTAAATAGGGAATCATAAAATGCGCACATTACTCAATGATCTTCGTTACAAGCTCCGAAATCCAATGTATGACCTTCGTGGCGGCCTGTCCCTGGTTCGCTGGCAGGAACTGGAAGCTATTCGTCAACCCCTGCATACCCTGCTCTCCCAGAGCATCCAAGTGGTTCTTCCCTGGCCCGTGGGTCGCTCCATCATCGACGCTGAGCGTCGAGACTGACCCCCGGGTGGATCCTCTTCCGTCGGAGTCGTGTACCGCGACACGGAAGAGATTCGAGACAGCACTCAGTATTTCCGGGCTGGATGAGTTTGCGAATGCTTCGCGGATTTTGTCCAGGAGACTTTCATACCTGCGGAGCCAATAAGTGCCAAAGCGCAGAAGGAAAAACGAAAACGAGTCCTCACGTCATCGTAACAACATCAGGGAATGCGTCTGCAGTGTCAGACAGCAAGTTGTACAGGATCTTCGATTCCGTGTCGTCCGATTGGGCCGTCGTGAGCATCGCGCCGATGAAGGAAGTGACGAATAAGGCCATATTACCGTCAGCGAGCCCAAGAAGTGCGAATGGGGCTTTCGTGACGGGGTCGTCCTCGCCGAATAGAGCAATGAAGTCTTGCGCCATCCACGACTTGTCTGCGGCTGACTCCTCCAGCAACCGCCGGAAGTCTCTCACAGTGGTGGATGCCGGCAGCAACGCTAGGAAGTAGCCCAGTATGTCTTGGCAGATGGGGCTCTCTGGTCCGTCATCGGCGTGCTCTGTTTCCCCACAGGAGCGTACAGTGATCTTCATCAAGCTCCTCAGCGCAGCTTCCGTGGGATCACGGAGACCTGGATGCCGCATGCCTTTAAAGATGATTGCTGCCAGGGAGAACGAGAAATTGGACTCGAAGGAAAGACCAAGGAGTTGATCTAATTGACACGCCACCTCTTCAAGGGGAGCACGACCTTCGAGGAGAGTGGCTGCGACACCATGTTCTTTGAATGCACCCTGCTTGTCCATAGTCTCTAGAGTGACGCGCAGTAACTGGATAGCCTCCACATACGATCCTCGATGACTGCTCTGAAGTAGCGCCACTGCAAGCCAGAACAACTGGCAGAGGTAACGCGAGTTTCGAGGTAAATGGGGCGCGACATAACGAATGCAGCGCAACATGGCGATCACAGACATCGTGTCACTCTCACTTGACTGCGTCAACGCGGTCTTGAACGCTACGAGCATCTGATACAATAGATCATCATCGACATCGGACGTTGCGAGGACCCCTAATGCCACGAATGCGCGAGTTTGAACAGCAGGGGATAGTTGAAATGCGGACGACGTGACCAAGCTCATCCATCTTGCGCGCCAAACGTTGAGCAAGCCTAATCATCGCATATTTATATGACTGCAGCCAATTAAGCAAGTGCCCGCGCACCTTTCGTCCCGGACATAACCTCCAACACCCTGACCAGGAAGCGTACCAAGCCCTCCATCGTGTCAATGTAGAGCTTGTCATTTGGTGGATCAAAATTGACATAATCGCTAGTCGGAGTGGGTCGCAAGAGACCGAACAGCCGGAGCGTCTCAGGCTGTTCAAGTTCACCGATGATTTGCTGCAGTTCCGGACTGGAAACATTCCCCATGAGGTTAGTGGTGTAGAGACCGTTGGTTAGGCCAACAATAACCCCGTAGACTGAGGTCCGAACCAGCGTTTGACCAATGCCAGCTGTCAGGGTTACGAGGTGGGCAGCTTCCGGGAGGAACATAAGGCTTTGCACGAGGCTCTGGCCATGATGACATGCCACCAGAACCAGTTTAACAAGACAAGCAATCTCGTTCCAATGTACGTTATCACCCAGGTTCTTTGTTGGTTTCGTCGACGTTTTGCCGATGACCTGTGACCAAATATGTCAATAAATGTGGATTATCGCGTGGCAGAAGTCAACTAACTTTGCGAAGTCTAGACAATAGTCTGCCGCGAATATTGATGGAGGACATGGCCCCCATGCTATCGGCCACTCTTGCACAGCGCACAGATCCAATTCCACCATCGACGGCAGCTCGCATAAGTTCGTCCAGAACAGCATTCACGACGCTACTATCCAGCTTGCCGATCTCGGTCCATATGTACCGTTGAATCAGAGCATCCAGCTGTACTTTCGGGTCAGATGCAACTACCTCTGCGTTGCCTTCGCGTGCTTACCTCGTGATCGACCATAGTAAGATCGACTAGCACTCGAATACAGTCCCGGAACTTGGTAGCAGAGTGCTCGTAGTATTGGCTTGTCGGGTCCGTGAAGAATGCAAGATTCTTCGTCCAAGGAGCCATGTATTGCATACTTACAATCCGGTCGGGTACAACGGCTCTGCCCATGGCTGTAGACACCTCAGTGATGAAGTCTAGCGTCAGATGGGGAGCAAATTCGGCGAGCGCATCGCTAAGTTGCACGAGCATCGGGCCCGGGAGTCCGTTGATCATACTGACTGGATTGCATGTCAGCACGGAAAACAACAACGGATTGTGGGACATACTCTTGGATGTAAGTAATGGTCTCCCCTCGAAGTCCAGGTACACGCATATGGCTTGCAATAGCACATTCGCCGCAATCTTGACGTCCTCGTCGATCGAGCAGACTCCTATCATGCCAACATGCAACAAGGTAGCAACAACATTGGAGAATCTCGAGAGACGCTCTGTTCCAGGTAATTGAATGGGTCGCATGTTGCTCTTGGCATTACGAATCGACTGCAGAACGTGAGTGAATCGCTTTATTATGTGGACGAAAATACACGTACCTTGACAATCACATCCCGTACAGGTGATGAGAAGTACAGCGTGATACCATGCCGAGTTTTCCGTATTATGAACTCGTTGGGATCATGGCCAGTTGAAACATTGTACACGTCATTGATATCGGCGAGAGGAATGATGTCTGTAGCTTTACAGCTTAAAGAACCGCCGATCGACTGGGCCTTCATCTGATAGCGGGTTTACAAACGGCGTGCATTGTTTGGTGACGAGGCGACTTACTGTAGTAATGCGCAGATGGCTCTGTGCTACCTGCAGCTGCACTGGGACGCGCATAGGATGTGCTTGTCGTACTGTGACATCGTCAAAGATGTCGCACGGTTCTCCTTCTAAGGACACTGAAATCCATCGGGTAAATATGTTAACACAAGGAGCAGCGTAGGAACGTACTGGCATAATGAAGCGACGGCAGCGAGACTCCTTCTGGCATGTGCTGCAGTAGCTCTTCAAGAGTCGAACAAACGACCATGTTCGAAGATATACCCATTCCTGACAGCCAGCGAATTTAGCTTATCAAATAATAATAATGAGCAGCACGAACCGGAAGTCAGGTTGTACGTGCGACGCAGTGATTTCACAGCGAGGGTGTTGGGGGTCAAGACATAAGTTGTACGGAAACGTTTTCTTATGTCGGCGGGTGTAACCTCATATGCGAACTTTATCCATTGCACAGGCAGTTGGGAGGCAAATGAAAACGATGTGTAGTCAAGTATCATCTCGAACTCGCGGTTCACATAGGCGGGCGAACCGAGTACCTGAAAACCGCTTCCATATTAACCACACGAGAAAGACGCCCACAATCACATACATTGAAGATGTAGTATACTAGTAGTTCTACGTCAAGAACCTCGACATCAATCTTTGAAATCGACAAGATGAAGATGGCCTTGTCCTGTTTCATCTTTCAACGTGAAGAATGGAGCGATGAAAGCAGTATTCTAACCTGGAGTGATGGGGTCGAAGCCTCTACGAGTATATCTTGCATAGATCCCATGTCCCGATGTTCATATCTTGCCATCAAATCCAGGTATTCATGATGATCGCGGGTTGTAGCGTTGGAGAGACGAGGGGTCTCCAAAGGCGAGCCTAACTCTACCAATGCAGCGCAGAGTGCGTCCCAGATACGTTTACCATTGGCAGCAGATGCTTCAGTTTGAGGAGTCGTTTTCTCTGAAGGTTTCGCAGTGCTCAGTAGCTCCTTGCCGACCTTGTCTGCATGTTTCTCGAGGAAGCGGTGCAAGACGATGGTGTCTGTATCGTCGTAAGTCGTCTCCAACCATTCCTCCGGCTCTTCTTCTACACCAGAGGGAGAGAATTTCTAGTGGTTTAGTCAGTCTCAACTCTTGCCCACAAAAATATGGCAACAAACATTGAGCTCGCTGAGGAACTTTGTGACGTTGAAGATATTCTCGGAGAGGAATTCATTGAGGACTACCATGTGCGCTTCTTTGCCGAAGAAGATATTGTTTGCCAAGTTCTGAATGATTTTAGCAACCAACATTAGTCCACGACGGATAACGAGATCATCTTGCGGGATTTGAATATCGATTGTCTCTGGCGCGACAATAGCAGGTGAAATGAATCTGTGGAACAATCAGCGTAAAGGACAGGCTGCAGAATGGAGGGACATACCGCAGAAACATGAAAGCGCCGACTGCCGCAAACTTGGCCTCAGGCCAAACGTCATTCCTAGCTGGAAGTCGGCTCAAGCTGAGTAGTCAAAACGAAAGCATGCTTACACTACTTTTGCAATATGAGCACAGATTTCGCGAAGCATCCTGCGCTACAATTCGTCACCCGTACGAGAATTCGCACCGCGTAACACTTACGGAGGAACTGCTGGTATCGATGACAAGATGATTTGCAGGAATGAGGATGTGACCAACTTGATATTCTCCCTGTTCTGCTCCGCGACCTGTTCACCCACCTTGGCCGGATTCAGATCATATCCATGTCCAGCGGGCATCGAGGTCATCGTTTTGATCAGCGGTATGATGAGACTTCGGAGATAGTTGTAGCCATATACGTTGGCGAAGGCGGACAAGAATCGAGTACATGTAGAGTTGCCACGGAACAGTGACGTGTCGCTTTCTGTTGATGGGGAGTATGAGATTTGGAGACGAATTGACTGCACATGCTCAGTCTAAACAGACCTGTCCGTGCGACTTCAACGTCAATCATGTTCTTCAACAAAGTCATCAAAGACGATCGGGTGTCGAAGAGATTTAACATGACTGAAATGAGATTGTCCACCTGCCCTGCAGGACAAACCTCGCAGATGGCTAGAGCCAACGACATCTGTGGGATGTCAGGACGAGTAGGAAGGATAAATGAATGAACCTACATCGGGGCCTTTGACCAGCTGTAGTAACAGCTGAGTGCTCAAACGTCATGCTTGTCATGATTGGTGGGTACTGTACATACCTCACAAAGACGGCTTTGGCGATGCACCATTGGTTGATGATCTGGCGAAGCCAAAGAGATGCCTTCCGGAAGCACCCGACAGAAGACATAGCAGAAGATGATACGTCTCGTCGGGTCTTCGTCGTAGGCAAGCGGCAAGCAATGCTTCACACCGACTTCTGGGTTCGCGCTTACCAAAGACGCTAACCCAGTGATGACGAGTTCGCGCAATTCCCCATCGCGTTGTATTGACCGGACCTGTATAAATCCTCAGGGACTGAGCGCATTGGGCAGAAATAATTGGTGCTTACACCTGTGAGCGATGATTTGTCCGTCCCATCGTCCGCGGTCTGTGTAATGCTCAGTTGATGACGTTTGGTACAACGAGAAAGCACATACAGCAGCATCAGATCGCGTCGTATCCCACACTCTGAACAGAACAGCAGAATAACGTGCGAAAAGCCGTGACACAACATGAGCGGTCTCTTCACTACTCGTTCCATCAGGTGGTTCGAGTTTGAGACGGTCAAATAATTTCACGGCAGCACGGAAAGCAGCGACATTGATATCACGTTGGATAGGGAGGAGATCGCGGTCACACTAGCACAACGTCAGAATGATCACTTGAAAGGGCTATGACAAACTTACACTGGAGGTATCCTGTATCCATTCCACGATGATGTCAACAATCTTTTGCCTATTATTGCCATCCTTGCGCATTGCCATTGTTTCCCCTTGGTTGAAGACACTTTCGCACATGTTGCAGAACTTGAGTCGGAGACGGTAGGAAACGATGTCATGGAAACGTCCGATGAAACCAGCGATGACCGAGAGCGTAATGGGTAACTCCATGCCGCGAATCTCCTCCAAATACTGTACATTCTCCACTAGGACCTTCAGAATCCCGAGGAACTAGGGAACGTGAGATTAGACAGACAATACGGTATGAGCATTGACCTACCTGTTCGACGAAAATTGCAAGGTTATCCCAGTCAATACTATCCCCGAGCGAAAGTTGCTTGACGACGCTGCAAAGACGGAAGTATAATTAGCCAGTTGCACGAAAGGGGTGTGGGGACCCTACTTGTCCAGCTCCTTGAAAATCCTGGTATATAATCGAGGGCTCGCTTCGCTCCCCAGGGCATCTCTGGCCGTGTCTCGTACGATAATAGTTTCATGTATGAGAAGGTCGATGAGCTGTCGCAGCAGTTGTCCGAATAAGTCCTCTGGATCTCTCAAATTTTGCAGCTGATCCGGAAGGAAATACGGCGCCACATTCAAAGTCAGATTGAAAGGAGCGTCTGGGTTGCGAGCACAAGCAGAGCCGAATGATGCCAAGAATAGTGCTAGGTTCTGCCATTGGGCCAGTCGCTCCTATGGCCATCGACGTTAGCACCCTGATTTCCGATAGTCGAATGACAAACCTCTGTGGACATTGCTCGATCACCTATTGGCGCGCGGCCGCTGTCGAAGCCGTCGACTGTGCTATCGATCGTATCTCGTATGACCATCTCGTTTAAGAGGACCCATCGGAAGAAACACTCCTCCCACACGGCGATGTGCACAGCTGAGGAGGACGGCATGAGGCGCATGAGCTTCCGGACACGTTTCTGGTGTCCAATGCGACCTATCTTCTCGTCAACAATACGGCGACGGTCGGAAGTCAAGACGACGAACCGATTACCATGATTCTGGGGTCTCCAAGTTGCTCGTATATCGGATACCGCTTCACTCGCTCCTCTTCGGACATGCTTTTTGTGACAGGTACATCAGGCGAAGTCTCGGCTTGTGCAAGTAGACGAAGACAATGCGCAGCAGTCAGTGTCACATTCGCATCTGCGGACGTCAAGGACACGAGGAACGCGATCTCGGCGATGGCGAAGGATGGCAAGCGCCCCGTGGTCAATTGGATTTGCTTCATATGAGGCTGCGTCATTGTTAGCCAAAGCTCGAGGCTCACGAAAGGACTGGACATGCCGCAACGGAATCCCGCGTGAACCGATAAATAATCTCATATGCCATGTTGACCCACAAGCGCTGTGCCTGAAAGTCGGTTCGCGCGTTGAGGAGATTGGTGCATGCCGTCGCAAGAATAGCAGGCCTTAGCAAACGTCAGCCAAGGGTTAGGCCATACTCAGAAAAGACGTACCCTGCGTTTGCCAACCAAGTACATGATCTCTGAAAGAACGGATGCTCCGGCACCATCCTCGCAATTCGGTCCACCGTTGTGCGGAACGTCCGGGACATAGCCATCTTGACAGCTTGATCCCCCGGCGAACCCCAGCATCTGATGATAGTAGGGATGTATCCCGGAATCTGACTATCATCCATCGAAGCAAGATGCCACATTGGATCTGCCCGGAACAAAGCCAGAACCGAGAACGACAGGAGCTCCGGGTCAGGTAGCGTCTCGGAGGAATAACGTTTGGCTCTTGGCCGCAAAGCCGCCTTCTTGATTGTCCCAGTAGAATCCACCTCGCTTCGGCGCGTGGTGCAGGTCTAAGACATGATACCATCAGGACCTTGCAACATGGGATCTTGTCACTGGTTTTTCTTACATGATATATACGTAGCAAACACGATGCTGTTGCATCCCGAAGACCTGTCAAGGATACCTGCCAAGGGCACCGCGGAGCCTAACACTAAAAGTAAGCCACATGAACTCGACAATATTATGCGAGTAGCACACCTCTCTGATCATGGTGATGCATGCCTTGATCGCAGAGATTTTGACTGCATGCGAGCGCTCAGGTTCCAACGCGGATTTGAATATTGGGATCATCTCATCCTGTGGTAGGAACCGAAAGGCGGTGACCATGGCATCCGCGATGAGCGCAACATCGATCTCATCAGGACACTCCCAGAACGCCTTGGGACCATCCCAATTCAAGAGCAAGCGCTACATTTCAAGACACAGTGAGCTATAGACTTCATGGACGGCGCGTGATCGTACCTTCACTTCGTGTGCAACATCGTGTGCAACCATTTGGAGAGGATGCTCTGCTCCTTCATCGGCGGGGTGCAAGCGGAAGAACGCTCTAGCCATGTCGAGGGCACAGATTAGCGCTTCCTCCGAGAGCTTGTCTGCCACCATAAGGGAGCGCATCATAAGTTCAGCGAAACTACGATCCTGACGCATGTCATCAGGTTGTGAAGACGGCTTTGTACTACGTGCTGCATACCCTGCGTCCATAATGTCCTCTGGGTAAACCCAGGGAATTCGCCTGGTAGTCAGTCTTCAATCGGTCCGTGCTGATACATGACAGCGCCGAGAGCGTGGGCCATATGCCTGGCTTGTGATTCATCTCGTAAGAGTCCCATAGGATGTCAAATACGCGTTCGGGGGCACCATCCATTCGGCGGTGGTATCGAAGTGTCTCATTGAATTCCTCCGGGTATAGATCGATCCAGTTCCAAATCGCCGCTCGCAGTGGGATAGCGACCGCCAGCTGTGCTTCCGGTTTCATATTGAGCAGGAGAGAAGATAATTCTATAAAGAATATTAGAACTTGCTTTAAACCGATTATAGGGACCACCCACCTTGCAATGATTGCGTTAGACGTGTCTTATCCAAGGCGCTATGCATCATCAGTTGCAGGTCAACCGCATCGGTTTCAGAATCTATCGAGTTCGCCAACGTGTGGATCTTATTGCGGATTCTGTGCAAGACGATACTCCAGTTCGACGCTGACAGATGGTACACTATCCTCCCCGCGAACTTCGCAATAATGGTGTTGAGCGAGGATGCTGATCTCGAGGTGACGATCGACGTCTTCTCGTATACAATGGAGTGTTTCGAAGTATGCGCGGTCGAAACCGTGCTCGGAGTAGCAGACTTGAGAGATGTTGATGAAGCGTACTTCACCCGCGACAGCGGCTGTTTGTACGTCTGCGGGAAGGGCGAAATAGTAGGCGGCAAGATAGGGTCTGGGCCTGACGTAGTACCACTCAGGTAATCCAATTCGGACAGCATGTCTGGCGCATCCACCGACTCAAAGTCATGGTGGGATGCCGCAAAGTCCATGCTCGCAGCCGTCATCAACCTAGGCTTGAGCGGAGCCGTCTGCCGCAGTAACATTACCATCACGCTCAAGATGTACCGCGCACAGTTCTCGTCTAGCGGTGGCGGTTCGACGAGCACCGACAAGTGGTCCGTTGATCCTTGTTGCCGCCGCCTGCTGCTGCTGACGCTCTGTGCGTACGGAGTGGGCGCAGGGGAGTCGGGCGTTGTGGGCTTGGATGATGGGGTCATAGGCTGAACGGCAGGTTGCTTGCTATTCCGTGAATCTGGTCTGGTCGCGTCCTGACGGCGGCCCCATCGGGACGCCATGCAGATTGATAGCACTTTAAGGATGAACAGCTGTGACTGCAAGACGTCGACCGTCTTAAAGCCATTCGAGTCGGTTTGCTTGCAGGACGTCAGCTCGTGAGCCTCTTGGACATGTGGCTAAGGAATCACCTTGGCTAGCTTCTCCAACAGCTCTGTCAGTGCCCATCCTATGATGTCCAACGACTCGCGAGACATCTCGACAAGGGTCTCGACCACTTGCAGCACAGCATCATCGGCCTCTATCTCTGTGAGAGTGATTCCTGAATTATAGGGAAGCTGATCGTGCCAGGAGGCATCTCAGAAATGGGTCAGGACGATCAGTCCGGCTGCACTGACCTTGTTCTTGAGCCGATTGACGAGGACATATACTACTTTTTGCTGCGGCGTCGTGGGAACAGAGGTGCTGGAGTACGGCAAATTCTGGGACGGGGCAAGCAGAGAAGGTCCCGACATGCTGTTGTTTGACCCGTTGCTCTTGTGAACGCGAGACGAAGTGTTCACGATATTCTGAGCGGTGGCAGACGGGCGCCGAGCGGGCATGACGGACCGCTTGCTTAGCGAGGACAGGTTGGGCAACAGCTTGAAGGAGAAATGGGACGATGTGGAGAGGATAGACGACGCCTGCCTCGTCTAGTCTACACCGTCGCCCGCAACCAGCAGCACAGTCTACACTTTGACAGATATATTACGTAACAGGCGTATAAGGCAGCTCTCATACCAAGATGGGCCTGAGCCTCACAGCATTGATCGCAGCTCGCCGGGGTCCCCAACGCAGTGCCACGGGATCAGATGGACCCGGGAAGTCGTCCTTGATCTCCGCTCACGTGGCATTGTATACGGAAGCAGCAGTGCTGTTACTACGACCGTAAGTAGATGGTTTGGACAATTGAAGCCTCGTCCTACATATCATCCCTGAATCGCGCGGCTCTGTGAATTTACTATCGTCTGCAGCGCACAGCTCGAACCGCAGAGAGCTCGTGAGACTGGCCTCTCGCGTAACACTCGATCTTGCTAAAGTGCACTGGTTTTAAAGTCTACACACGCGGCCGGAGTAGTTCATGACGCTTCATATAGCCCTGCATTTCCGCCCCTCCCACAACGCGCTGTCACCACACCACCAACATGTCGCGAACACCTACACCCGACTCGCCCATGTCGAGCAGCCTGCGCCGCGCGACAGACACCATTGACGACCTCACGCTGGCGCTGAGCAACTTCTCGCGTATGTCGTCACCGGAACTGGCCGACGTTGCGACGTGCTGTTGTGGGAAGGATGACTGCGAGACTACGAAGGCATGGCAGGCATGGAAGTCCAAGATGGAGAGCCGTCTCATCTTGAGCGCAGGTTAGTCGCGTCGGCTCGCCAGCTCAACTCATGGACAACTTTTATGTCACTCAGAGGTGGGTCAAGCGCTTCTGGAAAGGCATGAAGCATACGTTCGTCGACACGAGGTCTGGTAGTCCAATTCAATCCTAAGCACGGCACGGCCCATTGATAATGTCTCAGTCAGCCAATCACTCGCCAATATCTCAATTGCCCAGCACGAGTTCCGCCGAGGAGCATGTTGATGCGCGTGTAGCAGATTTAGTCAAAGAGGTATGCAAATACTGGTCCTGTGTCCTTGAATAACATCATAACGTGGGTCTTCCGTAGAACGCTGTGCTCGAGAAGGTTTGTTGACACAAGTATTATCCCTGAACGCCCCGCTTACCTTGATTTCCAGCGCTTGACCCAAGCCCTGGTGAACAATGAGGTCGCCGAGTCTTCCCATAGAAATGCTTTGCAGGAGTTGCAGGAGGTTCAAGCGAATGCCGCGCGACTCGCTGCGCAAAATGCTCGTTCCATTGGTTGGGAGAATAGGCTGGCTGTAGCTCTCCAAGAGAAAGACGACTACCAGCAAGAACGTGACATTGCATTGCAAAGAGCAAAGCTCGCGGAAGCGCGTATTTCCGCCCTCAAAGAGAAGTGCGGTAGGTGCACGTTGGTCCTGAAGTATACGGATACCAGTTCATCACACCATTAACAGCCAAATCGCAGGCACAGCTCACGCGTCTGCGTGAAGACTTCGACATGCAAAGGTTGCATCGCCAGGAACTCTCACAGGAGATTCTCCAGGATGCTCGGCAGCGCCTGGCTCAATTGCAACAATCAGTGGGTCATCTTTTTGCTCCAGGGAGCGTCGCTGAAGTCGATCTCTACAGGAGTCTGGACCCTCCACACTAAGCGAGGACGCTGAAGTTACAAAGATCCTTGAGTCACTGGTCGCGGATAATGAAGCCTTAAAACGTGACAATGCTGAGCTTCAGAATATGCTAGCCGAGACTCGCGAAGACGTCCGCGCTCTGCAAGAGGAAGTGGAAGAGCGGCGTGCAGGCGACACCTCTTTCCGACGTCATCGTTACACGAACAGTGGACAGTCGTCTAACTTTGAGGCGTCATCGCCGCTATCTTCCTCTTTCCATGTCGGGACCGTGCCTGCAAACTCTTTGCTCCATTCGTGGCAGCGACATGGCCATCTTGGCACACCGTTCAACCGTCGTGCCGCCAGCGCTGAGCGTTCCACGCGGCGGGGTTTCGTGAGTGTTACTTGACTACGAGTTGGCTACGATGAGTTGATCGTGTTCTAGGAGCCGTTGACGCCAGAGACAGACCGGCGGCCTTTGTCACCCACCGACTCTCTCGTTCCCTCCGAGATGAAATGGCCTTCGTACGGGCATCCCCGTACTCAGCACGGCTTCGATGTCGATGAAGACAGTCAGCATGAGAACCCAGCGACTCCCGAGAGGACGCGTGCTCACAAGTCTCTGCTTATGCTGACGCGCTCGCGCGGCGTGCAAACGGACGGAGTATGGGGCGGGTATGGTGGGCTGGGGCCTTCGCCTGTTCCGCCTTCGTTTGGAGACCACATGTCGTCTAGCACACCCCACGATGGCCAGTCGGAGTCGTCTTCTTTAACTGATAGCCACCCTGGTGCAGTCAGCGCACTCATCGAGCGAGTATCTATGCTGCTCAACCGCCTCATCCAGGCGGACGCCCTGACGTTGACCAATCGGCTGAAGCGTCAACACCTGCTGGGCGCAGACGTCAGTCATCTCTCCCGCAACACTGTGAGCAGCATACTGCACGAGGCGAACACCCTTCGCGCGCACTTCCGCGCGTTCCTGGAGGATGAGAAGGCGACCATGGCGTGCTCGCGGCGGGACCTGCGTGCCCTGTTCAAACTGTTCAAGGACTTGTTCACGGAGATGGGACAGATGCGCGTCACCCTCAATGACGTTATTCTCGACCCAACAGTGGCCGGTAAGGTCAGCGAGATGGCCATGCACCCATCGAAGAATACCTCCGCGGACGCGACGAACGGCGACCAGTCCACCAACGCTGCGGCATCAAGTTGGATGGCCCCAATCTCGAAGTTCCTTGGTCTCCCGGGTCTCGGAAACCCAAGCGATAGCGCCGCCACTCGGGCACTGTCCCCACCTTCTAGACCCGGAATGCGTGCGCCCAGTCGCATGCCTTCCCGTATCGTACCCAAGCGCGAGGCGGCGCTGTCCGCGTCGGCGATGACCGTCAACGTCGAGTTTAGCGGGACGGCGGTTGGGCGGTCGGTCACGAGTACCTACTCTGCACACCCTGCACGGCAGGATAGTATCAGCATCCTCGCTATGCAGGGCGCCCTTACCCAAGTAGTCCCGCCGCCGAATGTCTCTCGGAGCGTTATGGGCATTTTTGCAGGCGCACCACGGGCGGAGGATAATGCGGATCCGTGGGTCGTCATCCCCAAGCCACAGCGTGCAGGACCTATGCCCGACCTCGGTGGACCAGGCACTGCCACTGTCGGTCGGTCGGCCCTACGGAGAACCAGTAGCAGAATGTCGCGCATGGTTGACGCCGTCATTGACTCGCACGCTGCGCAGGGTGCGACGGGTGAAGAGCAGGACGTCGTCGGATCTCTGCTAGACCGCACGCTCACCCGCCGAGGCCTGTCAGATTCCTCTATCCACACCACCTTCCTAAGCCACGAGGAACAGGGCAGCCCTCGGCGATCTATCCACGAGGAGTCCGAGGAGTCCGCTCCACAGGACCGCAGCTCGGTTCTCCAGGCGCTGAGCAGGAGAATGCAGAACTTCCGGTTCGCCGGGCCAAGCACAACGTCGAGCGCAGACGCGGGCGCGCCCGTCTCGCGCCCTGACACGCCCGTCTCGGGCGCAAACGCCGGAGACGGGCGGCAGACACCAACTGGTACGCATGCATCCTCTCCGCACGCGATGTCGCCGCCCGCGGTGAGGCTGTTCTCCGCTGCAAACCTCTCCTCATGGGCTACTGCTTCCCTGGACCCTTCTCAGGAGCCGTCGTCGTACATGGCTGCCAGCCCGCGTGAGGAGCCGTTCATGCACCGACTCGCCCGGGATCGAAACATGTAGTCCCCCTTCCATCAGTATAGACCGTCCTGCCTCTCCGATCTCTGTGGACACGATCTAGAGTAGATCCCATTTACACTCGGGTTTCTGGTCTTGCACAGCACAATGTAAGTAATGTCACCGGTTGTTTACTTCTCGTTGATACCATGTAACATATACCACTTACATCACCATCATTGTGCGCATATAATGGCTCGCTTCCTATCAGGCCCGTGGCTCTCGCAATTACCTGGCTGCTGTATATCCAGAATGATCGAGGGTCTGTTCCACTGTGACTGCCGAGCCTTGGCATCCCGAATCAATGCCTGTCGCTGCGCTTGCGGTCATGGGTGCATTGAAGTTAGCTCTTGTCAAACCGTGGAGACCTCGTAGCCTCGAAGATCGCAGTTACTACACCAGCAATGTATGCACCGCTCGGGCTCCCCACGCTCTCCTCCGGAATCGAGGCTGATAGCGCAGTAAGATCTGCGGTATTTTAGCCTGGGATATGCAATCATGACCACCGACGCAGTAAGAGCTACTCGAGACTGTCGACAAGATGACATAGTTACAGCACAGGCATCATCAATATCAATTGCCTCCCGGGACACTCACGACACCAGTGCAGACGCTTGACTCCTCCGAGAACAGCCGTCGTGCACATGGCCCCCTCCCTCGAACACACGCACAGAAATCGCTTCCTCCTGGCTGGAAATAGCATGTCCCACCATAAATAAGCGGTGTCCTTAGGATGACAGCGTGAGTAATGCTAAGATTACTGGGGCTGTAATGGCAGATATCGGGCTGGTTGCAAACATCCAGTCTGGTCTGTTGGTGTAGCATCGTGCAGTCTGTGGTATCTGCATTCCTCGACGCCTGGTTACCGTAACGGCAATCGGCGGCAATAATGGATGGTCAGGGGTGCAAGAGGCGCATGACATTAGAAGGCTGTGTGAATATGATTCAGATGCAGGACTGCGGATGCTGTCTATTCGCTCCAGTCTCAAACGCTATTGACATTGTATATATATCCTGTATCTCAGGGTGTCTGGCTCTATCGCATCTCCTTCTGCAGCGGTGCCCCATATTCCACCAATGTCGCAAGATAACAAGTACCGCGCAGAGTCCCCCAGCGAGCACTCCTCACGTGGAAACGTCGTTGACCACAACGCTCCTAACGGTGAGCCTTAAGAGGTTGGATCGTCGCAGATTAATTGGGGTCTAAGGCACACCTGTTGAAGTTACAGACGACAATGGCGTACAAAGGACCAGGAGAGCGCCTCTCAATGGCGAGCCTCATGTGATCAAGGTGCAGCCTCTCAAGCGAAGCGAGATGCAGGTGTGTGCTTTCACCACTTGTCCTTGCCTCATGATATTGAAAATAGTCTTCACTCGTAGCCCTCGTATGCGCAGGACCTCGGCACATCTGAGGTGACCCATGGCGTATATGGCAATATGATACAGGCATTGGGCTCTTGCGTCGGGTTCTGTGGCGCTATCCCCTGTTGCCCATTGCCTAACCCCTTCCGCAACATCCCTCAAGGTACGCCGGTGCTGGAAAGGTCGCTTATAGTGCTCATCGTTCTCCCCAGGCTCCGTGGGGCTTGTCAGCCGCTTCGGCAAGTTCTACAAGTCCGTCGACCCCGGGCTCGTGCAAGTGAACCCCTGCACGGAGGCCGTGCGCATCGTCGATGTCAAGATCCAAATCGTGTCGATTGGCAGACAGAAGGTCATCACGCGCGATAACGTCGACGTCGAAATGTATGTCCTGCCTGCACCTGCGCAACAATGGATACGGTGCTCACACTCACCTCGCACAGCGACTCCGTGATGTACTTCCAGATCACAAGCCCCTACCGCGCAGCCTTCGGGATCACCGACCTGCGCCAGGCCCTCATCGAGCGCGCCCAGACGACACTGCGGCACGTCGTCGGCGCGCGCGCCGTGCAGTCCGTCGTGACCGAGCGCGAGGCGATCGCGTTCGAGATCGCCGAGATCGTCGGCGACGTCGCGGACAAGTGGGGCGTCGCGATCGAGGGCATCCTCATCAAGGACATCGTCTTCGGCCCGGAGGTCTCCGCCTCGCTCTCGTCCGCCGCGCAGCAGAAGCGCATCGGCGAGTCCAAGGTCATCGCCGCCCGCGCCGAAGTCGACGCGGCCCGCCTCATGCGCCAGGCTGCGGACATCCTCGCGTCGCCCGCCGCGATGCAGATCCGCCAGCTCGAGGCGCTCCAGACGATGGCCAAGACCGCGAACAGCAAGGTTGTGTTCGTGCCTATGCAGCTGCAGAGCGATGTTGTCGGCAAGATGGCATACCAGGGTGAAGCGTCCGGCTCTGGCTCGGGTATGCTTAGTAGCGAAGCTGGCGATGGCGTCGGCGCTGCTGGTCGCGCGGGGCTTCTTAACAGCGTCTCGCAAATGTAAGCACGATGATCAGCATTTGTCGACATCGTTCACTTGATTGTTATTTGCCCCTTTGATGACGTTGATGCTCTTGATGTCTGTACGCGCTACCTTTATGACCTGTCCTCCACACATGTATACTAACTAGCCTTCGGATGCTTCTTGTGTAATGCCATTGATACCATTTTGTTACAATAATGTGCGTTCTAAGCCCAAACTTATTAACAATATCCACAATATCCAAGAGAACACCCTCAAAGCCCTCAGCGTGCGGCAGTACACCATACAGGTCTTACCGATAAGCGGGCACGGCCAGAATAAGCACGGTAAACGCCTGCACAACCATGAGCGCGCAGGACACCACACGAAGCCCAAGCACGTACCAAAGTGAACCAAAACCCTGCATATAGCATGTCCCGCATGATCTGGCGGTGCACCGCCTGGATCCGCGGATCCAGCACGACCCTCTCCGGGCCAAACACAGGCGGACGCGCATACGCGACCTCTTCGTCCGCCCGTGCGCCATCGTCCCCATCCCGGCTCCTCCGATCGCAGTCACGGCCCCGCCGCCCGCCAAGGCCAGGGAGCCGCGTGAACAGCGGCTTCCCTGCGCCCGGTTTGCTGGAGCGGCGGCCCTCGGACGGCGGGGGCGTGCGATCGGCGGCGAACGGCGCGATGGCGCGGACGTCGTCGACGCGCTCGATCGTGCACACCTGCGCCTTCTCGGCCGACTTGTGCCGCGGGGACGCGTCGGGGCGCAGGACGCGCGCCCAGTGGTGCGCCGCCTCGGCGTCCATCTCCTGCAGCTCCCACACGCGCAGCTGCGTGTGCCCGCGTCCCCACACCTCGCTGCAGAACCTGCGCATGCCACCACAGACGAACCGTCCACATTCGGTCAGCAACACGTCGCTTGTGCACAGGAATCGTGTATGGACTCACCCGCGCCAGGCGGAGTACGCCTGCATGAAGCCGATGCCCGCGAGCGGCACCGCGAAGAGACGCCACGCACGGCTCGCCTGCGGCGGCGCGGGGAGCGCCGTGATGAGCACGATGGCGAGCACGACGCCGAGGAGCACGTCTGCGATGCCGACGGCGTACCAGAAGAGCTGCTTCGGGCGGTTGATGTTCGCGGACGCAGACGCGAGGAAGCGCGGGAGGCTCGTCGTCTCCAGGATGTGGTAGATCTCCTCGTACGCAGGGAGGAACTGCACGCGCCCCGCTCAGTGGGTGGCTCGGCGGCGGGAGAGAAGAGGACTCACGACGTCTGGGTGCGTGTTCCACGTGAGGTCCCGGATGACCGTGTCGCGCACGACGGGGTCGAGCGGCAGCTCCTTCGCGGCGCCGGGCTTGAAGAACGTCGCGACGATGCGCATGCCTTCCTTGCGGAACGGCTGCTGCCTCGACTCTGGCGTGATCGATGCATGCGGCGGGTCATCCCGACTCATGAAAGGCGAATGCGCCGTCGAATTGCGCTCATCACTCGACGACCTAGACCGCCCATGCGAAGGGTTTCTGCTTAATATTGGCGAAGTACTGGCGTCGGCGCGCCGGAGCTGGTCGGCTTGGCGCATGCTGTCGGCTACCCGCTGTGCCGTGCGCGCTGGACTGGGTACTGCGAAAGCGAAGTCCGTGCGGCCTGGACTAGACGCTTGGAGCTTGTCTGGGAGAGCCATGAACCGCTCGCGGTAGTCTTGGAACCAGACAACAAACTGCAGGTTTTCCACGGTGTACTCCTGTGTCGGGTTTAGTATGGCACAGTACAAGTCAGGGATGGAATAGCTTGCCTCATGGATCAAATACGCTTCAAAGTTCGTGAGACTAGGGGCGAGCTTCAGCAAAGTATATCCTCGCGAGAGAAGGAAAACGCACCTAATTGGATAGCATGTATCTCCAGAAAGGATATTTTCGAGCTTCACCTCGGACAAGTGCGACCTCCTGGTGACACGGTTTGCATACTGCTGCAGAAACGCAGTGTACGCTCGGGTCCCGCCGCCGTTGCGATGTCGATAATTGCTTAATAGCTCCATACAGTGGCAAGAGGAGATAGCAAAAGGGCAGTAAGGGGAGCAGGATGACCCATGTCCCGGACAGCGTGCGCTGTAGGGAGTGCGGATGCAAGTCCTAATGAAGGCAGCGTCGGCGGATAGTCGATTTTGGACGCGGAAGCTGCTGTTGCGCCCAGCGAACGGCTGGGTTGTCACTAAGACGGGGGTGAAAGTTGTGGCTAGAAGCGGCAGGAATGATGATATCTGCGCCCAAGAACGTTCGCCGTGCCCGCTGAGGAGCAAGTCATAAGCGGACGCCTACAGTGGCCCGGGAGCAGCCCTCAGACTAGAAGACGTTATAAGTCGGCGGGGTGTTCTGGGGTGCAAGCACTAGCGTGCCGGGTGCATGACGCAGAATGGGCGACCATGGTGCGCCAGTGGCCAAGATCGAGGGATGCACTCACGTCCGATCCGTGGCCGTCGCGATCGACCCGCCGCCCACCACCAAATAGGCTCGTTCTTCAGCGCTCGGCTATCACTCGTGGGATGCAGTCGTCTGAAAACCCGTCGTGGACGACGAGTAACACTCGCGCGGTCTCGGACAGTAACGGAACGGATCGAAACGCGGGGAGATTGATATTCGAGAGAATAGCGCTATGTATCTAGAGGATGGTGGTGGAACGGGGAAAAGAAGAGATTTCCGCGAGCTCTGGTGCGAACGCGAAAGCCACACGCCGCGCCAAACAGCTTGACAGGCAGGTACAAATAAATGACGTTGATGCGACGTCGAGTCCGAAAGAGGAACTGAGTAAGATGTGCGTAAGCATCGTCCTCGCTCGCTCGTCCATGTTGCGGTGCGTCCCCGAGGGGATCGAATTACCATAAACGGCAACGCATCAGTTCGACTCAAGGACCCGGATCCGGACCTGGAAAGGACTCGAATCGGCTCTGCCCGCAAGCGTGCGTGCCTTGCACTGGTGACCGCAGGTTCTCACGGCACAGGCCTATATCCTCGACGACTCGAAACAGCACGATGGATCTGTCTAACACAACGGCCAGCGCACGGCCCTCTGACGCCCACTCCTACCCCCCACGACGATGGCACTCAACTGCGCCATGCTGAGCCCCTCGCGGGCACCCATCCCCCTCCCGAACGAACTCACGATCCGCACCATCGAGGGCGGCGTCGAGCTCAGCCTGATCGTCCCTGATGCGCCCCCCGCAGGCTCGTCCAGCTCCGGCGGCTCGGGCGGCACGAGGAAGCTGAAGGACGTGGGCCGGCTGTGGCTCACCGACCAACGCGTGCGCTCGCCACTGCTGTTCGCGACTGACCGGGAACGCTAACGCCGCCTTCTCTCTTCTTGCCCCTTGCCCCTTACCCCTGCCCCTTGCTTCTGCCCGATCGCAGCTGATCTTTGTCTCTGACGGCGCACCCAGGTCCGCGCTCGAGTCGCTCTCCGTGCCGCTCACCGCGCTGCTGTCGACCAAGTTCGAGCAGCCGTACTTCGGCTCGAACTACCTCGAGGTCGACATCCGGCCCTCGCGCGACGGCGGGCTGAGCGACGGCACGACGGCGGAGATACGCTTCAAGGACAAGGGTCTCTTTGAGTTTGTCAGCGCGCTGGAGAAGACGAGGGAGCGGGCCGTGTACATGAAGAGACAGTCGGCGGACGACGAGGACGAGGGCCTGCGTGCGTGCGATGACTGGTTATTCCGAACCTGTGGATGCTGATGCTCCCTGCCATAGCCTCATACAGCCCGCCAGAACCAGGCCCGTCGTACTCAGCCCGAGTCCCGGATGAAGCTCCGCCTGGCTACGATGCTTAGACTGACAGTGTAGACAGTGGTGGTAACGGATTGGACAGACTCTGTATAATAGGCCATACCAATGTATTATGCTCGTTGCACATCCCGAGTGACCTACTAAGTTTGAAATTGTCGGCGTTGAAGTAGCGTATGTCATGCCCACCAGGGACCTCATGTGCCGCTTACCTCTGAAGCCATATCTTGGCCGAGAGACACGATCACAGAGCAATTCGCAAGTCGAAATGCCTAACAAGACGGATAACAGTTTGTGAATGCTCCAAACGGTCAATGGTGTAGAAAGTGTGTGTAAGGCCATCAATATGGGTTGAATTTGCGCGATTGCTTCAGCTTCTCCACCTTCGCCTTGTCCTCCTCCCATCTCCGCTTGAGGTCCACCAGCTCTGTATAAAGTCAGCACGGTGCCCGCCCATGTGAAGGCAGTACACTCACCCTTGCGCTTCTTCTCGTGTACCTGGAACGCATAGAACGCCTCCTTCTCCTTCTTCTCTTTATTATTTTTCCTGCTCCGCTTCCCGCCCTCCTGGCCCTTCTGGAACGGCTTGCTCGCGACGGCCACGCCGCCCCCGAGCGTCTTCCCGTATGCGCCGCCGCGGGTGACGAGCGTGAAGCCGTCCTCGTCGACGATCGCCTCGCCCATGCGGTACTTGCTCGCCTGCCGCGCGGCCGCCTGCTCGTGCTCCCAGCGCGCGACCCACGAATCCGCGTGCGCCTTCACCGCGTCGAGCGGCGGGCGCAGTGCGTCGTGCAGCGCGCGGTAGTGTGCGAGGCCGGACGCCACGGACGGGTCTGCCGGCCAGGGTTTTGATTTGGATGTGGGTGAGAGCGCGCGGGCGAGGGAGGACTCGTCGAGGAAGACGACGTGCGCGGAGCGGCCTGTGCGCCGGAGCGTGCGCAGAGACGGGGATGGGAGCGGGTGTACCTGTGGAGGGGCATCCCCGGCCGTTCTCCGCTTTTTGCGGGGTCGTTCTTCTTGTGCGTCGTCCGCTCCCGAAGCATCCGCGGCCTCCTCTCCCTCGCCTTCGCTCTCGCTTTCCTCGATTGTGTGCTCGTCTGCTGCCTCGGCATCTCCGTCGAAGGCGACCCGTTCTACGGTCCCGCTGGACTTGAAGAACTGCGTGAGCTCGCGCTCGGTGGAATCTGGGGGCACGTTCACGAGGAAGAGCGTGCGTCCCGCTGGGAACTCGACTTCCTTGCCTTTTCCCTTAGATTTGGAATTTTTTGAGCCGGTGTGGGCGCGTGCATAAATTACATGCGTCGAGGTCGCCGAGTAGGACACCGGAACAACCGTGAAACCAGAGACGGACATTGGCAGCGCAGTAGACTGGGCCATGGCGTGGATAATGTATGCGCACAGCGGAGAGGGAGGTTGTGGAGGAAGGTTGGCCGATCGACTCTGCAGAACTGAATTGACGGCGATCAATGCGACCACAAGGCACGCATGCATGCGGGCAGAGCCGATTCGAACTGATGCGTTGCGGCCGGTCTCGGGGGCGCACCGCAACCGAAACGACAAGCCTTGTCGAAGGCTGCGATCATACAATGTAGCCTTCCTCGCTCACTTTGCTACACTCAATGCGGTTCATTTCCTAGTACTCGTGGCTCATGTGCAACAACGTTTCCATGCGATTTTGTATCGCAATATCTGCCAAGACCAGACACTGACCGAGTCTAGGTCCAGCCACGCAGATTCAAGCAAGAGGAACGCATGTATTGGACAAAACTCTATGAACAAGATGTACGAGTACTCAGACCGACGACCTGTCGGCTCTCGGTGACCGATAGACATGCGGTAGGATCCAGGTAGGGCCGTCTTTCTTCGCTGCCGTAAATTGACGTGATGATTGCATTCCAGTCGTGCAACCGGAAGCAGAATGAGAAACGACAGGCGAGAAGATGTATATAGATGTGGCGACATCCACGACGCCTCATGCGCTCCGCGGGTCGCTGTATGCTACCACCACGGGCGGCAAGCGGATGACCTCGAACGTCGACTCGCGAGAGTAGAAGCCCGACAGCGCGCCGTAGTATGCGCCGGCGGTGGCCGCGAGACCGAATGCACCGCCCGCCGTGTTGACGTGAGGGTTGGCTGTTTAAGTGTTCCATTCTGGTGAACATATATATACGTGAGGATTGCCAAATGCACTTACGGTGGAAGCAGTTGGCGGACAAGCAGCCCAAGGAGATGACGGTCATACCCAGCGTCCAGATGATTGGTGCAGTCGTGCGAAGGGCACCAATGCTACCATCGTGCCTTAGCTGTTGTTCAATTATTGATAAGCCAGTTTACTCACCAGAACAGACCAGTGATGAGGCTATTGCAGCAGAGGTATGAGTATCTTCGGGTCTTGGGTTATTTACACGCTACTTACCACCAAATCGCCAAGTAGATTCCGATGGCGTGTGTGAACTCCTCCGTGACCACCCCATTCACGGAGTATGCGTCCCTGCAATGACAGTGAGCGGTCTTACTCCATAGATAGCGGTTGAATCTTACGCAATTCCGATCTGGGGAAGGTAGAGTGCGCCATAAGAGAAATTGAAGCCTCCGTAAGTCGCGAAGACCGTCCTGTTTCATCCGCACAGCATCGCACATTATGATGAGCGCCCAGCGGAGTGATATTGTGGATGCTACACTTACCCTGCGAATGTATGTCTTCAAAAGCAAGGCCCTTGAGAATATGCATAGAAGGTATTCAGGGGAATCCTCACCCAAGGTACAACTCCCACATCCCGACCAACGTCTGTGAAATACCGCCATAGCTGCCAACCATCATCACAAAATATCCCGATCGCCGCTGATCACACCCGATACTCACAACGTGGCGAAGAGCAAGACAAGGTTCGGGGTCGTCACGCCGCCCGCACCAAGGGTCAACAGTGATGAGCACAGGAAGACAGTGCCGTAGGCTAGCATCCCCAAGGGCGTCTAGGGAGAAATCAGACCCGGTGAGTACTACTGTTGCTACAAGAAATCGGAACCGAAGCCTACTGGGTTGCCGATCTGGTGCACCGGTGCTACAGGTGCGGGCGGTGCAGCAGGACGAGGCTCAGGGCTGAGAGGCTCGCCGAAGTAGTTCCCGTGGTTGCGGCTTTCTGCCCTCGTCATGACAGTGACGCCCTCATTTTTGTCATACTTCTCTGTCGACGCGGTGGACATGGTGCAGGCGGGGAATGGGCAGAGACGTGAGACAGATGGCAAGGGATACCAGACCAACCAGTGTGAAAGAAGCCACGACTTCTTATACTAGGGCCAAGAGCTACGCAAGGTTCCGTGTGCTTGTGCGTGGAGCCGATTTTCTACTGATGATTCATGTTCGCACGGATGATGGGAATCCAGCATCCCAGCAATTGCAGGAGGCCGGCGACCTAATCATCCAGAGGGCCTCCTAAATCCGGCGTGAGCCCCATTGTTACCATCTAACTCGTTTCTCACCGCAGTCCGCAGAACGACAAGCTTTTTCTGCATGTCCGATAATCTAGCGAGTGGTCTGGAGCCTCGCTAGTCTAGTGACACACAAGGGCCTGTGAATGGCGAATGATCTGCGCGCGTTGTGGCGCGGTTGAGCTCGCGAAGGACGCAAAAGAGTAAGTGCGATCGTTGCCATCCACGGTGGCCTTTCCACCATTAACCCAATCAAGAAACATACCGTATGGTATGCCTGCTCAATATCAAATGCGAGTAGCTTCTCGCTCAATGCATTGCACATGGACACAGACCCACCGGATATACGCTTTTAATCTATCTGGATGTGCCAGGATCCCACGGAACGACGCCATGTCAGGTACGCCAGCCGTGCATCGACTGTTTCCATATCGTCTAGAAGCCACTTTTTCTCATACCAGGACAGAGGCAGTGGGAGGGCTTGATGCTAGCCACTGTCTGCGAAGTCATGGTCAATTATAGAAAGCATCCCCCGATGGCACGGGCCTTCTGTGATCCAGGATTAACTCCCGTTTGCCATGCCGGCGCCGCGGGTTCTGCGAGGAGTCGAGCCGGACATATCTCAGACCCAGATGCGTACTTACCATATTTGATAGATGCAATCGATACAGCTCGTAACCGAGCCAAGAGAGTGCTAGCTCCGATGTCTATGGCAGAAAGATGCATTTGTGGAGCAGACCGGGAGATAAGATAACACAGGCCTCTCCTGTACTGCCGTCTGTGAGTCCATCTGCATCAAGGCCGGCTTGGTTTTCGTTATGATACCATGCACATTGCAGCCTATCAGAATCTCATGGCACGTCTACCACTGGACGTCAATTCAATTGGCTGTTGCGTCTGTTATGCTCATATGCTCCCCCGGGCCATGCCATGTTCTCACCCCGGTGGGCTTGTTCTCTCACCGGGAGATATAGGAGTGCTATCATCTCATACGCCCAAAAGAAGCACGGCTAGCAGCAGCGTGAGTACAAGCACTCACGCTGATCGACTTCAGATAGGACGAAAGAGGGACGCTCGCTGCGGAAATTCTCGTTCCATTCGTTGGTACATCATTGAAGATGCATGGGCTGTTCGATCCCCTGCCTGGCATATAGGTATCAGACCTGGATATCAGTAGCTTGTGCAGGTTGAAGGAGATATCTACTCTGCCCTTAGGAGACCAATATAGATTAATATTCGCAGCATCGGAACCTCCCGGATGAGCAGGCACCACCCATTCTGTGGCGCTATGTTTTGCGAGCCTTGAATTGTTGTCATGGCTACCTGGCGCAATGGTAGCGCGTTTGGCTTCGATCGCCGACGTCACCAAAAGGTTGCAGGTTCGAGTCCTGCGGTGGTCATCTTTTTGGTCTGGTTTTCGCTAGCAATCGGAAATATCATGTAGTTGATAAGACTGTATTCTGTCACATTATTGATACAAGCAATGCGAGCATTCCGTTGAAATCCTGAGCTATGCTGTGCGCGAATGTCCGTGATGGTGTGCGTACGATATAGAAAGTGTGGCTAAAGTAACGCGGCGAGCTGTTGTACAATTCTATCTCACGAGTGCAGAAATCCACCATCCTCTTCTTGATGAAACTCACATGGCTGGCTCCCAATGGCTATGCCCTCTCCAGACGCGAGGCGAATTACCTGCATCTCTTCTTCTCCAGGCACGCGTACACGCACGCACAGGTCATCTGTGACATCGTCCACGAAGTGCAGATGACCGCAAACCCCATCGCCGAACGGATGTGGGAAGAACTCGTCGTCGTCCGGGGTATCTGGCTCGCGTAGAAAGGGGTGCGCGAGGGCCCGACGCGGAGTAATGCGTCGTGGGGCCTCGGGATGCATAACCTGCTCGAGGAAGTCGACGGCGTTCTCGATGTCCGTGGTGTAGGCCTCAGGATCAGGTGCCGCAAGCAAAGGGGAGGGCGATCGCGCCGGCGAATAACGCGATGACGATGACGAAGAGGGAGGGCCGGCGTGTGGACGCGCAGCGTCAGCGTAAGGGTAGAATCGCGGATCCGGGTCTGGCGGCTCCCGAAGGTGAGGATTTAGGCGTTCTACGAACTCGCGCCAGGTTATTCCCTCTGTGGTGAGCGTGGGCACGTTGGTCTGGAACATGCGGCCTGAGAATGGGATTGGTCAATATGCACTCTTGCTTACAGTATGCGGGGAAGCAGGGCCGTACTGTGGAGGGTAGCAGCCTTCTCCATTCTCCTCCTCCCAACGACGGAGGCAATCTCCATCAGCGCCTCGACGTCGTCACTCGAGTGGAACAACGGGAACTTCCCCGTCAGGAAGAAGAGGAGGATCATGCCTGCGGACCAGACATCTATTGCTATAGTGATGAAACACAACGTGAGTGCTACTGGTTCGCGGATGTCGTTTCTCTCGGGATAGCAACTCACCACCTGTCTGCTCACCGCATTTAAACAGAACCTCAGGGGCACGGAAACCCCTGGTACCTGCACGATTTGCTTTCGAGACAGGTCTAAACGACATCATTCAGGAGCACACCACTCATGGCAAGACGGTTACTGGCCTGTTATCCTTCTCAGGATAGCCAACTTTCTCCGGAGGTAATAGACTCCTCATTCGAGAATCCTTCTGTAACTGCTTGATGTGCTCGAGGTCAAATTCCTCCCGGTCTCTTATTCGACCATGAGGGAATTCCCGCGAGGGCGCAGTATGTAAGCAGGCACCGAGTGTGGGTCCCCGTTCCATGCGCTATAAAATCCAAGTGAACATGTTTGTGAATTGTTGAGCCAATTGTGAGGACTCCGAGAAGAAATGGTTAGGCACTCACGCACGCGAGTCCGAAGTCACAGAGTGTGCCTATTCCCGTTCGAGAATCGAACAAGAAATTGGCAGGTTTCACGTCACGATGGATGATACCCCGCGCGTGAATATCGCGCAATGCTCGGAACATACAGCGGAAATATGCTTTAATACCTTCCATTGGCAAAGTCCGGTAGTAATCCTATTTAGTTGCGCCATAGTGAGCGATGCCCTCAAAGAACTGCGGAGGCTGTGCTACTTACTCGGAAGTCCTGGTTGCGATGATAGGGCATAATGGCGACCACCTGGTCACAATGCCGGAACGCTGTGATCAGCTGCGAGATATGGCGGCAACCTCTGCAGTCTTCCATTATAGAGATCTCGTTTCGTATTCGCTCGGGTCCACTCGTCACATATATCCTCTTGACCGCGACAAAGAATTTGCTGTCTCGAGGATGAGGTACGGATTGGTAATAAGCGGATGATGACGGCGGATGGTGGCCGTGCCATGGAGTGTTGTCCCACTTGCTATGGTAGCCGAGGTCAATAGCCTTGTAGACTGAAGAGAAGGTCCCGGTGCCGAGACGGTCAATGATCTTGTAGTCCGGGGTGAGTTGTGGGACGACAGCTTCGAGTTCCGCGATTTCAGTCTCGATCTCATCCTGTTCTTCGCGTGATTTCAAGCATATAGTCATCTCCTCGTCCGTTTGTGGATGCACGTTCAAATCGTGCGTCGGTAGAGCATCATCATCATCATCATCATCCTCGTCATCCACGACCTCCAGCATGGCGTCCTCTGGTGTAACGTACAACTCATCGTCGCTAGACATGAGGTTGTCCTCGTCCTCCATAGGGGCGGGCTGCGGCTTGGGTGTGGCCTCGGCTCTTGTTTTCATGAAAGATAGGCCCGAGTTGGGGTACAGCTGAGCCAGATGCGAGTGGTAACTCTCCAGTTCAGGCGTGCGGTAGCCGACGGGTGGATCATCCGAAGAAGCAGAATGTCCATTGGCTTTTTGCACCCGCAGGAACTGGCGTTGGTATGCTCTGTTACGAGCATCCGAGGAGGGGACTTCGAGGGGATTCGAAGAATGTTGGGAGAGGAGGACCGCAGTGGCCATGGATATCCAAGAAGAGCCTGTCTGTTCGCTGCGTTCGCCCGAATACGTCGCACTTGCCGCTATTCCAGAAGGCCACACTAGGGGGCGCCTGCTCACGACAAGATAGTAGACAAGGTTAAGTCCTCAGTGCAATAAATGTAGAGGACGTGAACAACGGTGGCGGAGTGGGGCCAAGGCAATTGAACGGGCGCGCCCACGAACGAAGCGCGCCGCGACGCGTCTTTGCTTTCGGTCACGTGCCTTGGAGGGGATCGTAATCTGACAAAAAATATGACCACCGCAGGACTCGAACCTGCAACCTTTTGGTGACGTCAGCGATCGAAGCCAAACGCGCTACCATTGCGCCAGGTAGCCATGAGTGATAGCCAAAACATATCATATTATGGGTGTAGACACAGGCGCACTGCTCCCTGCGTGCCCGCTGACCTCCGTCCTTCTGGATCCGACTTCGACTTGCTGAAGCGGAACTTGACCGCTACCGATGCACCTAGCAAAAGCTTGATGCTCTCGCGCAGATGAACAGTCTGCACGATCTTCGCTATTTGTACTTGCAGTCTACATCCAGCTCCATCTTTGAGCAAGTGTTCCCGCTTGTGATCGTCTTCGTAATTCCACTGCTCGTATTGGCAGGCAACGCGTGCAAAGCATCTATCATCTCGTTCTCCTACATGGTCTTGGAGGCGCTATCTGTCGTACTACCCTGGAACTGGTTCGAGGGGCATCCGGGCCCGAGCTCTGGCTCTGAGAAGAGGAAGTCAAAGAAGAGGCTTGTCCGCACGCGCGCAGAGCAGCTTGCGCAGGATGGGCACAAACTCGGTGCGCACTGGCTGAGGCTGAGGATTGATTGTGACTGGAACCATTGACATGTGAGTGTAGAAGACATACGCAAAACACACGATGACTCCGAGGGGTATTATCCTGGACTGGTCAACATCTCGGGTACATATTGCTTTATGGACTCGACACTACAGGTGTGCGGGGTGTCCGATCCGGGTGAACGACATCGCTGTACTCACTTTGAGGCGTAGGCTATGGCTTCGCTGTGCTACCTACAGCCCCACATTGAGGAAATTCACTCGAAAGCCGAAGTATTGGACGTACCAACGCCTGTCGTAGATGCCCTACGGGAATTATTACACAGTGCGTAGCGTTATTAAATCCATTTCAGTATTTCGCTTCACGTGAAATGACTCTAGGATTGAATACTCCCACGTCCTCCCCCCATGCCATCCGACCCATTGACATCATCAATGCGCTATCAAACCACTCGTCTGGGAAGCACAATTCACTGTTCTCATCCCGCGAACATCAGGATGCACAGGAGCTGTTTCAGCTTCTATCTGAATGTATTAAGAATGAGGCAACCGCCGTGGACAAGGAGGGATATCGGGACCGAGGCTTGGGAGCCCTTGCGCAAGGGCAAGGTCGCGCAGGCCGCGAGATTGGCAAGAGCGTCTTCGATGGCTTGACCGCAAATCGGCGGAGCTGCGTTGAGTGCGGTTACACGGAGGCTGTGATGCACTTCGCTTTCGACAATTGGCAATTAGCCGTACCTCGACTTGCGGTATGCGATATCTATCCTCCATGTGATTGCACAATTCATACGTCTCCTGATAGAGCTCATGTCGGCTGGAGGACTGCTTAGAGGATTATACACGACTAGAGCTCTTAACCGACTGCATCTGTCGCAAATGCTCCATGCTTGCGACATATCAGCGACTTGTACAGGAGGCGGAGAGGCTCGCAGAGGCATTACGCACCGAGTCCTCCCCTTCTTCATCCAAGAAGAAGCGTGCACATGATGCACGGAAGCTCGCGGCTCGCGTGAAGGCTGCGATAGATGATAGTCGGATGGAGGAGGACATCAAGGGTGTCAAGTTAGAGAAAGTCTTCAGCAAAGCGTCGACAAAACAAGCTATGATTGCAAGAGTACGCGTTGGGTACTAGTCCCGCGTCTGTCTACTGATTACCTTTCGATCAGCCACCACGAGTCCTCGCCCTTCACCTCAACCGATCCATGCATTATGGACATTACGCAGCAAAAAACAACTGCCGCGTACAGTTCCCGGAGATCCTGGATCTCACACCATATACTACCTCTGGGCAGCTCTCTACCGTGCCATCTGTACCCATATCCACCCCGCCTCCACCAATACCTCGCAGCACAACACCTACACCTGCAGCATACGCGACACCGCGCACACTCTACCGTCTTGCTGCCGTTGTGTGCCACTATGGCCAACACTCCTTCGGCCACTACGTCTGTTTCCGGCGGAATCCACGGCCACTGTCTGCCGGCACCCGCCGTTTCGCCCCGCCCAAACTTGCATGCCCATTGGGCTGTGAATGCGAACACTGCGTGCGATACGGTCCTATTCGCGATGAGGAGGGCCCTCCACCGATACCCGGTCGTGGATGGCTGCGAATTAGTGACGACAGCGTGCGTGAGGTCGGCATCGAGAGCGTCCTGCAGGAGGGCTCGGGGGCATTCATGCTGTTTTACGAGCGCGTCGTGATGCCTCGGCCAAGCATATACCTTTCGCATTCACCGCGCAGCTCGGAGGAGACGCTCCGTCCAGACGCCGCGCACACGAACGGCTCGTGCGTGTCCCTGCCGAGTCGCAACGGCGATGCGGAGGAAGTCAAGGTCGTAAAACCCACACCGAAGTTTGTCGGCCCGCGAATCTTCCAGAGCGTGTCGGCGCACTCGTCGAGAGGCATGTCCATGTCCCCGCCGGATAGAGAGGCGGTTCCACCTTTACCACAGCCAACCAAGCCAGCAAAGCCTCGCGAACTTTCAGCGCAGAACGGTCATGCTGATGGCAAGGCTGCAGAACCGAAGAGTCTAAAACAAACTCCTCGGTCGCCGAAGCCGAATGGTATTGCTGCTGCTGCTCCGGTACGCACCGCATCGTCCTCGAAAGCGAAGGCGTCAGCACCGATGTCTCCCTCTCATCCCCTCAGAGAACCACAACCACAACCCACAGCAGCGTCACAGCAGCTGGCTCCTCCCACCTCAACGGCAAGGCCAGTTGACCTCCGCGCATAGTCGCTTGGCTCCTTGCTTCCGCCTCCTGTCCATGTTTGCGTCTGTATCAGTAGCCCTACTTATTGCCGTTTCCATACATATACGCGCACACATTCACACATCTCACCGCTATCCGCTATGCTGGAACGTTGGCTCCGCATGTCCTATCGCTCTCCCTCCCCCCTCAATCAATGCTCTCACACAGGTGAAAAAGAATGGTGTAATCCAGTTTTGAATAGCTCGCAAATGTTACATGACATCAACAGTCCCGTTCTCTATCGCATAATGTCCAATGCATCCGTCCCTAACCAACGGCGCGCATTTCTCCCGGATAGTAGCTGAACTGCAGATAATATACACACATACATAAAGGACGACTGCCTGTCCGCCCTGCGGTCCACGTCCCACAATCGCCTGTTATCGTACACTTGACGAGCAATGTCCGAGCTCGGCGAAAGGGTGGCGGTAAACGGCGTCATCGCAAAGCGTTAGGCAATCCCATGGAGATCCCAGGCTGGTCGGATGCTGTGGTCACCAGTAGATGAAACGCTCGACTGTGCGCTGCTTGTGCTGCGGGCGGGTATACGAGATGGTGCGCTTCACGCGCGTGACGGTGGGGTACCTGTTCGTGAAATCGGGAGTAGTGTGAAGAGAGCACGACGCGTGAATTGCACGCAGACATACCAAGCATTGTAGATCTCTCCCGGCTCCATCTGCACCTGAAGGATTTGACGGCCCTGTAGTCGCTGTGTCAAAATCGGATGGGATGAGGTCATCAACCTATGCTCACAGCGTAGTCGACGTGGCTGCCAATGACCAAACCCTCTCTCCTCCCAGAAACTCCATTCTGAACAGCGACAATATCGCCGGGCTACACAGCGGACGTAAGCTCAACATAACGGTCAAGAACAACAGCGACGTACGATAATCTCATCAGACGACATGGTAGGACTTAGAGAGGACTTACGAGGGTTTGCTGGGGTGAGCAGGAATGTGAGGGAAGTCTGCTGGTGTTTGCTGAGAGAAAAATACGAGAAATTGGGGCCTTTTTATAGATAAGATGTACAGCACTTCGGTTCTGCAGCGCGAGGCAGCCATGAGGCCCGTGATCGCCAGTCCGCGAATTTTCCAAATGGTGCAGGACTCATTGTTCTCGATTTGTTGCTCCGCTCGATTACACCGCGATGTTTGGACACCAAAGAAGGCAGCCAAACAACCGTTCTGGTCGCTCCAGAGCCGTTATAAGTATTTCGACGTGGAGCTTGGGACAATGCAGCTCGATGCTACCCCAGGTAACGTCGTAGACAGCAGATTCAGGGACATGGGCGGAGTCAAGATGCGCACCATCGCCTCGTGGCATATGGTACAGATTTCCACGAGGCCTTAATCCGCATTCCAGGGCAGGGAGGATGGCCATCGCGCGCGGTCAAGAGAGCAGAACGCTCCCAGCTGTGAACTGGACGCAACCACATGGTGATACAAGCAGCAAACAACGACGAATGCACGTTGTCGAAGACGGGGACTATACGTACAAATACATGGATCTAACGACACAGCAATAGAGTTATTACAGGTACATTTCTAAGATTGAAGAGGCTGTCCAGCTAACACAAGGAGACCACGCTGACCTCAACGCCCCCGGAGAGATGCCCATAGGTCTCGAATCATCTCCCGGAAGCCATACGTCGCGAGAACATTAGCAGGCGCTGATCCTGCGGTCTCCTCGTCCTCGCCGTCGACTACCCGGTTTGACATACCCTGCTGATTCACCCTTGCAGCGAGTCCATGTAGAATGTCCTGTGCCGCGTCACGATACAATTTGTCTACCTCCGCACTGCGAGAGTAATATGCCCGGCGGACTGCGTAGGGCGCCAGGCCGTTGTATTTGCGGACTAGCGCGTTCATCTCGTCAATGGCCTTCTCATGGAACGCGCGTTCTCGTGCTTCCCATTCTGCATCTCGCAATGAGGTTACGCTGCTGAGCGTCAATCTAGGTAGCAATGCGGCAGGCTGAGAGATGGTGAGCATCCGTATCGCACGTCTTGTCCATGATTGCCTGATGACATCTCTGAACGAGTTGATGGCAGATTCCAGTTCTATGAATACTGTTCAACAAAAGGGGCTTGATAAGTCAAGAGCACATACTGACCTCCCTGAACTTCTACCCATGGAGGAGCAGCGCCCTGGCGCTGGACGATGCGATTCATCAGGAATTCTTCTCGACCGATAAAAGGGTTCTTGTCTTGCGTATGAGATGCAAGAGGCTGTCCTCGACCCTTGACGTTGTTAAACAAACCTGCTTGACGTGCACGCTGTGCACGAGTAGTGAGAATGCACATTCAGAGTACTAAGCTGGTAGACTCTTCCTCACCTCTATGCGGTCCTCGACGAGATTGGACCAACCCTTCAGTGTAGCGGGGGCCGGTCGAGCCTGCATGGCTGCAGCGCCGTTCTTGATCCCGAGACGATAGTCTAGCGTGGACTCCTTAGCCCGCGACAATCTACCAGCCTCCGCGGTGCGACGCTTGGCGTCTCTCTCTAGCCTCTTCGCTTTATCGTCTATCTTCAACGAAGAGGCAGTCCGAGATGGCTGGGGTATATGGCCGTAACGGATACTAGAGGTGGCATGCGACGGCACCTTGAAAGTCGTATGCCATGGCTTATGCCCTTCAATAGACGGCAAGAGGGGTTCGTGAGGTAGATACTTGCGAGGAGTGCTCGCCTGCACGCTATCAGTTGGATGCGGAACAGCTGACGCTGCCTCGACAACATTCGGTGCAGACACATTGGGCGGTGCCTGCTTCAGCTTCTCGTCTGCAGTTCTGATTGGCCCGCTACGCAGAGGCTTGTACTTGTCGACCAGCATACGCAAGACGGCATCGCGCGTGGACTCCTCGCCCGTCCAATTCTCGCTCTGCCCCTCTAATATGGAGATCCTGCTTGGCCGCACAGGCGTTGAAGCCTCCTGTGCTTCCTCGCGAGCTGCGTCCTCGAAGAGCTTCGAGCTCGCCCGGTTGTCTGCATTATCATGCGCGCTGCTCGAGAAGTTCCAGCGCCGTAGTGACGATACGACCGCACGAGTGTGTGGTAAAGAAGACTTCAAGGGGATACGAGCTCGTGCAGAGATCATGCAGAATGAAGCAGGACTTCGAGAAAGACTGCATGTCTTGGTCGCCTCGGCGCCTGTTTGCGCTTCTTTGCTGGGGGTGGCTGCAATCCTTGACGATGCCTCAGCTTTGTACTGCACAGCCAGCTGAGCTGCAAGGGCACAATAGGGGAGTACAAATGATTTTAGCTTCACGCTACATGTTATGCAAATGCTACACAGGTATATCTTGACTTCTCCAGCCATACGTCCCCTCGGATTCATTTGCGGCTTCGCGAATGCGCACTTACTGCAGGTTCGACGGGTACAAATAGTCTTCCAGACTGACGAAGTTCTCCTTGATACTCCGCGCGGAGACGAAGCGGTAGAAAATCGACATACTGCCCGCTTTGTCGTTCGTACCACTCGCACGAGCACCGCCGAATGGTTGCTGCCCCACGACGGCGCCCGTGCACTTTTCGTTGTAGTACACGTTGCCGGCGGAGTTGCGCAGCCTGTTCGTTGCCTGGAGGAGTGCCTTGCGGTCTTGCGAGAAGCTAAGGACGTCGTTAGTAGGAGGATAGAAAAAAGAAGAAGCGGTGTGGTTTACATTGAGCCCGTCAACGCATATGGTGAGGTCGTGTCAATGAGGTCGAGCGTCTTCTCGAAGTCAGTGTCCTCGTAGACATAGACCTGGACGTGCGAGGTTAGTACGGTATCTATCTTACATTGTGAATATCAATCTCACAGTCAAGACCGGTCCAAAGATCTCCTCGGCCATTGTCACCGACTTCGGGTCCTTCGTCAGGATGACAGTGGGTTGAACGTAGTACCCAACCGAGTCATCCGCTGAACAGAGGGCGCACATGCGCATGAGCAGCCTGCACTATGCGGTCATGTTGTGAACACTGACCGCTCCCTCCCGCCAAGATCTCCCCGCCGGCATCCTTCGCTTTCTTGATATAGCTAGTGACTTTCTCGAAAGCGGGCCGACCGCTGTAGAAGTTTGGTACGAATGGTCAGCTGTGCGGGTAAGAGGAGGAGGGTGCTACACGAACATGACAGGGCCAATGAAGTTAGCGAAGTCTGTCGGAGATCCGACCTTCAGCTTGGCGACTTCAGCAAGGAGCTGCTCCTTGAACCCGGCATTCCATATGGACGATGCAACGTACACACGCGACAGAGCAGAGCATTTTTGACCTGGGAGTAGTTTGTTCAGACTATGTGCTCAACGCGCTAAATTGCTCCTCTCACCTTGGTACTCAAATGCCCCACGAATGGTCTGCATGACTGCATTCTTGATTTCTGCAGACTGGTGGATGATGTGGAAGTTCTTTCCGCCTGGATATGGCCCGGTCAGTCGGAGGAAGGCAATTGTACGACCAAAGTACACACCAGTCTCTCCAACAATTCGTGGATACCCCTTGTACGTATCGAGGTTCGCCGCGATGTCCTTCCATAGCTTCTTGAACACGAACGTGCTGCCGGTGAAGTGCAGCGCGGCGAAGTTGGGGTTTGCGATGGCCTGCCCGGTCACTTCCTCCGGCGGCCCAGGGACGAACTGGATGACGCCCGGAGGTACACCTGCCTCCGTCAGGATCTGGTAGACGATGTAGTTGGAGTAGGTGGCTGCAGGCGAGGGCTTCCACACAACCACATTGCCCACAAGTGCGGGCACTGAACAAAGTAGGATTGATCAGTCTGAGCGCATATAGCCTGCGGTCGGCGTGACTTTACCAGCAGAGAGGTTGCCGCCGATGGCCGTGAAGTTGAATGGCGAAACGGCGAGCACAAAGCCCTCTAGTGCACGATATTCGACACGGCTGGACATCGCAAATAGCATGAGCCTCCGAATCTGTGACGCCTTCACGCAACTTACTTCCAGCTGCCTGGAGTATTCTTAGGCGGCTGCTGAGAGTACAGCTCCTCCACATACTTCACGCCAAAGCGCAAGAAGTCCGAGAGCTACAGTAGCGCTACTCTGAGTACGATCGGCTTGGCTTGCGGCAATAATGGACATACCTCCGCAGCAGCGTCGATCTCAGCCTGCCATGCGTTCTTGCCCTGACCGAGGATCGTTGCGGCCATCAACTTGTAGCGGTACTTTCCACTGACAAGATCCGCGGCCTTGAGGAAGATAGCGGCGCGGTCGTTCCACGGCATGGCTTCCCACTCCCCCTTCGCGGCCAGCGCGCCGTCAATGGCAGCCGCGACCGTCGCCTGGTCAGCTTCGTGGTATGTGCAAAGGTGCCTAGCATACTCGTGAGGCATCGGCTGCTTGGCCAGCTTGCCAGTCTTGACCTGCGATCGGACGCGATTAGCCTTGCCACTCATGTATGGCAGCAGATACTGACCGGCTTTCCATTGACGACACAGGGGACCTCTAATGGTAGCTCCTTCTCCAGCTGCGCGAGGGCGGCCTCGAGGCTCTTGCGCTCAGCAGAGCCGGGAGCGTAGCTCCTCTATACACGATCCTCTCAGTACCAACTAGAAGAGCTATTGGTCAATTGCAAGTAAGGGGGCATACCATGGGCTCATTCTCGACGGCTGGGACTTTGAATGACGCAAGCTGTGGTGTGGCCATGGTGGGGGTTCAGGAGAAAAAGCGAGTGGTTTGTATGCGCCAGCTTCCAATCCTATAATCCATCGGCGACCTTACATTAGGCCCATAATCGATAACTGGACCATGACTCGGCTCATAACTGGCAAGGCACAGTGCATTCCCGCGTAGTCGGCTAATCGAATGATGTCTATCTATGCAGGCCCTCGATCATATGCAAGATCAATTGATGTAGAATAGTAATTAATTAAGGCTGTGTATCCGTGTCGTCCAAAGAAGCAAAGGAAGATAAGAGGAAAATACACTGATAGTCGGTATATGACGAGTGGCCGGATACGAGTTCCTATTATATCGTGGAGGGGAGATCGTCAATTTTCTTCTTCAAATCCTGCAGGAACCAGTACGCGTCGAGGATGCTCCCTGCACATCGCTCGCATCCTGCCTGCGCCGACTGCGCTAGAAATGCCATTGAGAATATGACGTCTGTCGTCGGCCGCGTAGCCAACTCCTTTGTCGCCCGCGCTTCGAAGTCCTCCCACCATTTCGGCGCAGTGTACGTGCCGTAAGGCGGCGCATTGCACCTCATGCATTTGACGTTGTCAGAGATCTTCATTAGCTCCTGCGCTGCTTGCGCGCGTCGATGGTGGAGGTTGAGTAGCTGATGGTAGGAGAAAGCCGTGATATGCTTCAGGTCCTCGTGAAGCGGGCAGTCGAGGACCTGGACAGAGAGGGTATGCCGCGACGCAACTTTGGCCTCCTCCTCGAGGTCGAATCGGGACGCGATTGCGTAGACGCGAACGGGTGCTGACTCTACGAATCGTGGTGCAACCAGTTGACTGCGAAGGAAGTCGATTGCGGCTGACATCTCGTACTTGAAAGCCGCATCGAGGACCGGTGTTAGTTCGTCTAAAGTCTCGATTTTGGGTTTCGACACGGGATAAATAATACGTAGGAGCATTTCGAGCGTCGTGCGATCCTCAGATACTTCAATGAGGGGCGTGGAGGGCTGGGATGATGGTGCTTGCGGCAATGTGAACATGTGCGCAAAGAAAGGTGACGCAACAGAGAGGATGCACCGGTGCACGTGGAAATCAACGACGCACGGTGCAGTCGCGCGTAATACAAGGTCGGAGTCGACGAACTCGAAGGGATGGGTGGTCATGGCGTGAAAATGGGGACTGGGATGAAACAAGATCACCTGTTTTTATTCAGTCCCTTGCGGCACTGCGAGTCAATATGGCAGGACTGATCGGAACGATAGATCTAGGTATGACAGCTCAGTCGTAAGCACTGCTAGTGGCAACACCACCGGAACATGATACAATGCAACGCACGGTGAAGGAGAAGACTGAAACAGAGTTGCACAGAACGCCGAAGCCACAAACAACTTCCCCTCACCGGCGGTGGTCATACCGATCTTTCGAGCGTCTGTCCCTGCTGCGACTTCTGCGGCGGTCACGATCTCGCTCTGCGCCCCGGCCTCCCGGACGAGGTGTCCTGGAACGTCTCCTCCGGTCTTGGGAGCGCTCTCGATGTGGTGATCTACTACGAGTTCTACTCCGGCGGCGTCGGCTGTGCGCGTTGTCCGGCACGTCAAAGACCAGCCCATAACCGGCATCCTCACCGGTCGAGCTTTCCCTATACCGCCGTGTAGCCTCTAAATTATCTATTCCGCCGTACCCGCTGGGCCCTCGCGTCTTGTTGCCCTTTGTGAGACGAGGCCCCATCTTGGGATTATTCGACCACGTAGAGTTGAGGCGGGAGACAGACTGGGAGCTGTTGAATAAATGTCAGCTGATATTGACAGTAGACAGCGCCACAGTCAAAACTCACAAGTCTACCCAGATGCGCCTATCGTCGACCAATACATTCTGCATCTTGAAATACGCCTGCTATCCGTGAGCTGGAGTAATACAACAACATGACGGGAACGCGCACCTGTTCAGCATCCTCTCGCTTGTCAAATTCAATGAATGCATACTGTAGAGAGTCACCCGTCTTCTTGTCCCGGATTACTTGGCAGCTCATGATCGGTCCGAAGCGCGAGAATATGAGCTCTAGATCTTCGTCGCGGGTGACCGGATTAAGCTTGCATACGAAAAGGACATTCTCTGGGGGACGAACGTTGGCAAAGGGGAGATCGCCGACCATTTCCAACGTCAATGCTGCAGCACGCGCAGCCTGCTTCCGGCGTTCTGCTTCTGCCTCCTCTTCAGGCAATGTGGCGAGCGGATCTTCATCTTCCGCAATGCGCGTAGAGTTGTCTGGCGGACGAGTGGGCACCGATGCTGGCACTACAAGTCCTGAAGGGTCCTCAAACGGGTCGTCTGTCGGCACCTGCGTGAGCACTCAATCAATGGGCACTCGGGTGGAGTAAACGTACCCAAGATCTCGACATGCCTTATCCTTACATCTTTAAGAGGTCTCCCATCCTGGTCCGTGAAAACGTCGTTCAGCTGGTCGAGCGTGTCTAGTCCCTCCACAACATGGCCGAACACGGCATGCTTCCCGTCGAGGTAGTCGATATCATCCGCGAGCGTGATGAAGAATTGACTACCGCAGCCACCTTTGCTCTGTCCTTCGATGGACGGGGCAACCGCCATAGACACAGTTCCCTTCGCCTTGTGTTTCAAGCGCGGAACAAACTCGGGACTGAAGTAGCGGGGCTCTTGTTTTCCTTGCTGCGAGGCAATCAAAGACCAGATGGACTCGCCTCCTGTACCCGTCGCTGTTGGGTCACCAGCTTGCGCCAAAAAATCCTTGGAGACTGAATTTCGCCCATGAATCAGTCTGTGATATCCCCAGATGACAGCTGAGCATACCATTGAAGAAAGCATTCAGGTTGTAGTAGTAGACTTTACACAGTTTGAGGAAGTTTTGGCATGTTTTAGGACATGCATCCACTTCTAAGTCAATGACAATGTCGCCCAGGGACGTCTCTAACAAGACAGACATCTTCAGGGTGGCAGTAGGTCCCAAGAGTACGAAGGCTTTCATCTTTGGGCCACTTTGGCGCAAAAGAGAAGATGATGCTCCCTATAGAATGACAAAGAACCACACCGATGGTGAAACGGTATCATGCTTGCCTTCCACGGTCGGTCTTTGATAGCAAGCGGCGCGGGTTCGACTCCCGCTCGGTGTATTTCACCTCGTGAGAATATAGTTTTCTTGGGCAGTCACAGCGATCATTTCGCGATCGGTATTCCTAAGCGTTACAACGAGCCAGAACAATGTAACGCTATCACACTCGCTCTAATGCTTTCATGCTGAGATTAGAGGGATTCTGTTGTAAACATTGCTTGCGAGCCGTAAGAACCACAGTAAGGAGTCAGGGTGCCTAGATAAATATGCGCTTGCAGACCTAGCTGCTCACACTATACGAAGATCAAAGTTTTCTTACACGAGTTCGACTAACCCCCGGCCCGGTGATACAATAGCAACGACCTTGCTGGAAAGGTCAAACGCGCTGCCACCATCGAACGCAACAAGGTCTGCTTCGTCGCCAATCCAGTCTTGTACGCCTAGCAGCGTTTCGAGGTTCGTAGAGCCCAAGGCATAGGCTTGCCGTCTGTCAATCCGCCCATTGGCCTCCAGGGCGGCCTAAATCAAGCTACGTCAGAGAACAATAATTTGCCAGTCATCGCGAAGTCGGACATACCCATGCAACATCGAAGCGCGTATTGCTTGCTTGCCAGGCGTCACGTACGCCGACCGCGACCGTCACTCCAGCATCCATGAGCGTGACGAGCGCCGTGTCGTTTGTGAGCGGTGGTCCGGCCAATCTGAAGACATTCCATGTCATTCGAGAAGTGACGCATATGTGCCATGATTGAGACGTACATCCTACGGTTATCCCAAGATCCCGGGAAAGGTCGAACGGGATCGAGGATTACCCCTACTTTGGCGCGTGCTGTGCGCGAAGATCATGTTCACCGAAGACTCTTACATCTGGACAAGGAGTATCTTACCGATCTCCTCCGCAATGAGATGAGCTTCCGCCGCCCCAGCGAAAACCATCTTCATGAAGGAGCCTCTTGCTTGCTCTACGTCGACCTTCAGCCTCAGCAAGGTTGCCATGATATCGGCGCTGCCGACATCAACCACTAGCGCGATTGCACCCTATAAGGCACAAAGCCTTGTGGGTTGGGTATATCGCAGTTCACTATGGGTACCACATACCTTCGCGGCTTGTTTGAACCACTTGCCTGTCTCCGTATCAGTGGGCTCGCCGTTCAGCAGTAGTCTCCTCAACGTGGCTACTTGGGTGCTGACGCTGGCCCAGCCTTCAGATGAGTATGGTGCGGCGCGGCTCATGGTGATGTGCAGTGCGGCGATTTCTTTGACAATTGCACCATGCTCGAGCCCGTGCTGCGAGCCTGTACGGAAGGTTACGGAAAGTCCTCCGATGATGGAGGAAGACCCGGAGAACAAGTTGACCTTTTCCAGCGAGGAGGTTGCATACGCGACGCCTGCTCGATGAGCAATCCTGATTCATCAGATGGTCAGCTGCGAGACGATAAAAACGATAGAACTAAGCTCACAGCGCATTCCTCGTTCCAAACTGCAACGTATCCCCCGCCCGCACCACAGCACCCTGATCACCCAATATGCTCGGCACCTCGCCATTGAAGGGATCGAATCGTTTCCCGTCTCCCGTCGACGCCTCTCCCGCAATCTCCTCAACGCCCAGAGGCGACCCGTACGTCATGAAAGCTGGCGAAATTGACCCGCCGTGCAGGTCTAACACGGCCTTCGCATTGATCCCGCCAAGACAGTGTCGCCCGACACAGGTTACATGCCCTCCATCCACGACCACGTCTGCTAGCTCCATGTTGTCACCGCCGTAAACCTCGTAAATTTCGTCATCCCGTCGGATCCACAGCTCGCGCACATTGTGGAATGCAACGCGTCCATCCTGCCGAGTCGGGGCGAGCGGAGGAAGGCCTTCCCATTCGACCGCCGCGCGGCGCTCCGCGTCCCAATTCGGTACTATGGGCACCTCCTGGAACTCCTTATCCTTGCCTTTGCCGATGACGATACCATCCTCATCTGCTCCGACTTGCAGGATGCCGTCGATCCAGACCTTCTTGGGTGTCGCGCCGAGCTGGAGCGGATGCGAGTCCCAAAGCACGACATCAGCATCAGCACCCTCGTACAGGATTCCGATACGATGCGACATGCCCGCTGCATTGGCTGGCACCGCGGTCACAGATAAGAGCGCCAGGTGCGGCGGCAACCCTACATGAATAGTCTCAGCAAAACTGGAATCGCAAGGGTGTTGTTATTACCGTAATAGTGTGCCTGTTGCGCCTCGAACATAAGGTAACGACTATTCAATACTGGATGATCGGACTATATGCGCCTTTGAGTCAATTCGTTCGTTTCCCATATATGCATGTGATGCTCACCTTCATGACCACGGGTATGCCGTTGTCTACTAGTACACGGGGGGCAAACTCTGAGCCCCTGTATGACTCACGCTTGTACCGGTGATTGCTGGCAAAGATCGCAACGGCAGGAGTACCTCCATATCTAGAGAAGTCAATTAGTGAGACAATATATACAACACGGTCAAGACTCACGTTCTCTTCAATACGTCGGGTACTAGCCATGCCTCAGACGCGTGATGGAAGGAGGCAATGGGGAATTGAAATTCGTTCGTGAGCTACCACAGAGCGGTACTAGTCAGCAAAGAGTAATGAACATCAGCGTGTCACAGCGTACCCGCACAATGTCGTCAAGGTCGACCTCTTCATAGCAGTGATTCGCGATCTGCGCACAAAAGTCACGATTTCAATCTAACCAGAAGTGATGTCACACTACCTTGACTCTCCCTCTCAATACATCTACCAGAGCCTCCCACTGGAGGTTCTCCGGATAGCTCTGTCCCTCAAGCGCGTTCCACAGACCGGCCTCGGCCTTTGCGCAGAATGCATCCTGAGCATGCTTGATCTGGCGAGCCTCGTTGTATGCGGAGCGGAAGGACCAAATGGCATCCATGCGGTTGCCATACCTGCGGAGATTCTCGCCGCAAGCCTGTCTGCAGATGGCCGTGACAGCATAGGAACATGAGCACCACTGCCCCCTTCCTCATTGGGACAAACGTTGCTCACTTCATATGTCGCCAACGCAAGGGCTGGGACGGGTCAGGCTCACTGCCATTGAGTGTGTGCGGCGGTTCTATGATCATTGACGTCGGCGACCTGTCAGACGTCTTGCGCAATTTGAACATGAAAGCCTGTCCGCCTGCGACGAGATCAATCCAAGACCTCACTTTGTTCACCGGGGCGACGCACCAATGGCGTTTCCACTCCCAGGAAGGACCTGCACAGAAGTGACTCCGCCCGCGATAGCTAGCTGAAACGCGTCGTCGTGTGTGTCAAACGCGTCGATACTTCGCAACCAGGGCAAGACTGGTCCATGTCGGGAGTTGACATCGTAGGTCCCGGCCATACCTGGTGCACTAAACAGACCTACATGGGAGTGAAGATCCACTTACCATGACCCCGAGATTCAGTCTCACACTATGCAAAGAGCGAGATGCCACGTACCTAGTCCGGGAGTGACCCATGCACCCTTGGCGTCAATGAATACTGTATCATCCTCCGCATATAGTGCTCTAGGGATGTATCCGATGGCCTTCACTAGTCCGCCGTCCAACAATAAGTCGCCGTAGACGATCTCGCTACCATTTCTCGCGCCCGTCCATAGCTTTGCGTTCTTGATGAGCGTCGGCTGAGTCCCTGGCTCAAAACGATCCGAGACTGCTCTCGCCAAGAAATCCTCAGGTGGGCCGGGGACCTTCCGGAGGGAGGCACATTGGTTTAGTACATGTTCTGCATTCAGTGGGACGCGCTGAATTCGAGGACCTGCACCGGTAGTGGTTGCATAGAGCAAGCTATTGCATGTAAGCACCGTAACAATCGCGACAAGGGCACATAACGCAAGTAGTAGAAGTCTTCTGGGGGATGGACGCTTGCCCACCGCGCTTGCCAGCGGTAGCTCTGTGAGATGCCCCTTGCTGGACATGGCGGTTGCAAATCAAACTGTCAAGGGCAATCTCATTATATATGGAGTGTATACACATGGGAGCATACATGCCGGCGCTGGACGAGATTCCGGCCGTAAGACTCACGTACTGTATCCGCGAGGCTTCCCCTGGTACATATCACCCCTCTCATACATCACATACAGAGAGACTGTGGAACTCCATATTCATCGCGAAGGTTTCCTCGTTGCTTTGAACGCCCATAGTCTGAACACAACCTGCCATTTGTGAGATTATAGGGAAGGGGGACTGAAGTCAGAAGCGAGCCCGGACTCGCCATCGTCAGTCATGCTTGCCTTATCGTCGCGTGGAGTCACGTGCGATGAAGAGAGGACTTCGGAGGTTGCATTGAAACGCACGACGGCGGTTTACGATGGGAGATGCTCTGGCTTCGATTATACAACACCCACTCCAAGCAATGCGGCACCGCTCTTTATTCCTCGTCCTCGGGCAGCTGCGAGACTGATCGCGACACAACTAAGCAGGAACCCGGTGAACCTGCAGGATTGTGATCACAACAATAATGACGATACCCTGATTCAACAAACACAGGGATTACACACCGGAAGAAAGCGACTCGTGAGAGCGAGCGCTCTTCGAGTGTTGTGCGCGACGACGCGAATATGGACCGCAAGACGGCAGGCGTTACTGGGATTCGACTCGGTGATTTTCCGGTTGGAGTGCCTGGTGGTTGACTCGGGTACGACTGAGTTGCCTTTACATTGGATGGGGTGGCTGTAATCGATGAAGATGTGGACGAGAGGTTGCTCATCGCAGGCCGCGTCGAGGTTGAGGAGGTGAATGAGGAGGAGCACTAGTATGATGTCCGGTGGGTGATCATCGGTCGCACGCCCTCGGTGACGCAGCCTCGGCCTTTACTCGGCCCAATCGTTTCTCTGCCAGAGCTTTCCTCCCCAGCGCACTTTGGGTCGCTTGCTTGTCGCATTTAACCCTGAAAGCCTCGATCAAGGAGTCGCGTGAGCTGCTCAACGAGGGGACCTGCAGGTTGCTGCTTGTGTTCTCGCGCTTGCCGCAGACCTGTCTCATGTATGCTCCTATTAGTTTCCTAATGTACACCATGCTTACGCCTGCATATTATAGAGCTGCAATTACTCACTACGCACCATCTAGAGTGTTCCGGTGCTTGGGCCGCGCTTTGTATACGTTGACACAGTAAACGGCATGACCGCAAGGCCACTCCACACGCTGCAGTCCCTTCAGCAGCAACTTATATCCGTGCACTGACCTCACTATACTTCCATGGATGTTGTCCTGGCTATTGAATCCTTGACCGCCATTGGGGACAACCATGAGCTTTGTGAACCGCCTCCCACTCACCATTGCTTCCTGCTACGAGGTCGTGCATCTCGAGCTGACTCGTGACGAAGACCATGGCATAATTGATGACGACCTTGCTCACATCATCCCTTGGTGTCCCAACCTCGAGACGGTTCGTCTTACTGGCATCCCCGACCTCACCGATCGGACAGTCATCCTCCTGGCACGTACCGCATCTCAGCTCCTCGAGCTCGACATATCTGGCTGCATACATATCACAGACACCGCCATCTTGGAGTTGGCGAAGTTGGCGACCGATCTTGAGGCTGTCAAACTGAACGGTCTCGCGACGCTGACAGACCCCTCCATCTCGGCTCTTGCTCGCTCGCTCACAGAGTTGTCCGAGCTGGAGATCTGCAACCTCCCTCTCATCACTCCCTTGACTATCCGCGCCATCTGGACCTTCTCAGCAGGCCTGAAGCGGCTCAAAGTGGCCCATTGCACACATCTGACTGACAAGGCATTCCCGTATCCTCCTCCTCGTCGAGAACGCATCGCAAGAAGAAGTCGCACGAGCACCGCCTTGTCAGTATCTGCAAACCAAGATCCTTCTCGGTCATCCAACGGCACCAGGCCCTCTACCTGGCTAGATGACCTTCCTCAACTGGAGTTCTCGCCTGGACATAAACTTTCCGACCTTCGCCTCCTTGACCTCAGTTACTGCGTGCAGCTGACTGACATCGCGATCGCTGGCATTGTCGCGTATGCACCCCGGATACAGCATCTTAACTTGTCAGGATGCATGGCACTCAGCGACAGCGCGGCGGAGGCTATCGCAACATTGGGCTCGCATCTGAATGAGCTCACTATGCCTCGATTGGGGTCGCTCACAGATCGCGGTGTGGTGAGCATCGTACGGACCTGCACACAGATGAAGTCGGTGGACGTGAGCTGTGAGTCATCTATCCTGTTCCCCCGCCTTGTCCAGCCGACCGCTGACTGTTCTCATGGCATGTTACAGTCAATTCTCGCCTCACCGATCTCGCCGTGATGGAGCTGGCGACGCTCCAGCATCTCCAGCGGCTTTCTGTCGTTGGGTTGAAGCATCTCACGGACAATGCGGTTCTGTTCCTGGCAGAGCATACTCCCACCCTCGAGCGTCTGCACATCTCGCGGTGCAGGCAGCTGGGACTGGATGCGTTGCACGTTGTGTTGCGTAAGCTCGGAAAGCTAGAGCACCTCAGCGTATCGGCGGTCCCGGCACTGAAGCGCAGAGGCGTAGAACGCTTCTCGGAGCGCCCACCACCGGTGCGTGGCAAGCCACTCTGTCCGAGTGTCTCCCAATCTAATCTTCTCGCCTGTGCATGTCGACTTTATATCGGCTTGATGGCAGCTGTATCATGAAGACAAGCACGGTATATACCGCGTCTACCGCGGTGAGAATATTCATTCTTTGAGGCGATTCTTGGACAAGGAGCTAGGGCGGCTACGTGAGGCAGAGGAGAAGAACATTGTTTTCGTGCCCAGAGCTGATGATAGTACGGACCTATACTAACTCGCCGCGAGTGATTGGCGGCGTAATGGAAAGTATGTTTGAATTGGTCCAGTGACTGGTGCGATAGCCGTTGACATTACGTGCGACTCCATACAGATTAACCTGATATACTATTTCACCTCAGTCGCCTCCGCTTCTTGCCCTGCACTGTCATACTCTTACTATAAACCAATCCATGTGTGAATTCTAACTCCCACGACCCTTGATGACGTACGCTGTGGTGGCTAAACTGAGGGAAATCATCCCAAGGTATTTCAAAGTTACAGTATGACACGGCGACCTGGGAATCTTGTATGGCATTGTGTTCGAGCTGAATTTTAGCAATTCAAGCACTCGGTCAAGACCCGATATGAGTGCACTTGAAACTTAATAACAGGCAGGGTCGCCAGGAAAGGCAGACCATACCACCCTGCACTTCTGCTTCTCTGCTGCTGCAGGCACTATAAGTTCAAAGGCCGGCAGTAGGTGAAAACTTTCAAGGGAGCCGAGAAGCATGTCTAAATATACTTGCTAGTAGCCAGATAAGCAATAAGTAATGTGTTCTTTACACACCTTCCTTCAACCGTGCCTCCGCATAGCGAGATGCGTGTAGTGGGCGTCGAATTCCCCTCATGTCCTGTCATTTTAATTGGAGTGCTTGGGTCAAGGTCGTCCTGTTGACTCTTGTATGTTAGCAGACACAAGCCCGCGCGTGAATATTCTGCATGAGGGATTGTTCCAGCTTTGCGGAAACGACCTAGTGTAGCATAATAGAAGCCACGATTAACAACTGGTTATGGGCAACGCCGGGGTCAGGTACGGATTCTCTGAATCTGCTAAGGTTTGAACGACAGGATCGACGTACCACCTACGAGGAACTGGATCCACTCCACAGTGCCGTGGTGCATGGCTGGAACACACCGATCTGTAGTGAAATTCAAGAACACATGAATGTTCCCGCACAAACGTCCTCCGCAGCATGCAAGAGGCAATGTCCACTATATCATACATCCTGCCCGCAGGCACGTCAACCATTGACATAGGCACAGGTACTATCGCGGTGAGCTGTAACGGCACTAGGCCTGGTACTTGTGCAACCTTCCCTGGCGCAATCAATCACAAAAGAACAGAACACGGAGATGAGCTGACTGAGCGTCGGTGTGATGTCTGCGGCTGATGCAATAGAATGCGCCGTGGGAGCCCTGCTTCAGAGAATGAGATAGCGACAACGTAACATAGAAATGACTCCGAGTTGTCTCTTGACGGCACGGCAGCGGAGACCAAGGTCGGGAGAGGTAGAGATAGAGGTAGAGAAATGGGAATCGGTAGTTTCTTGTCTGCGTAAGCTTCAAACTCCCTGATGTTGCGAGATAACCAAGACGCCCAGTGCAATGCTGATAAAGAGCTTGCCATAGCATGCCGTACGCCATGCCCTAATACATTCACCAGGTAGCAAGGATCATCCGCATGTACAATGAGTAGCGGGCCATGATCAGAAGATGTGCGCCGATACGGCCAGCTACTGCGCGCCATGTATGTTTTGCAAGCAAACTTCTCTCAAGCGGACAGTGTTTGCCGCATTTCCCCACCAGGGATCTCTTGCGGCAGCGCCATGCACGGTGAAGCCAGAGCGTGCAGAGCGGGCCCGCGCCGGCACAACACAAGGGCTGGACGGCATGAAAACTAGGCACAGGGGTATCGCTGCGGGCATCGCGACCACTGGAGCCTGGCAGAAAGATATAAGATGACATGAGGAAGAAAGAAGCCAGAAAACAGAAAACAGAAGACGGGTGGTCATCGCCGCCAGAGCGCTTACGGTGTTTGCGATGTCGCGTCTGCAGCCGCGCATACAGTGCATCCGTATGTGGCCGCCGAACGTGCGCGGCGATGGTGCGAATATATAAAACGCAATGATTATCGGGCGAGAGGCGGGGGGAGAAACTTAAAGTGTGTAAAGGTGAAAGCGAAGGCAGGAGCATCATGCGGTGATCGCATTCGCGGCGACAAGAAGGCCCGCGCGTAGCCTTATTTCCGCATGCAGCGCAGGATGTTATGGAGGATGTGCCTCAAAGACCGCGAGACCTGCTTGCCAGACGTACGACAAGCCCGAAGAGATGGGACGCGTTCAGCAATCGGGGATCGTGGATTGGTACATGATCCCTTCATGATCGGCATACCGAAGTACAGTTGGTTTTGCTGGAGAACGCAGAAGAGAGCGTCGCAAGAAGATGTTACATGATTGAAGGTAACGTACCATAATGAGTCATGCTAGTAGTTCTCTGAGTTTGCAACTGAACGCAAATTCCAATTTCTCAACATCCGCCAGCTGGCCATAGGAAAAATACTGAACATGAGTTGCCAACGAGAGATGGTCCAACGAGATACCCGCAAGATTTGAGCTTGCAGGTAACAAGAGGGAAAGCTAGCACTCCGTGGTGGCGCCATGCAACTTCGACTATGGTATGGAAGACGGGGACGTCATGAGATGCACATGCACGAGCGGGCAAACGGCAGCGGGAGAAATGTAAATCCTGACGGGAAAGCAGAGGTTATGTTGTCCTCAGCGCGACCAAAGGTTTCTAGGGCGCAACAATGCCAGCTTGGCAGGCATGGTTTCATTGCATCAGTGACAGAAATCATGGCCGGTCGACATTCTTAGGTAAAGGTGTAGCGTCAGCCATCCACGAGAAGAAACGCGGGAGCATAGGTACAATGCTGCATTAGACACCTTGACGGGCCCGCACAGGCCATGGGCGGCTGGGCATTGCCAGAAGGCCAAGCACATACCTATCCGCGGATGCATCTCGCCCGGCTCCGCGCGGAGAACTTGATATTGTCCGAGTGTCGGGACGGGCTCTTGACTAGTCTAGTATGCACACCATGCCGGCGGAGTTAGCTCACCAGAAGGGCTCTCGCAACGCCTAGCCAGGGCGGCTGAGTCATGAGAAAATGAGTCGGTGTGCGCGCTGTGCTGGCCGTGCGATGTACATCCTAGGGAGATAGGTGTGCGATTGACAATTGTACTGCCACAATGGGGTAAGTAGAAGGATCGCTTTATCGGCACCTATTTCTACTTATCTCTGCTTATTTCTTTTCTAGTAAGCAGGAATAAGGACCTTAATAAAGCGGTAACAAGAAGGTTTCCTGTTGTGGAATCCGCGATCGCGATCGTGCCGTCAAATTGGCGCGGGCAACTCTGTTATTCTCGGGGGTGTGCATCCGCAGCGTTTGTACCGCGCAACACACATCTAGATGTTATGTCCGTGTGCGATAGTCGAAGTCTCGCTTCTGCTCTATTGAACGGTATTAATCTTATAAAATGACGCATATAATAACGACCTCAGTAATCCGGTTACTCCGTCTTGACACACCTAATTCAGAGACACCGGGGTGATCAAGAAGCAAAAGTACCAATGAGTATAGCAAAGATCTAGGTTCTGCTGACGCACATCTCGTCAGCGCGGCACAACAAGCATATGAGGAGCGTGACGATCACTTGGGTCTCATATCATGATGTTCATTGAATTCACAGTGCGTGGACATGGCCTAGAAACCTATTGATTAATATTTGCCATGGGTGCGTATTGCCCATTCCAGGTGTCGCTGCTGCTCCGGAAAATCCCTTTGTTTGTGTCGGAATATGACACAGCTGTCATTCGTTCTTCTGTTACTCCTGTTATCCGTGGTCTCCTTAGCTGACCAGAAACGGACAGTGATGACAGTCGTTCGCTATCCTCATGCTTCTCCGTTTGTTGACAGCTGCGTCCCGACTCGGCGGAGGAGGAGGATCCTGCTCAGGTCCTGGACCTGCCTAGCCGCGCAGATTTCCCAAGTGCAGTTGACATCTCACTTCCGCCCTTATAAGATGTCCTATACAGCCGATGTACATATAGACCGCTTATTGGTGCAGCTTGGCCACAAGCAAGCTCAGATTCGCCGAATTTCCGAGTTGCGTTGTCCCTTTCCCTTATTGCTCATTTGTCGCCATGGACTATGATGCATTCGACGCGTTGCTTCATCACATCTTCAAACAGGTTCGTCGTAATCACGTTTTGTGTCTCGCCTCGCATCTCACATTTCCTATGTGCAGACACAGGCCGACGCTTGGTTCAAGCCCTCGCAGGAGAACATACATGCGGGTGTCTGCCTTAGGGTCGCCGCAGGACACTTCCGCGTCTTCCCTTACGAGAACCGCCACCTGGAGCCATTCGAGGCGGCGGTGAGAGCTCTCAACCCGGTCGTGGCAGTCAAGATTCGCAGTGCAGCCATCCATGCCGCACTCGCGACGGTGTGCGTCTCTACCAGCGGATCTGATACGTGGCATGGCTGACCTTGATAACCAGCAAAGAAGATGCCGATGTCATCTTCGTTGATGTGGACACCCGCATCCAAATTCTGGACACGATGATGTTCCTTCCTCGTGCAGACAAGGAACAGTGTGCTGCCTTCATCGTAAGTTGGCTATGTCACTACCGCATTGACGCGTGCCAGCTAATGCTGAACACCCCCAGCGCGACGAGAGCGTTCTCGTTGTATGGTCGTATTCGCTAGACAATATCATCCCTACGTGCAAGGACTTCGAGGAGAAGCTGATTCAACTCGTATGGAAGCACCGATCCGCGTTTGCGTCGTTTGGCGGCTCCACGGAGCCATCGACTGCGGCTTCTGACGTCTATCTCGCCGAGAAGGGCACTTTGGCTGTCATTGACGAGCAGGAGGTCTCTGCGATTGCGAAGGCGAAGGACACACCGAAGAAAAAAAAGAAACGGAACTGCGGTCTGGGCTACTGGGTTTCGAATAAGGACGACGTGGAGAAGTTTATGCGGGGCCCGTCGCATCGACCCCATCGCCTCTTCTCGCCTGTCTATAACGGTCTCGGTGCCGCGCTTGCGACGTGTAAGTTCGTCGTCGCGTGTATAAGCGCTATACTAACTTACGTCTCTCAGACTTTATCGCCAGCGGTATTAGCACTCTCATCGAGGAGACCGTCTTAGATGGTGTCTACACTCGCTTCGCACTTATCGCGACGACACCTTTCCTCTTCTGTGTCGCATTGGTGGGGAGACTTGATCCATAGCTAGTTCATTCACTGACATACTACTAGTTCTTCTGTCTTCAGATTATCACCAACGTCTCATTTGTGTGCGTATGCTGCATTTTAATCTTCAATACAGGCCCCAATGATTCGTCATAGCCTTGGCCCTGTCGCTCAATACCACGAGAACTCGAAATACTATTCAGCAGTCCCTCCAGCACCCAACAAGGAGGTGGACTCCAACTTGCCGCAAATTACCATCGAGATGCCTGTCTACAAGGAGAGCCTAAAGGAGACCATGTAAGTCTGCTGCATATGACCATTTGCAATCCAGTATGCTATCGGGCGCTGTTGAACTCAGCGCCCTGCGAGCTCAATCAAGGACGATTAGTTGTCTGTTAAACTCAAGCGGGATTTACGCTTATATCCGACTCATCCATGATGCTTGTTTGACGTTTTCGCTCAGGAGCTAATCCGTTGCCCGATACCTCACCAGTGCTCCGTCGGTATACTCGCTCAAGAAAGCAATGCAGACGTACGCTCGCCAGGGCGGTACCTCCTCCATCTTCGTTCACGACGATGGTCTTCAGCTCGTCTCTGAGGCGGATCGCGCCGAGCGCATCGCATTCTATGCGGACAACAACATTGGCTGGGTCGCACGCCCTCCCCACGATAACGCACCTGATGGGTTCAAACGCGCGGGCCGTTTCAAGAAGGCATCGAATATGAACTATGGGCTTGCGCTGTCCCTTAAACTCGAGAAGCATCTCTTGGCGCTCGAAGCGGAGGCGGCTTTACATGGCGGGGAGGATGCGATCTCACAAGACGGCGAATGTCTCGAGGACAAGGCGATGAACCTGGCGATTGAACAGATATTCGAGGAGAGTGGGCGGCGCTGGCGGCCATGGGCGAGCAATGGCAAGTCACTGCGCGCCGGTGAGATTATCCTGATTGTTGACTCGGATACCATCGTACCCGAGGATTGTCTGCGTGATGCGGCGCGGGAGCTGTACGAGTGCCCGGAGGTGGCGATCATCCAGCACGAGTCGGATGTGATGCAGGTGGCGCACCACTACTTCGAGAACGGAATCGCGCATTTTACTAGGAGGATCAACAAGTGCATCTCGATGGGCTGCGCCAACGGCGAGGTAGCGCCGTTTGTGGGGCATAATGCGTTCCTGCGCTGGTCGGCGCTGCAGGACGCTGCTTTCGTCGACCCGGCAGACGGCATCAAGAAGATCTGGTCCGAGTCGAATGTGTCGGAGGACTTTGATATGGCATTGCGGCTGCAGCTCAAGGGATATAACATCCGATGGGCGTCCTACTCCGAGGGCGGCTTCAAGGAGGGCGTGTCTCTGACATGCGATGATGAGCTGAACCGTTGGCAGAAGTATGCATATGGTGCGTGGCTCGTGCTTGTGCAAGATCTCATACGCTAACCATTGCCTGTCAGGTTGTAACGAGCTCATATTCAATCCGCTCGTTGACTGGTGGAAAATGGGCCCTATCACGAAGCAGCTACGTGTCTTCATCTGGTCTGATGCGCCGGTTCATTACAAGTTCACGATGCTTTCCTGTATGGATCAATCTCCTGTGATTTCTCTCTCCAACGCTCACTCGTGACTTCTCGCAGACATGTTCTCTTACTGTTAGTCGCTTCTGCCTCGTGAAGTCCTTGCCTCTGAAACCATTCTCTTTACAGATGGTATCTCTGCCGCGTTCGTGCTCTCCTTGTCAAATTACCTGGTGTTGGGTTGGGCGCTCACTGTCAGGATAAGCTGTTATCTTTAGTGAATACCTGCTCATGCCATATATGTGATTGCAAGGTCGACGGCTTCTATGAACACAGCTTCGAGATCTGGCTCGCATGTACGGTCGTATTTCCAGGCGCGGGCAACTTCGGCTACACGCTGCTGCAATACCGTCTCGGTCAACGCAACCTCCTCGACGCGCTCGTCGAGAATCTGACATGGGTGCCCTTCTTGTGCGTCCTTCCCGCGCCGTGTTTGCTTTCGTCAACTGAACTGTGCTTCAAAGCTTTTTTTTCTTCGGCGGCCTGTCCATCCACCTCTCGCAAGCGCTACTCGCGCACCTGTTCTCGTACAATATCGCCTGGGGCGCGACGAAGAAGGAGGTCGAGCGGTCGAACTTCTGGCTGGAGGTGCCCAAGATTCTTAAGCGGTTCTGGCTCGCACTCGTGCTGTGCATACTCGCGTGCATCTTGATGATCGTCATGACACTCAACTTCGTCCCGGAAGGATGGAGGATCTACAATTATGACTGGGCAGTCATCTTCCCACTAGCGTGAGTTTTCAGATCTCTTATAACAATGTACCGAGCTGATCCAATATCTCACAGAATCACTGCAGGGTCTCATATCCTCTATCCGGTACGTACGAACCATGATTCACCATACGGTTTCCTTATGCTTTTGTGGTCGCCAATAGATTGTACTGAACCCATGGTTCATGATCTTCTCATATTGACAAGTGTTGGGTTTATGGCTGGTAATTGACAGGACATCACGCGCTGCTTCGCATAACATCGCTCCTTTTCCCCTTGCGACATTGTATCACGACAATGTCATATAGACTTGACTAAGCCCCACGCACTTGACTCTTCGTCGCTGCGGAGCTCTTTCGTACACAAGTCGTGTATTTGAATTGCTTTTTACTTGCTCGTTCGTACTGCCATTTGTCTCGAACACTTCTAAAGTCCTCTGTCCCGTGTCACTGTATCGGCTACAGGTGCCACGGGGGTCGAGCTGCCTGCCTCTCGCTTGGAATTCAAGAGATGTGCGGCGTAGCCCTAATATGGTCGTGGCTGGTATTCCCAATCATGTCAACCCGTAATGAACTTGGGTACTACTCTTCATTTGCAAGCGAACTGTGCCACAGTTCGCTCAGCAGTGTGTGCGCCGATGCGCCCGTAAAGAAGAGATTATGTTCACACGACGCATGCCACAACAGCGACCTCTATCCAATTATGCTTTCATGCATACGAGTCTCTGATCCCTTTCTACTTCCACTAACTTACGCTGCACGGCAAAGACGAGGCAGACTAGATGGTGTGGGTGATTCAGAGTGATGCCAGGCTTCTGAGGGTGCGTCGGCCGGCCACCCCTGGGATCTGACATGGATAAGCCGAGACAATGCCGGGAGTGAAACGAACTCGACGTCTCGAATCTATTAGTAATCGCGACTTCCATCCCGTTGGAGAAGGCATCTTACCTGTTTTGGACACTTTCACGGACGATCGATCACTCTTCACCTCTACTTCTCCTAGTACATCATTATACTTTCTTGGTGGCAGCACCCCGTCACACCTGCCGAAAAGGGTCATATACATATATAAGACAGCGATGACGCCGAGCAACCCAGATCTTCTCCTAGACTCCAACTTCTCCTCACCGGCCCTCTTGTCTGACTTATCTGGTACCGTCTGATGACCTTTCCGAATGCCTTGCCGTGGTCTCTCCCACATTGTAGGAGTTTTATACGCAATTTCTTCTTCCTAAAGTGAGAAGGCACGAAGTGTGAGTGATGCATGTATCTCAACGAGAGGAGATCTCTTCCAACTCCGTGGTCGTTGTCCAAATAGCGCTTCACTCCAAACAATGGAAGCACTTCAAAAGACGAATATCCCGAACTCCTCAGTGAAAAGCGACTGTCTCTTGCATACAATGGCTGATTGTGAAGTTAGCTACTAAATGGCACCGAGTCCCCCTTCATCTGCCTTCTTTCGGGCACTCGCAACTTCGCGCGTGATTGTGTGAGGCAGAGTTGAATGAAAGCAGCAGGTGATCGTATGTGTGCATCTTATAGAATCTCCAACCTAGCTCTGGTTGCCGTCCTCCAGCATGGTCTCGTCCTGCTGCACTGTCGTGGAATGAGATGTCGTCCTAAGACAGCCGAGGCCTCTCAGCACGCCAAAATGTGCTTGGTTGCACACACTGCACATAATTCTCTAGGGCTTCCCAAAAATTCTCATCATGTGGACCGCCACTCAAGACAGCTTGGCTACCATGTAGGTCATCCCTCGACTCCTCGGGCTTGATATCCCTGGCTGCAAACGTGTCACAGACCCCTCTGTTTCAGCTTTTGCTCGTTCCCTCACGGACTTGTCCCTCTCTCTCATCACCTCCTTGACTATCCACGCCCTCTGGACCTTCGCATCTGGACTGAAGCGGCTGAAGGTAGCGCATTGCACAAATCCGATCGACAGGAGGTTCCCGCATCCACTGTCTCGCACACAATGCGTCGTGAGCAGCGCGTTGTCAATACCACGATCGTTCTCGCTCAATCGACGGCAGTCGATATTTTATCTTGCCAAACGGTTTCCTATACTGAAAGTCTTGCTTGGGCATAATCTCCCCCTCCCTGAGCTTCGATCTAATGGTTTCAGCTATTATATGCAGCTGACTGACATCGCGATCGCTGGAATTGTCGCATCTCACATGTCTGGATTCATGGCCCTCTGTGGTCACACGACGGAGGAATTGAGCTGGCTCATGGACTATGGCGTCATGAGCATTGTCTGCGCCTGCACCCGGCCGAAGTCAGTAGATGTGCGCTGTGAGTCGCCTACTTTCACCCACCTTCTCTGTCCAGCAGACCACTGACTGTTCTCATCGCATGTTATAGTCTACTCTCGCCTCACCGATCTCGCCGTGAGGGAGGCTGGTGATTCTCCTGCACACCTAACGGCTCTCCGTCGTTGGATTGAAGTATCTCATGGATAATACGGTTCTGTCCTTGGCGGAGCATACCTCAGCGCTCAAGCGCCTGAATCTCTCACGATGCAGGCCGCTGGAGAAGCCGAAAAAGCTAGAGCACCTCGGCGTGTCAACGATCCCGACATACTGGAGCGCAGTGACGTAGAACCCTTCTCGGATCGCCTACCACCGATGCGTGGCAAGCCATGTTCAATCTACCTCTGGTTCTAATATGCACAAGTTGTTCCCATTTGTTACTTCGACTTGACATCAACTAGTGAATGCATCCACCAGTGGGTCATTATGCTACCTATCGCGTCTACAGCAGTCGATAATGTGCGCCCTGCAACATGTTAAAGACGAAATAGCGGTACGCCCACGTGAGGCAGAGGAGAAGAACGTCATTATTATGACAGCTATTGGGCACTACAATCGACTGCTCTGTATAGATCAGCCCGATATACTACAGCACTTAAGGTGGCCTCCGGGTCTTGCATTTCGCTTCCTTGTCACGCTCTTATCTTAGAGTCTTAGAGCAAGCCATGTGTGAAATCTAATACACACGACCTCCGTTGCAAGAACTACACGCCTTGCAGAACTCTAACACCTCATCATTTTCAACACAGATCTGGATAGTAGCGAGCGCAAACGACATGCTTCTCGGCGTACTTGAAGGACATGTGTCTTCTATGATCAGCCTCGAGTAACCTGCATGGGGAAAAGGAGCCTGGAGGGAGTACATGATGGTGTGTGTTCTTCTTCCCAGTGATCCCAAGGTATTCATGCCAAACGGTGAGCAGTGACAGCGTGCATCTTGCCTGTATCCTCCATGCGGAGCTACAACAGCCCCGACGCCGTCCTGATGTCAATCCCAGAACGGAGAAGAAAGAAACCCAAAAACTATTTGGCCAACGCCGGGGTCGAACCGACGACCTTGGCGTACCGCGAAGGTATTAGCACCACGCTCTAACCAACTGAGCTAGTCGGCCATGACCAAGCTAGCTATAGGTACACACATGTTCTGCACGTTACGTTATTGTCTCTCTTCGAGACCGTGGACGTGAGCCTCTTTTGGACGCCCTTCGCGGTTGTTAAGTGCCTCGTTAAGTGCCACGAACACATCAGCTCATATAGGAGCGTTTTTAATGTAGTGACTGAGTATATGGCAAGACAATCATGGTTGAGAAGCACTCGCGATACTATGGCAAGAACTAATACAGGTTTGAGTTACGACCAAGTTGGTCGACATTAACTCCATCCAAGGGTGTATACATAATCCCATCCCGTTTAGCGCAGTTTCATCAATGGTCACGTAAGACAGTATGATGAGTAGCCACAGCAGAGTGCAGATGCAGCGCGGTATCTCTACCCATGGCACGTCGTGCACCCGAACATGCTCTTTCAGGAGGGGTGTCTGGTGCTGTCAGACTTTATTGTCTGATTGGTGCCAAAACATCGGCTCATCATCTGCATTTGACACATGGCGGATGAGAAGGCAGGTCAGAGGCAAATAGCAAAGAGGTCATTTTCTGAAGGTGAAGCACTTGTTCGATCGATACTCCATGCAAGAAGTACCCTTTATTTAGTGCATGTCAGGGCGAGGAAGGGGCGCTGGCAAACAACCTATTGCTCCACCGGAAGACAACTAGTAGGTCTAGCCTGAGAACTCGCCTTGTTTTTTGAAAGAGCGCTGCGATACGGCGTCAAGAACTCGCCTTGTTGAAATATCGTAGGTCCGAGAACAGGTTTGGGTACGTCGGCGGACACGCCAATGAATGCAGCAAGGCTCGTCGATATGTCAATGCAGAGGGCAGATGTACGTGCCGTTGGATCCGGTTACCTGGCGGTAGTACTAGCGGCGCACGTTCTTGGGGTGAGACAGTTGGTATGGCCGAAAACCTACGACCTCGTACGTTCGCGCCATACAACACGTTGCCGTCTCGAAGGGCAATCGGTGAATGTCCAGAGTAGGCAACCTTTCACCTGGTACCGGACTTCACGTTCGCCGGACGCTGGAATGGTGCGGGGCCTGTAGCAAGTGGGCATATGGCGACTATGATAGTGATTGATATGTGTATCAAGTGGTATCAGCGTCAGCACTTACCTTTCTTATCCACTGCGTCCTCATATTTGCAGTGGTTAGCCTTCTGTGGCGGGCCTCGAGGCAGGGCAGTGGGATTCGAGACACGAGAACTGGGTACGGGAACGCGAAGGCTTGCCATTACGTGCGCGGGGGTGCTGACAGGCCGATGATATCATGTTCGCGACCGTAAAGCGGGATAAAAGACAGGCGAATAAGAGTGTGAAGGTGTGCTTTTATATGCAGGAAGCGAACATGCACGTATCACACACACCTGTGTCTTATCTCGGCAGTCAATTGCGGATAGCTTCTGGCGCCAGCAACAGGAACGTGGCCGCTGGGATGGCCCAGGCATGTCCATCATTCGAACCGGGAAGTCTATCAGGAGCAGATGCTTCCGCCCAGAGGAAGAAGTGGATTCATGTGGACGTTGCAAGGATGACTGCCTAAAACGGCCTAGCTTGATATGTACCGGAGATGTGAGTGTGAAGAAGCCGATGGCTTGGTCGGCGCCCATTTTGGCAGGAATCTTAGCGAAAAATGGGCGTCTGCTCGCTTGAGCGGGCCGCGGCCGGAAATAGAGCTCAGCATCGAAAATGGCGTCAGCAGGAGCAGGCACGACTGTGGAAAACATCACCCGATGGCCGCAACCATATTGTGCGAGTGAATTGCGCATTATTTGTGCATTTAATCCCGACGGAGCGGAGGACGCGTACGGTGCCGGCATGCTGTGCAGAGCAAAAGAGCAGAGTCAGATCATTGCGGGTGATATCTGATTGGCTGCGGACGCGGCGGGACGAGAAAAGACGCGTTAGCAACCGAGACGAACGTGTACGCGCACCGCACACACTCCTTCCAACGCGTTCTTTATAGCTCACTCAGCATGCACAGATAATAGCTCTCCTCGGAGGCACTGCTGCCCGCGCGAAGCCCCTGCTAAACACGCGCTAGTAGCTCCTTTCTCGTCGTATTTTTCGTATCTAGAATTTACTCGCTCAATTTATAGGGCTGCTCCACACCGCGCAAGCCGCTAGACTGCCGATATACCCTTAGATATTAGACCGCCGCTGCCCGCCCCCGCGCCCCTTTGCTCCCTACCGCGAGGTGCCTTCGCCCACCGGCCCACATCCCCGCGTTCTGCCAACACGAAGCACCGAAGGATCTACTCTATCTCGCCCACCTTTGCGCCCAGGGTTTCTTATCAGCCACGACCCACACCGGAAGCACACCGAGCAGCCATTTGTGTTGCTGCACACACGGGGCTGACAAGATCATCACCACCGTGCTGACTGACTGCCTTCTGGTCAGTTTTCCACCCATTGATCCCGGAGTGCGTTCTCACCCAGCTATCTCTGCACCGCACAGGTCCTACCCCGCATTCCACCCCACGCCCCCCGCCTTTCCCCCCTTCATATTAACGACGTCTCGGTTTAGAACAAGCATTCCCAGCCACAGACGAATTTGCAAGGCCCGCTCGGCATAGCCTTTGTCTGTCCGTGTCAGCCGTTCGTTTCCCTTTTCACTGTCCCGCTCTCTTCCCACTGCGCAACGTGTCTGGTCCACGACCCCCGCCCTCGCCCCTTCTATGGAGGTGGTCCCGCCCATTCCCTCATGCACGCCACCCTCGTCGAACAAGTCCCCGGCTCCCCCTTCGTCGTACGCCAAGCGTGCGCGAAGGAACTCGACGTCCTCGCAGTCTCTCCTCGCCCGGCGTGCTAGTAAGCCCGAACTCCTCAACTCGATCCTCAGTTTGTCGCCCTCGCCTTCATCTACGGCCCCGTCCCCTACTCTCTCCCGTGCGTCTTCCGCTCTCAGTCTGTTGTACACGCAGCCACATACGCCTGGCGAATCGCCGTCAGCGTCGTCTCTCGGTACTCATGCCAGCCCCAGTATAAGCATGTCCCCCGCGACCGCGACCGGGACTCTACGTGCTCCTCGCAAGGCCTCCAGCGCCACGCTTCCATTCATTCCGCTCACGCCCATAATGGCGTCGCCGCGACTGACGCCCGAGATTAGCGCGGCGAGGAGGGAAGATCAGGTGAGGCTCACGGGAGGCACGGGTGGGACGGATGCGGCAGGTCAGGGAAATTCCGAAAATAAGCACGGTGAAATTCCCTCGCGCCGGGACAGCGCACAGGAGGGCGACTATCTAACTTTGGGCGGGCAGGCGGCTATCCCGCCACCCACAGAGATTGCGGCACAGGCAGCGGGTAACGCGGGCTTACCCTTGACGCCGACATGGACCTCGACCCCGCCCACTCCACCGCCCAAGCTCACCGAAACGCCTGCTACGCCATCGAGTTCTTTAAGCAGACGAGGGACAAGAAGCAGGAGCAGGGGTAAGCGTCCCGTCTCTGTCGCCGTCGTCCCCGTTTCTCGCAGCTCCAGCTCCCCCTCACGAAGACGGCCGGCGCCCTCCATGCCCTCCTCGTCCTCCCTCGCGTCCACCTCCACAGCGACCTCCATCGCGACTGTGCGTGGGCGTCATCACAGCAGCCATGCGGGCGATGCATTCCGCATGACACTGGCCCCCCGGCGACGGTTGTCACTCCCGACGTTCTCGAAGGCGTTTCGTGATGACCCCGTACCTGCGCGTACGGGCACGGCATCGTCGTCCCCCACGCGCCAACCGAAACGCGCGCGCGAGCGGACGTTGAGCCCGCTGCGTGCGTCGATGGTCGCGAAGAACGGCAGTGCGCGGAAGCTGTTCACCCTAGACGGGGACACGGAAGGGAGCGACGCCGAAGAGGACCCTGAGCGGGACCAGGATCGGGAACGTGCGGCGGCGAGGGAGCGCATTCGGCAAGAGGAGATACAAGCAATAGCAGCAGCAGCGGAGGCACAGAGACAAGCCGATGCAGAGTTGCAACACGAAGAGGAGGAAGAGCGGGCGCGAGACGAGGCAAACCGAATGGCGATGGTGTCGGAGGCGGAGATGGAGAGGCTGCGGACGGGGACGCGGCGGTACCATGCGCTGATGGAGCTGCTCGCGACCGAGGTGGGGTACCTGATGGACCTGCGCGCGCTTGTTACAGTGCGTGCCCTCTTCTGTCTCTGGGACCTCGGCAGGATGCCTGGGTTGTGCTCACTCGTACCTGCCTCACCTAGGTCTACCTGGAGCAGCTCTCCACACTGACTGCGTCGCACCCCCCGCCGTCGACCTCTGCATTGTCCCTGCCCGCACTCGCTCGCAGTCTTCCGTCCTCTCGCTCATCGTTTCTGCTCCACCCATTATCCGCCCCTTCTCCATCTGCCTCCGCAAGCTTGCATCTTGAGACTGGATCCGATACTGGTCATGGGCCGCCCAAAGACGAGCCAGATCGGGAACAAGTGAAAGGAGCCAAGCGAGAAAAAAGCCGAGAGCGCAGCAGGGTTCGTGGCACGAGTAAAGTAAGAGAGGTAACGAAGGAGAAAGAGAAGAGTAGGGCGACGGATAAGAAGAAGGGCAAGGAAAAGGAGCTTGAGCCTGAGGGTCATGCCGACATGCTCAAGGAAGGTGATCACAGGGAGAAGGAGAACCTGACACTGACCGGACAGAACCACGACCCACATCACTTACGCAAGAGCAGCAGGGATGAGCAAGGAAACCCCCTCCCGACATTGCAATCCTCGAACAAGGGGAAACATGTCCGACGGCCACTGCTTGCGGAGAAAGATGTGCGAGCCGTGTCCAGGAATGCTGACGAACTGTTGCGGTTTCATGACCGCTTCGTACGCGAGCTCAGAGAAACAGTCGGTGACTACGGCCTGGGTAGGGCGTTCGTCACGGATCTTAGTGATGAAGGCAAGTCCTCCCCCAACGTCGATGATGCAGAACCCGTAGGCCTGGATCGCATCGACGAAGCTGTCTCGATCGTTGCGGAGAAGTTCATTAACCAGGTGCGTATTTGTGTTTCGATTTATGGTGGCAGATATCGACCTCTGAGCTCTGCTCTTGTTCAGGCGGCGTCCTTCAGCTTATACGAGGCGTTCTGTCCAGGGCACAACGAGGCCACAAATCTAATCCGCAATGTGCAAGAGACTTATCCGAGCGAATGGGATGCGTATGAGCAGCGCTGTTCGGCGCTGATATCCTATGCACTGGACTTCGGGGAAGGTACCTCAGAAGCGCATGGAGACGACCATCTACCAGGGAATGATAGTGCTCATCCGTTATCAGCGACAGCGGTAATGCCTCCCAGTCCGCCTGTTGCGGAGCCTGGACGCAAGAAGCGCAGACATTCTACATCGTCGCTAGCCATGCTCTCGTCGAATGCACATGCAGACTTCATGCCGCAGGTCGCAATGACGAAATCGGATCCTACGGAACGCAAGCGCGAGCACTCGAGCTCGAGCTCCGGACATGGCCACAGGACGGCGCAAGCCCCGCGCCTGAAGTTCCTCGACTACCTGATCAAGCCAGTGCAGAGGATATGTCGGTACCCGCTGCTGATCGACCAGTTAAGGACAAAGCGGCAGCGGACCCTCAGCACCGGCAACTTGCCCTCGCGGACAGACTCGACGACGCCGAACGCGGAGATGGGACTCGACGTGGCAGAGCGAGCTAGCGAGGCAATGCGAGTCGTTGTCAGCCTCGTTGACCGCGCGAGTGAAATGCAGGCGCAAATTATTCGTTCGGCCCTCATCGCGTCTCGCATGATCTTCACGCATCCTCCCGTGTCGCCCGCGTCTAATCACGGACACTCCGCCGCAGGCTCATCGAACCATCGGACATCTGCGCTTGGCAGGCCACAGGGTCTGACTCCCGAGTTCGTCGCATCGCTGGGACCGTGCCACCTGACGGGGGCTCTAGACGTCGTCCATCACCCGTCACCACTGTACGCAGCGAGCAATGGAGCGCTTCGAGCCAAGTATCTGGGTACTTTCCTTTACAAGGGTGGATACTTGATCATGGTCAAGATTCCGAAGAGCGGTAAGGTGTACGATCCGCGGTTCTGGTTCCCTCTGTCGGGGTATGAGCTGTTCGACTCTGAGGACGATGAGTGTGAGTGCTATGTCCACGCACGCGTTCGTGATCTGACGTCTTGCCGCTAGCATCATTGCCGTTTTCATTCCATCTCGTTGGCAGTGGACATCATCTGCAATTTGCAGCCGCCTGTCAGTCCGAAAAGGTCATGTGGATGACTGCCCTCCAGGAGTCTTTAACGTTCCCAGCGAATTGGACGAACGAGCCTGCTTCGAGCCTCCAGGTTGACGACAAAGCTCACGGCTCTTTTGCTGCGGAGGATGGTCCTGCAGAGTGGTCGATTACACCCCTTCCGACGATCCAGTCGCTGTCAGAGCTCGAAGGACAGGAAGAGCAATCCGCAGACGGACATGTTAGACCAAGGGCACTGATAGAGAATAGGCCCAGACCGTCCTCGCGTTTGGATAGTATGGCGCTCAAGCAAGAGCACATGCAGGTGTCGTCGTTCGCCGCACTCAGTCGGAGGTCGTCCACGGCATCCGTCAAGGCCTTCTTCTCACCGATGAGCCTTGATACTATTACACGGATCGCCAGACCCTCCCCTCAAGTACGACAACACGTAGACCACGGTCTCCATGACGTCTTTTCCGAGAAGTGCCTAGCTGCCCGATCCCAGTCACTTCTGCGCGAGGAAGACTTGTACCAAGCTCGCAGGAGACCAGGTACGAACGTGTCGCGATCAAACTCGGGACTGAGCATTACAGGCGCCATGGGTCTTGCTGCGAGGCGGCGATACGATAGCGTGCTCGTTTCCCGGCGGAAAGGGTCCCTTGATGGTGGCACAGAACATCCCACGGATCTGGAGGTCGGCGGAAAGAACTTGACAACCCTGTCAGGGAAAGCGAAGTCGATGGCTTCGAAGCGACGCAAGCGTCCTCTTCCTTCTGTTGTCCCGGCTGTGGCATCTAACCTGGCCAAAGTCGAATCTGAAGCGGAGCTAGACGCGCCGAAAACGCAGAGTCCTACGGGTGTAGACTCACCGTTCCCTGCGTCCCACTGTTCCTCGACTGCATCGTCTAACGCTGGTTCTGCTCTGCCGAGCCCGGTCGACTTGATCGTGCCCCTGCCTACGTATGCTGTTCACGACGGGACACTCCGTCAGTCGGATATGCTTGGCGTGGAGGAGTCGAAGGGGAAGCGTGCGCGATCTATGGCGGACAACGTGCGGTACTTTTTCACGTCTCGTCCGGCCTCCCCGTCATCGTCTTCCGGCCACCACTCTCCTACACCTCCCCCAACTGTTCCTTTGGAACCCGAGGTGGACCCTCAGACAAGTTTCGTGCAGTGGTTAAGGAAGGGCTCATTGCGCCGTCGAGTGCAGAGCTCTCCAGAGATGCCTCAGGATGAGGGCCAGCCTGCTAGTCCCGGGCGTGCCTCGGAAGAAAATCGTGGCTCATTCTTAGTGCAAGTCTCGTCGAACAAGGTGCAATCCTCAGCTTCCTCTCCAGGTGCCGGCGATCCGTTGTCGGGCAGTCCTCGGCGAAGCTCCCTCATCGACTCCCCTTTGAATAGGCGACGATCTCTCTTCGCACCGACTTCGCGTTCACGCGATGTCAGTCCACAACAAGAGCCTTCCGGAACTCCCGCTGTGCCCCGAAGAACGCTAAGGAACGTATTATTCTTCCAACGCTCTAATTCCTTCACGCCCATGAAGTAGCGCGGGCTTCGACATGCCAATATACCTATACTTATTCGTGCTCACGTTTAATGTTATCACTTGAATCGCATAATGTGTCTCGTTGCATTTCATGCCAGTCTACACCTTGTCTTATTCGTACGGACGATCACTGCACGTATACCTTTGCATGTATATGCCTTCTGTACATCATTTTCCAACAGCATCAACCCAGTCACCTGCGTTGCAATTAAAGATTCCTCTGCTACAACGTACCTCGGAGTGTGCGGCCTCATGTCCTGCTATCCCTGAGTGACATCATTATTACCTAGCATGGCAATCCCTTTACCCCATGTGTTAAATTGTTAGGATAGACCAAAAGGCGAGCGCTTAAGGCTTTCCAAGTTACTGCGATGGCAATCTCAGTCGTGCCTCTGCCAGCTTATCCGTCTTCCCGCGTACGGGCCTCGCTTTCGCCATCTCAACTCGTATCACTGCACCAAACCATCACCTCCGCCCTCGCACAAGCTCTCGCACTTCCTCCCGCTCAATGCGATTCGTCCACTACTCGTACTTTTGTCTCGTCTTATGCCAAGGATGCTGCACACACCGCGCTGCAGCACCTCATCTGGAATGATGAGCAGAAACCGTCCAAAGTCTTTGCAGACCTTTCCCAGATCGAAAGGACGATCCGCCAACGCGCATTCTACCTTGCTGAACGGCTCGCTGCCTCTGCGTCGCTTGATCTGCAGACCTTGTTCGATCTCTGTGTAGCGTATGCGCCGACAAACGCTACACGTTTACGCAATCTTCTCTCATCTGCTTTCTCGCACAATGCATCCACTCTCTTCAAGGCAGTTCAGGGTGAAGCAGTTCCAGCCTTCACTGCAATGTTATCCACACCTTCTCAAGGCCTCTACGGTCTGCGTAAGACCGCTCACATTCTGCTATGCTTCCTGCGCCCAGCGCCCGCTGATCTTGTACGGCCGTTCGCGCGAGACAAGTCCTTCACGCTCGCCCTTGCGCGCGCGTACGATCACGGGCTTGCTAACTTCGCCCAGTCGTATGGCGGGCTCCGCCTCCCATCAAATGGCGATATCCAAGCCAGCCGACTCGACGAATGGGAACGCCTCTTCCTCGAGACCAAGGTTGCACTCCTTGACAGCTTCCACATCCTAATCGGTACGCTCCTCGCCGACGTTGCCGCAGTGCCGGTCGCGGGTCCCGAGCTCGCGGCGCAGTGCGAGTCCGCGTTCGAGATCGTCTTTGCATTACTCGAGCTGCCGCCGTCTGCACCTGCTTCAAGTGCCAATGCTGCACCGCTTCCTTTCCTCAATTGTCCCCTGCTCGCGGACTACCAACATGCGTACGACCTTTCGAAGACACTCGCTGACACACTGAAGCGCGCAGATGATGCCCGCGCTGAGCTACTAGAGGCAACCCTACGTGGACTGGACGGTAGTGATGGTGAAGGCCCAGGCGCACTGAAGCTGCTCCTCCGCTCGTCCGGTATTGCGCCTGGGATCGACTACCGCGGTCGGGGGCCTAGCCGTGCCACTACTGGAGGTGACGCCAAGGGCAAGGGTAAGGGTAAGGACAAGGACAAGGCTGCTCCACTCGAGGAGGATCCTGCCCTCGACGCCGCTGTCGCACAGGTACTCGACATCCTCCCCGACCAACCACCAGAATACCTCCGCTTCCTGCTCGGGCACTCAGATTATCCGTACAAGGGCGACGCGGAGCGCCTCATCGGTGCACTCCTGGAAGGGACAGCGCCCAATCCAGATGAAGTTGAAGCAGCGATGCGGCGAGCAGAGGTCGTGGCAGGCGTGGAGCCCAGTGCAGTACGAGAGGCGGTGGTTTATGACGAGGACGAGTTTACCTACACCAGAGACCGGCGAAACGCGTTCGATGACGAGGCGATGGATATACGTAACGTGCGCATTGGCAAGAAAACGTCAGTGTGCTGTCCCGATGCACTTATGCATAGTTGCGCATACACGCTCACACCCACGAACTCTTTCCTTCGCATGTTACAGGGACGATGTGTCAACAGTCCTGCAGGACCGTGAATTCATAGAACAGATGAAAGCAGACATCCTGCGCCGCGCGGAGGCGATCTCTGACGACGAAGACGAGGACAGCCCTCACAACGGGAGCAAGTACGTCGCATTCGAGGAAGAGCTTGATGACGATGGCGGTGGCGCAGTGAAGGTGCGCGATGGGGACGAGAGTGAGCTGGATGGCCCAGACGTGAACGAGGATGTGGAAGAGGTCAGTGTATGCACATGTCCGTTCGGGAGAGAGAGATCTCTGATGCGATGCAATGGACAGGACACTCGAATGAAAACAGAAACCATTTTGGAGCTGGCGTACCTGCAAGACCCAAAGCAATTTGATCGCGACGGCCAGACGCGACGCAGCAAAGCGAGGGCCGACCTCAAGGCTCAGACGGGTGCGCATTTTATGAATCGTCTCACGCTTCGACAACGCTAAACTCGCTTGCTACAGGTTGGACGGATGAGCAAATCGAAGGCTGGAAGATCATGCTGGAGCGAAATGTAAGCGACGTCTCCTATATGTCCCCGCGTAGCGCTCTCATTCTCATACCCCTACTAGCCAAACAAGGACAAGGTCCTTGCGAAGCACGAATTCAGCGGGAACAAGCCTCTGCAGCCAGGGCCTTCCAGCGGTCCCTCTCACCTCGGCGGCACAAACCGAGGTCGTGGTCGGGGCCATGGCCGTGGCGGACGCGGCAGAGGAGGCGGCCGCGGAGGCAGTGGTGGGGGCGGCGGAGGAGAGGGCAGCAACGCAGGTGATCGGGCTTGGAAGGACAAGAACAAGGCGAGCCGGGCGAACCATAATCGTAAGAGAGGCCACGACAAGAAGATGGCGCGAGCCGGTGGGCCCAGCTGAACATTAAAACCACTTCGCACATTGGCCTCCTGTGACAGTCTGTGCAATGACTACATTGACACGTAGCTCCTCATGAGATTCTCATACCAAACACTGTTATAGATGCAGACAACAACGTGGAAATTGTGTGCAAGACGTGTGCCATGATCACCTCTTCCTTTTCCGTGCAGCAAGACTCTCCAAGCGCTTCCGCTTCTCGGACGCAGGGGATTGAATATACGAAGGGGGACTAGGCTGACTAGTTGACGGCAGCGGGGTTCCCTGAGGCGTAAGGGATATGCCATTTGACGGACCTGCAACGACCTGCTCTGCGGCCGTCTGGTTGGAGCTGGTTTTTGGAATCAGCATTCGGCAGATGCGAGACTGTTCAGCTTATATGCCTTACATTGTCTCAATAGGAATTTGCGACATCCCAGCTTCATTCTGGGGCACCTCTTCGGTATTGGGGCTTGGCCTGCCAGCGAATTTGAGGAAAGAGACGGAGCACTGTGGGTTTCACTTACGGCTGAGAGAGCGGCGAAGATTCTGGTGAGAAAGCAATTCTCCGTTTCTTTGCAGGATTCGAGGATGTCGGAGGTTCGTCATCCTTGTCGTCTGCCCCGTTGTGCTGCACCTCAGGCTCTGGCGATGTTGCCGACCGTCCCGTTAACACAGAACGAACCGAACTGTCGGCAGAATGAACCACAGTTTGACGTTTTGTGTCTGCACTTACCTGACATCAGCGTCCGGCGGCTCATCGTCGATGAATTGCTCTTCAGCCTCCTCTTCACTGGTGTCCTCTTGCCTGAGCAGATCAACCTTGGCCCATGCCTTCGCGATTTCAAGTAGGGCATCCCACTGCTGTGACGCAGTGAATTGTACTATCTCAATTTCATCTCGTCGGCACAACTTGCGACATTGTGGGCATGTTATGACTTCTGATCCTGGGGAAACTTTCGAGACACAAGATTCGCAAAATGTATGTTCGCATGGGAGGCTTAGAAGGCGATCTCAGCATTCATATCTCGACAGCGAAAGGGAGGGCACCTCCACCTCGTGCATTTATGGACCTGTAGGGTATCCATACATATAGGACATTCCTCGTTCTCCTCGATTGACGTAGACACAATAGTGTCGTGAAATCTGCGGAGGAGCTAAGGATGCCGTTGAGCTTCCACGAAATGTCGCAACGTTCGGGTTACTGTATCTACCTTTCTCATTGTGTGCGCTGTGTCCCCGACGTCCAGCTCAGCATCGTCCTGCAGCTCACTAGCGTCTGCTTTGGCCTCTCGCATGCGTAGCTAATATAATCGCCGTCTACATAGAGCAGGAGTTGAAGCCTGTCACGACGTGCCTTGTCTATCTTCTTCTTGTCCTTCCGCCTCGCCTTTTCTAAGTCACGAATGCGACTGTTGAGTTCCCTGATTGTACCCTGCAACGCCACAAAGGTAGGACCGCCTTTCCTGCCGCGTTTTGGCTGGTCTGGGTGCTCAACGTGCTCCAACCTCTGTTTTAACTCGGTGTTTTGTCTCTTCAGTTCTTCCAGTTCCTCTTGTAGTGCCCGCGCCCCTCGTACGGCTTTGTTCAGATGCACCTAAATTGGACCCAAGCTTTAATTATCTGTGGATTACATCACTCTTCGTCTGGCTATGAAGTAAGACGATAAGAGGCGAATCAGCACACGAACCTCGATTTCATTGACAGTAGCAGGTGCATCGGATTCGGGGTCGGAATCATGATGCCCGACATCTAAGCGACGACTTCGTGTAACAGGACCCATAGGATGATGGCCATGAAACGGACTGAGACCGCTCTACTTAGTATAAGTTGGCGGGGCGAGCATGCACTGCAATCGAGTGTAGTTCGTGAGGCGCGACTGGCTGTCTGATTGGCTATGTCTGATGATAGTTAAAAGCGGAGGACCAAGTGTATCAAGTTCCTATCGATTAGTGGTCAGATCATCACGTTGTGGTTGTACCAAGTGTACAGCGAAACCGTGGGGACGGGGGCTCGAATTCCCCTAGGAACATTTTTTATTCATTTTTATGAATGTGGCAAGCGTGTTACATGATCATGTTGTTATATCCATACATAATATAAATATATACCTAAAAGAAGCCTTTCGGATGCATGTACAAAGAGGGTATGTGACGCTGCTTCCTGCAGCGATCGCCGGCAACCGTACTGCTGGGCTGTGTCAAAATCTGAATAACGGTCATGATCAACAGAATGGCAGACTTCGCGACAAACACGTATACGCATATGACACATATTTTATTCATTTAGAATCCAGTGTGATATCCGCTTGAGGGCGTCGCCCTATGCCGGATACTACAGAGTGCTTGTACACAACATAGCGAGGTGTCAATCTATTCTAGGCTGTCTGGGTGTATCAAGGTCGTCATTGTCTGTCTGTGCTAGGGGCCGTGTGAAGGCGGCGGGAGGGAGCTTGGGCACAAGGGGGTGTAAGTAAGGGTGACTGGATCATGACCTATGCGACTGTCATTCCCTTGTTATGCCTTGTAAAGTGCAACTTGGCCAAGGCGAGAAGGGTGAGTGATATTTCTATTCGATAATTATGTTGTTATATCTGAGCGCGATCCTAAAATGAGACTTTCAAATGGATCTAAGGGTATGTAGCGTTGTTTCCTGCAGTGATCGACAACCGTATTGCTGGGCAGTGCCAAAATCTGAATCGTGATAATATCATCACGATTCAGATTATGCTACTGCCTGTGGATTGCGTCGATAGTCTTCTGATGCATCTCAAGACTTGCTCTCGCATATTGTTCGAGTTTCTGATGCATCTCAGCATTTTCTCTCGCATATTGGTAGAGTTTCTGGTGCATAGAAATCATAGCAATGGCCTAGCAGTGGAACCGTGGTTAGGATATCACTTTTTCTGTACGGTAGATGGCTCACGTAGAAAGAATCTCGCGCCCTCTCCAGAGTATCCATGTGCCCGTCCAGGAGAGCCGATATACTGCTGTGACGAAGAATTCGTCCCAGTAGTCCTCGCTGGAGGTGCCGTTCAATATCGCTTTGTATTTCCTCCATAACACTGCCCGATAACGTGAGCGAGGAATGTAGCAGCGTAAGTTGAGCAAAAAAACCTGATTAGGGTCTCAAGGTTGTGCTGTAATTTCTGATTAATATTTGACTCAGAGCCAATCATATCCTTGACATGAATTGCTAAGTCCGAAGCGCGTTGCGCTAATTGGCTGCCGCGAATTCTATCGTCCTGGACTTTCTGTGGAAAGATGAGGCTGTCATTCAGTATGTTATACCCCGCCGTACCGGTATGTGTCACGAACTTGTATGGTCCTGACGATTGCAATTGCACCGCTTAATACAGGATAGACAAATGGAACAGCACAAAATGCCGAAGATGCGTCTCGTGCGCTCGTGAGGATCATCTCAAAGCCGCCGAGGGTGTCTTTGAAGTGTGTTTCTGGATGTATGCGACAGGTATCATCCTGTGAATGATGTCCTGGAGGATCGAATAAAAATATTACTCACCCTTTTCGCCTTGGTCAAGTTGCACTTTACAAGGCATAACAAGGGAATGACGGTCGCATATGCAGGTCGTAATCCAGTGGCAATCTTGAGCGAGTTTACGCACTGGTCATCTTGATAGTCCTTATATACGATTATACAACAAGCTTTCACTAACGAGGACCACATGTGGACCAATGTGCAGGTTTAGCAGAAGCGCGACGCGGTCATCATTCGGTAGATATCTAAGTAGCGCTAGACGCATAAAACGGGATATCCACGCATCTAAAGTTGGTGGATCGTGATCTCTAAAATGTGGACTCCTCATCACACAGCATCAGGCATGTTCCGAGTTTCACACAAGAAGATAAGCTGAGTACACCTGTATCATCGTCCCGAAGTAAAAGGTGTCAATGGTTATTGAGTAAGCACATCAAATCTTGTTCGTTCCGTGTGCGCTCATCAATGATTCTTGCCAGTGAATATATGGTAGCTTATATATATTCGATGTCTTTATTACTGCAGCTACAAGCTAAACGGTAAACACATAACATAACAATAACACATCACATATCGAGAGACCCTTGTCGCTGCGGCTAACATGTTACTTCAGAATTACGAGGCGAGCCAATCAGTCTCGTCCTTCACGATCCAGTCGTTTTCAGAGGTGTTTCCAGGGCGCGACATAGGCAGTTTCACCTTTGGAGCATGTTGGTTGTGGCTCGAGTGCAATATTGGAGTTGCTGTGGTTGGTGTAGCACCCCGATCTGACAGATTCGTACGCGCCTCTGTACTGAAGACAGGGACTGTTGTCTGCTTCCCAAACGCGGTGCTGGTATGTGCAGGACCACCGCTCGTCGCTGAAATCCGCTGGAGAGAGAACGTAGGACCCGGGGTAGTAGTGGGAGCGAAATTATCCAAGGCAGCTTGTGCGCGCGCCCTCTCGGCGGTCCGTGCCGACGGCGAACATTGTGCGTACGGATGAATATTGGGCGAAGGACGTCGAAGGGGGGAGTTTGAGCTACGCTCACGAGGCGCGCTGAAAGCATTAGAACTTTGAGAGCGCGGGGGCAGAGCCTCAGCGTTGCGCCGCAATCCCCCTTCATCCATTACCCATGCAGACGCGGTCCTCACACCGCTAGCATTGGACTCAACTGGGCTGTTGAGCGGAGTGGGACCACCAACTGGTGACATTTGAGGGACGTTACGCTCTCCCAGAGTCATCTTCGGAGTTGCCGCAGTCTGAGGATTACATTGCGCGATCTTCTGAGTAGGAAATGAGGGCGCAGGTGGGGCCGCCTTGCTATGCGTAGATATATCCGTTCGCTGATTCGGGACTGGTATTTGCGGCACGACTGCATGTATAGGGGTCTGCAAGGACGCAGCCAACTTCGACCGACGCTCGATAACATGGGTGACGTTGGCGGCAGAGACGGACACAGGGTTCAGAGGGTCAGAAATAGTGGGTGGAGCTTCGGATTGAAGATTACGAGACGATGCTTGAATTTCCTCCCTGCGCTGACTACTTATTGTGTCGCGTGCATCGTGCTGCGCGACGAAAGGTTGAGCGGGAGTTCGCGATGGCTTCGTGGTACGAGACTGCAGATTCGGCTGGGCCGTAGTGTATATCGTCTGCTGTATAACGGGCTCAGATCGGGTAACAGGCTGAGCGACGGGTGCGGCGTTCGCGAATGTATTCCTGGGATTGGTCGCCATGGAATTGGTTGGTCCTACAGGTCTGCTCTGCAAAGACGTGTATCTCGGCCTGGACTCGGCAGCGGCAGCAGTATAACCAAGAGCAATAAGAGGGGCTTGGTTCACGGGTTCACGAGGCTGGTATACCGGAGCGGCAGCCTTATCACGAGGAGGTTCGATAGGAGGAGCAGCGGGAGCAGGCTCAGCATCTGCAGAAAGCTCGTGAATGTAGAGTCGCAACGCGATGAGCTGATCCTGACTCAGCGCAGTCACCGGTAGTACTCCCCGGATGACTAGCTCAGCAAGGTCCGGAATTGAAGGGCCGGCGGGAGCCCTGCTTTCAGAGACGTGCTCCTGAGCATGTGAAGGAACGAAACTAGGTTCCGGACGGGGGAGAGGAGCCAGGTTTGTAGTACCGCGATCTTCGCCATGTGGGAAAACGCTCGTAGCCTGGGGAAGAACCGGATGAGGCGTATTGCGCACACGATGCTCTTCTTCACGCGACGAAACAGTGATTTGCTGAGGAAGGGGAGCATACGAGTGATCTGTGGCAGCTGCCGGATTCAAGGGCGGCTGAACGGGAGAAATTGCGTTCGGTGCCATTTGAACACGAGTAGGCGGAGTGCCAGTGTAACGCTCTTGTTTAGGCCGGGAAACAGGCGTTTCCTGAGGTCGAGAAGCAGGCTGTTTGACAGTAGTCGCGACAGGAGCTGGCAGCGACGTGATTGTGACAGCCGGACTTGGTACGACACGAACGCGAGCGGGAACGAACTCGGGGGCCAGCACGGAGAAACTGGTACGACTAGATGCTCCGAATGAAGTTTGAGACGCAGCTTGAGCAGAGCTGGGGTTGGCATCCGGTTTCACATCTTTGACAAGCTCTGGCACGCTACCTGCGGACCGACTCCTGTCTCTGTCCGCCTCTCGCCTACTGGCACTGGGCGACCTTTGGCGGCCATTCGTGACCTGCTGCTGCGCCTTGATTTGCTCAATAAGCGTCTCCACTGCAATCTGTGCTTTCAGAGGCCTGAAGAGATCGTCGATAGCCTCCTGGGCAAAGACTTGAGAACCGGATGTTGCAACGGCAGGCGTGTCATCGCGTTCCCGACTGGTGCGTTGACCTCTTCCCCCTCGACCGCCTCGATTTCCACAGCCTCGGCCTCCGCCACGGTCTATCGAGCGAGCCTCGCGGTGTGAAGTCTCGACAGGCGCCGAGGCCCCAGCCAGTCGCTCCGAGGTATACCCTAGACCTTGTGGCTTACTCGTGTTCTCGACCCACTTTACGTCGCGTATTGGACTTGGCTCACCAGGCGGCTGAGTCGTGTCAGAATCCTCTACAGGTAATTTCCCACTCGCGGCGGTTCCCGCGACTGGATGTCCGTTGTTTCTAGCAGGACGGTCTCGGACACAGGCTAGCGGCTGCTTCAGGATCTTATCAGAAAATTCGGGGTATTGGAGTGCCAGCTTGTTTGGCGGAAAAGGAACACTCGTCACATTTAGTCATATACACTATAGGGACGTACTCACGTTCGTAGCCTCGGCATAGGTTGAAGGCGCGGGTATCTTTGTAAGTTCGGAGATTGGCTGATTCATAGCTTGCAGTTCCGGCGCAGCAGCTTTAACGCCAGCTGCTACATCAGAGGAAGCGTCCTTTGCCACGCACTCAGAGGATGCTCGAGTAGGAAGTGGAATGATTTTCACTTCGTCGACCAAATGGTCCAAAACAGTCACTTCCGGGGCAGGAGGTGTAGGGGGCAATGGATATGCCGTTACAGGAGATTCACAGGATATCTCGACAGGGTTGACCAAGGGTGTCGTTTTGGTCGCATTGGCTACCGGAGCGACATCATTCAAGGAGTGAGGGTACGAAGATCCGAAGGACGCAAATGAAAGCTCGTGAGTGGCGGATAGTGAATCAACGTGAGGCCGGATATCCTCTTCGACAGATTGCGGATCTGTAGAAGTTGCAACAATCTCAGGAGCACATTCGAGCGCAGTAACGTTCTGTGCATCTCTGGAGGCAATCGGCTCTGGCGTTTCGACTACGCAACCAGCGGTGACATCCCCAGCAGGTATGAGGATTGCAGGCGACGTGTTTTGGTTATTGCCTGGACTGCTGGCATCGTCCGGTGCATAACTGACCGTGACCTCAGGAATAGTTTCAGCACCGCTCTGCTCGGGGTCAGCCAGCATTTGCTCTGCAACGGCCTCTTGCGCAGGATCGAATTGGGAGCTGCCCTGATCGATCACTGGTGTGGTCATAGGCGTGACGAAATCTGCATCTTCAAGGCCATCCGCACCGTCCACCGCGTCGTCCACCAGAGACACCCGCTCAGTGGCAACCACGTTGCCAAGAGAAGACGTAGGCGCCTCCGTCTGCGTCCTGACTAATGCAGGGGGGGTATCCGAACGAATAGACGGGATATCGCTGGATATATGCGCATGTGTTTCCTTCGCGAGGGGTGTGGTGAAACCCAAAAACAAGGGTTCAGGGCACGAGATAACGCTGACATCGCTTGTGCGGCTAATATTCAAATCGCTAAATTCGCTGTGCGATTGTTCGACGATGGCCTCGAGCTTGACGTACGCGTTACTGAGCAAGCTACTGGTGGTATCTGCGCTTTGATAGAGATCATTGAGAACGCTATTCTCGCTGATGACCTCAGTCGAGGCGCTGTCCTATAATTATCCAGACGTTGATAAGGGATACACCATACGCATATACTGAACGCACTATGTCCCCGACGGCCTTGTTAAAGTCTTTGGCATCCTATGTGCGGCGTAAACCCAATCTGATCAACATATGTTTGACTGGCTTACATCAATCAACGACCGGCCCGTCTGGTTCTCCAAAGCGACAACTCGTTGGCTTCGCTGCAATACTGGAGGCTCGGGAGAGGACGCCCTTGAATTGCTCCTTGACTTTGAGCCACTGCGCGATTTTGAACTCGACCGCGATCCCGTCAAAGACGATCTCCTGCTGAAGAGCGGTATCCTGAGTACGTTCGCGACAGCGTCCGGTATGAAGCTCGTAGGTGCCATGTCGGAAAACTGCAGGAAGGTGTGAGGGGAGAGGGAAGGACGAAGTTCAACCGCGACGCGCCAACACGGTTGCAGTTGGTTTTGCTTGAGTGCGTGAGCCGGCAGGCCGCCGTCGATTGACAGCCCCCCACTTCGTCGCCGCCGCTGCCTTGACGTCGCTCCTCATCGTCCCACGTGGTTTATTCACTTGCCTGTCCCAGACGAGTCTGACACAGGTCCAACACAACTTACTCCGTGCCAATAGATCCGTTTATTCTCATTCTCGAAGGATCATGCAGTTCTGTTCTGGAGCACTGCAGGAAATCATGCCAGCACCTCGCCAATGATGGGGAACTGGCAAGATCTCCTTCAAGTTACAAGCCTACCTTTCCTAGAGCATAGGATGATATCCGAGCGTTCCCGAAGGAATCAAACTTGATTAGAAAACTCTGATGCAACAGAACATGTCAGGCAACTGTCGACGAAAGGCTGATCCACGTCACCTGCCTTATCTGGAATACACCGGCTTCCCTGCCTTCAACGTTAGTTCTGTCACCGCAGCAGATATCGAGGAGATGTTCCAGCTGCAACCAATCAAATTGCGCAATCGGGCTCCATATGCTACGACAAAACGCCCGAAACCTAGATACTCGCAAAAATATCTCAGAGATAAAATCGTACACTGATGTTGGCTTATGTGGAACCCTGTGTACCGCGTCAGTGCTTCTCAGACGTGCCAGGAACAGGTCCTTCCTCTGGGCGGCGGCCGGATACCTTGACAAATCCATCCATAGCGTAGTCGCATCCAGAGAGCTACGCCTTCCGTCAGATACCACCTGCTATCCAAGACCACAAAGGCTTACCCATTGTCCGAAGTCCCTAATGTAGCTAGGGCAGAACTGCAAGAGCGGCACAAAGTTCGCGTAGAACGGCATGAGTATTTGCTGAGAGTGCTGGTCATCAATCGCTGCGATCACTGCCTTCGCAATAGCCACTGGAGGTATGCTGGGAACTAGGAAGCGATACCACCACGCTGTGGGGAGGCGGACTTTCGAGAACATGGGGGTAAGTACGTGCCCCGGGACAACAAGTGTGGTGCGAATGCCCGGGGTCTTGTACTTGTGGTCCAACTCGTAGCGCAACGATTCGTGCAGGGAGATGACTGCGGCTTTGGAAGCGTTGTAGTCGGCTAAGTGTACAAGATATCAATGAAAACGTACTGTATACAATGAAAAAGGAACTTGAACTTACTCATCTGTGCCATTCCAACCATACCCGCAACTGATGCCATCGTCACCTATAAAGAGGCGTAAGATCATCCTCGATACAACATACTCAGTGTTATGCGTACAATGTGACCGGTCTTCATCTCGAGTAAACCAGGAAGGAACGCCTTGAGGATCCAAAAGTGGGCCAAGGTATTCACGGAGAAGGTTCTGTGTAAGTGATAAACGGACCAGTAGACGAAGGTATCCGGAAGATGCGTACTGTTGAATATCCTCAGGCGTGAGGTCCACTATTGACTTGCCTTGGACAACACCTGCATTATTGATGATAATGGTCGGTTGACCAATCTTGATGGGCATTCAATGAGCACACGAGATAGGCGTCAAGGGTGCATTTTTGGACTCACTTCGTCGATGATCCTCTTAGACATCTCCTCTACCTCCTCCCACTTCGAGACATCGCACTTGTAATAGCTGATGTTGTCTGACAAGGCCGCGTTAAGGCCGCATGACGAGTAGCATGGCTTTAGTACACGCACAATTCTCGGTGACGACAGGGTTGACGTCCAACACGACGACTGTGACATTGCGCACAGCACAAGTGTTCGCAATAAGTTCTCCGATACCGGAGGCGCCTGGGCGGACGCCGTCAGACACGCTGCAGCATAGAAGAGGCGGCACACGCACCTCCCGTCACAAGGACAATCTGTTCACCCCAGTCCAGGGCTCTCGGAGCATACAACAAGCTCCCTTGATTCCTATACAGCCGAGAATACCACTTCAAGAACCCTATTCATGGGCGTCAATTACCCAGCACACCAGCATGGCTGAAGACTCACAGAAGCCAGATACAGCTGCGACGTAAGCGGAGGTCACAAATACCACCGGGTGGTACATGGAGTACCCCTGGAAGTAGTAGAAGACGGGTATGAAGAAGGTGAAGAACGGGCCTGCAAGCCGAGTCGTGTGTCAGATGCTTGCGCACGCATGCTGGTCTGCTTACGCACTGAGCATCGTGTGCATCACGACCTTAACCACAAGGTCTACATCGAACGAGTCGAAAACAAGGGAGACATCGGAGATGCCTTCGCGTGCGTCCATGGTGGTGATGATCGTCCGGAGGATGTCAAAGAGCAGATGCTGGGTGGGCCGAAGGACAAAGAATGTATTCACAGGCTCAGCCTGTACTAGAGAACGTGGAAGAAAGAGAAGAGGAAAGATTGGTATGAAGAGAAGTCCGTGGATCACAGAGCACGGCCTTGCCAGTGACTGACAGAAGGAAGATGGCGGCCACGTCCGCAAGCGGCGCGACATCTTCCACCCAAATTCAGTTGTCCCTGACAACTGTCAAACTTCGAACAACGCTGTCCAATCAGCTGTTCAGTGCGAATCTGAAATCGCAAAACTAAATTCGTGCACAGGCAACATAATCGTATTGCGAGAGCGTAAGTACAACTCGTATGTGCACACATGGCGCTGTATACGCGGTCAATGGGCGGGCGAGATCTGCATAAGCGCCTGAGATCCAGCCACGATCTCGTCAGCTGGCTCAACCAGGCTCAACCGGACGATCGAGAACCACGACCCCGACCTTCAGTTGTCTTCCCTCTCGAGTCTTAAAGCTCTCAACCTTTCGACAGATTTCAGACCGTCCCAGTGCATAGAGCGTTCACAAGTATCCGACATTCGTTAACGTTCAACGCCCGGCCCCTGTTCTCTTGATACTCGAACGCGTGTGAGCTAGACCTCCAGCACACGACGTCTTGGGTGTAGCTATAGACCCTGCTCTGTTCAGTCTGTGTACGAAGCTCACAGCCTTTCCACCGCTCGGTAAGCTATTGTGTAGACCTTGGCAGATGAAGGTGCCCAGCTTACTTCACTTTCGATTCATCAAGATCGAGTAGAATGAGCTCATCTATCCCAAGCATTCCCACCCCCCACGGACACATCTGTGATGGGGTCCGTGTCAAGCCTATGTCCGTAGAGCTGCCCATAGAACTCGTACTAGAGATCTTGGAAATAGCCGCGGCATCATCGCATCTCTCCGCGGCGGCTATCTCGCGCGTCTCCTCATGGGCACGAAAGCTCGCCCTCCCGTGTCTCTTCGAGACGCTACTCTATCCCGTGATTACCTTGAATGAAATAAACTGGACGTCTGGTCAATACTTCACCAAGCCATACATACCAAGGCACCTCCCTGGACCCAGTATACCACTCCCTCTTCACGTCGGGCACCATGTCCGTAACCTGTGGGTAGAAAGAGGTAACAGAGGCTCTCCCATGGATGAGATAAATCTGTTCGACATCTGTCCGGATGTCGAGCACCTCGCGATCCAGTCTTCGTCCATCGGAGCACTGTATACGACGTGCAGAGCCGGATCGAGATTCCCATGCTCTGTGCGACGCGTTACTATGATCACCCCCAGCCCGCGCTACGAGATTCATGTCCTCGACGGACTCCGTCTCGCAAATGGCAGCCTGTTCCTGCATAATATCACACACCTACATATGCTCGACCTCAGAATGTCCACGTACGTGCCCTACGACCGACTGCCCAACCTCACACACCTTGCAGTGCCCTACCTCGATCTCGGGGCCAACATAGCTCAAGAGCCTCTCCGGACGCCCAATGGTGTCTTAGACCACCCGCCCTTGAAGATGCTCGTCCTGACTGTCGACGAGGCGAAGTACATGGGCAATTCCTGGTACCATACACCTCGCCTGTACGCGAATGGGGCGCCGATGGCGGAGTTCACGTCTCCGCGCGCGAGCTTCAGCTTTTTCATGCGGCAGGCTTGCGAGAAAGACAAGCGGGTGCACGTCGTGCTGTACCCACGTCAGGGAGAGACTCATCGCGCGGATTGGAAGGCGGCAGCTAGAGGAGGCGAGAGCATTTGGCAGAAGGCGAGCCAGGCGATGGCGGACGAGCAGTATCCGACACTGCTTCCTGAAATCTACCACGAGAAAGTGCTTAGACGTATTGGCTGAGGTACTTTCATAATGTTGGCATAGTCGAGATTCGGATGAGACGATGGTCACAATGCACACCTAGGAAGGTAGCCGGGTACCATGGGTAGCTACATATTTTTTCTCAATGTCTCCAATACAGGCTACGGCATTGATACTTAGGAAAAGGTTTGATTCGATGTTGTCTCGTGAGGATACTACAGCGTGCATGACATACGTCCCATATGACTGACGTGCATGCTTGCACCGCTTTGACACAGCAGCGCGGGTTATCCGCTTGGACATCTTGATAGAAAATAGGAGCAGATATCCAGCCCCTCTGGAGCACTCTCTTGGAGCACTCTCTCAGATGTCTTGGCCACCGGTTGAGTGAAGAGTCAACGGCTGCAGCCTCCGGAGATACTTAGCACTCTTGGTCCAGAGCCTGAATAGATTAGTATAAAAAATCCAAGAAGCCACAATGAGTTTGAGCAGTTGAGCAAGCGGTCTCGCCGAGGGATATCTGCTAAAACATAATCCAGTGTCTGCTGGCCGGATATCCTGCAGAAAGAAATCAGCATATGCTACCGTCCTGCAGTAGGTTCATTCGTATGGCCAGTTCGGACTCCCATGCCCAAACGCCTGCCAGGGGAGTGGAGGTTTTACTGCGTCCCATTGAAACAAAATACTCATTAAGCTAAGATAAAGACTACGTCATCTATCGGGCGTCGGCTTTAGTACCCGACGAGTACAGACGCGGTCCAGCTCCGCGGACGCGCCTGTCACGTGCTGTGTCGCGCTTGTGGCTGAGGTCAAAGCCGGCGTCCTGCCCCGAACACGATGGATGGGCCCCGCTCACAAGACCGTATATTGCCCCTCTATGTCTAGGTTGCTTTGCGACCAACAGGGGCTTCTAGACCGCCACCCGCCACCCAGATGTCTGCGCAATAAATACGTTGCTTAGGGTGCAACCCCTCGTTTCGCATAGTACGATGTCCACCCGTTCTATTATAACAACATTCCAAGCTCTTTTTGTCGTCGAACTCTTCTTCCACGCGCAAACTGGCATACCTGGGCTTACACTCCTGCTTTACGGTAATACTCGGCACTTCTCGAAGCTGAGGCAGGTAGATCTCCTCAAGGGAGGAGGGTTTCCCACAGGGCACGATGAACACAAGCACGATGGACGCTGCGATCACCAGCAAGTTGCTGCGTATAGGCGCAGGGATACCTCGTGTGGCACAGATGACCAGCCTTCAATGTCTCCACGCTGCCTCGACGCGGTTTACAGGCCACATCTGACCACAATATGCGAGGTACTTGAAGACGATGTGGATACACACTACACAGTGAGCACCGTGTGCTTGTTTCTATCACTCGCAACCCAAACCTCTACAGAACAGTAGCCAGGATGGCTTCCACGAGATGCCCAACGATCTAGTATGTCTTGCGACTTTGCTCGCCATACTCGCACTAATGCTAGCAGATTACGGAATCCTCTGCTTCGCCACCGGACTTAGAGACATTCTCTGAGCGGAATGCAAGTCAAGTCGTCAAGCTGTCAACTTCGCGGCTACTAACGGATGTCTGTAGGATGTACTGCTGCAATACCAACTGGACCGTCGCAGTCTGATCATCGACTCTGCGAACCCGGCATTAGCACCTCATATAGTCATCACGCCACCAGATTCTGAAGATGCTTGGGATCTGTACTGGGCCTCCTGGCAGAACAGAATCGGCATCCAGGATACCAGCTTTCTAGGTGTGCCTCTCGTGGACGAATGGCCTAGTTCTCTGGCATCCCTACCCCCACTGTTGGGCGTGGAGCCCGAGTCTACTATACCGACGCCACAGTCACTACCTGCAGCCGTCGTGGTCAGTGACCATGATATTCTATTCCCTTCCGCACCACGCCGGGTCTGCAATCTATCACGATTGCGGCAGCAGGTACGAGTTAATATCCACACGTAATCCTTAATATCTTTACAACGTCAGGTTGCTTCGTCATCACAGGAGCGAGAATTCGTATATCTAGGTAACATTATTACCGCTCTACACCGCCACTGCTACAAGGTTTCCGTCAGTATTGTACGCGTAGCTACGTCACTATATCCGCTAAGTAATTTCATTCAGGTACAAGCGGCTGCGTCAGTGGCACTGTCTTTCCATGTCCGTTGGAGAGATCCTGCTTTCCGACTGCGCTTTGAAAGACCGTTTCACTGGACAGATGCCGCGGAGGTGTGTACTAACCCGACCGGGACACCTAGATCGATGCTGATTTGATTTTCAGCCCCTTCTATCATTCTTCTCCCAAACACTGGGAGCGACAGTTATAGACACTGTCACGCCATGTACAACACCCCACATCGTGATTGAAGAACCCGCCCCAGAACAATGCTGGGCGCTGTACCACAACTCCGTCCCCAACCCGCAAGACGTCGGCTTTGGACACTACCTCACCGTGCCTTCTTCATTCGTAAACTACGTAAACGCCCAGCCCGACCCGTTCGAAGAAGCCGCCGACGCTGGCATGGAGGATGTTGATTCCTCGAGTGCGCAGGACAGTGGGGGTCCGCCGACACCTAATTCGGTCGGTCCGAATGACGTCGACCTGGTGATGTCTTCAGAGCACGCTGTCGTGACGCGCGAAGACGAATCCGAGGATGTCTGTCACGCTGATGTTGTGGCGGACACTATGCCTTATTCGTATTCGGGCACGGGGGCTGACGGATATAGCATGGGCGACGACGATGACGAGGGGCTTCCGCCGTTTGACGACTGGTATCAATCTATCGCTAGTCGACAGGCGTAGCTGATCATCTGCCAGCTTTCCCATTCCTGTGTTACTGATACCCATCCATGTCTCTCGCATCCGTGGCATGTCGCTGCCGCACGCAGTGAATGCAATACATCTATGATATGTCTGAAGTACATCTTCGCCCGGAAGCGCAGTGTCACCGATGCTGAACCTATGACTCTAGTCCATAATCGTGAAACATGTAAGGCTGTCGTCTAGGATCCAGGTCCAGCATAGATCTAACAGGCAAGAGTGCAACCTCACAAGCAGCAATGTGTACGTCGTGAATGGTCTGGCCCGTCGGTCCCGCTTCACGAAGGAAGCGACTGACCTTTGAACACACGGAAATGATTAGACAGCTGACGCGTGTGCCTGTTCTGACACAAGTCAAGACATAATTGGGCAGAGAGGAGTGGATCATCAAATCCATGTCCGCGGACTGATTTGTCTTCACAGTCCAATTCATGTGGCATGACAGAGCGAAGACAGGGCTCGCCGCACATGCCCTCATCGTCACCGAGGCTCGTTGTTCGCGTCCTCACGGTTCTGCAATGGAAGACTGTCTCAGCAGCCACACCGAGCGGACGGCCCTGTGACCGTCGATATTATTCCTCGAGCCGAGCTATCGACGACAGGATCTGTCTCGTGAAGCACGTTCCACAGCGGCGGACACAAGAATGGAGCGGTTAGATCCGCTGCAAACACGAGGCTAGCAGCATGGCGCGGCGCTCGTACGACCCTGGCGGGCGGCAATGCAGTCGGTGGCGAGGGAGTGCACACATGGGTCGAATGTGCGCAGCGCTGATCGCATGCTACTCGTCGCGGCGCGGTGCAAATCCGTGCTGTTCGGCGCGATCGACCTCCGGTGAATGCTGGAGCCCAAAGGTAGTCCTCATTGCCACAACAACCGACAGCTGGACGAGTTCGCGAGTCGCATTTGATTTTGGCTTTGTAACAGACCCGCGTTTGGGGGAACGTAAAGCCATTCCGGAGGCGTTATCGAGATGATCTCTGCTCGCTGGGCGCTGCAGAAGGCACAATGTGTACACACGCATCAGACGTGCGAGATGATATACTTGCCGCCGGATAACGGCAGCGCTTCGCACTCGAGCCCCGTGAACGTGGCTACCACTCTGGGCAGACAGACGATCACCCCGCTAAGGCTATGCAACGCCCCGATCAATGGTCGCCCTGCCGGCAGAAGCAACAGCAATACGTGACCAGGCGAGCGAGACATGGGAGCTGATACATACCTGACCAAGCTCGACCGAGACCGCAGCAGGGAGGTCTTGCAGTGGTCTTAGTCTCGCCCTCGTGAGATCCGTCGGTACCACCGTGGAGCACAATTAGTTGACCTGATGCCGAGAACCTCGTATGCCGTTGTGCATTTGATTGCCCGCATGCCGGCACGCTCCTGCAGCTATGTGTTCAACGCGCCGCAGCCACATGTGCGGTGAATGAGGGCCACGGTCTGGGGCGCCGGTCACTAGCCACGGCGTCCGCCGGGCCCAGAGAAAGGGAGCTACTTTGGCCTCCGTTGACATTCTTCCGAGCGGAGCGGCGCGTGGGCCATCAGGGTCGAGAATGCTGAGACCGTTGTGGCACAGTCCTCCTACGAAGTCTGCGATGAACGTTAATAGTCACTCCAACAGCGCTACGGATTCCGCCGCGCAGGGAAGCCTGTTCTGCGTGTTCGCGCCCTGTGCCGTTATGAGTCCCTGGACAGCTGCGGGATGTCGAGGTGATAATGCATATGAAATTGCGAGAGTGATGCCTTTACTTCGGCGAGTAGATTCGCGGAATTGAAATGGAGGGCCGGTCTGGGCCTCAGACATGGAGGGAAGGACTCTATGTCAAGAACTAAGAAGGGGGAGCGGCCAACAAGTACGGCACTCCGCTATCCGTCTGTCGCGTTCTAGAGAAGAGGGAATGTGACATAGGGACATACTTGAGATGCCGTCGGCGACTCAAGAACATGGGCCGACTGTAGGCCGAGCGGTGAGAGTGTGCGGCTGTCAGTGCGAAGACGTACATGAGAGCGTTCTCTTAACGTTTGGTGGCCATACGTATGCCTCTTGGGTAGGCGACTATCAGAGGAAGTTGCGAGGGCGCTACGGAGAGCAAACGTGTGATGATGATCGTGAGGGTGTCACCGCTGCTGCCATTTCAAGACGAGCGTGACCAAGGAACACGAGATTTGCGTTGGAATGAGAGCAGAACAGTGAATGGCTGAAGTCTGCGAGCACAAATGCCGTAGGGCCAGCGAAGAGGGACGGCTAAGGGCGTGAATAAATAGGTCGGATGTGAGCGCAGTTTGTGCATTCGATCGTGATCAGAAGCGCCCATCAGAACCGTTGTGTCCTGCTTCGGTTGAGATTACCTCCAATTCAGTAGGGAGTTTCTATTTCTGGTTGCTTATCGCGGGACTTGTTTAAGAGTTATGTGCGGGTGCATGATGCAGGCCGTTTGTCTGGCCGGGGGTCAAGCGATTGCTGGCGGTGGGGACGGAGGACGGAGGACGGCGTCGGACATGATCGGGCCGGGATCAACAGGGACGTCACAGTCATATAATGGGCGTCTATCAAAACAATTCATGATTGCCAGGACCGATTTTGTCGCCATCGTCAGTCGGCCAGCTCTCCTTCCCGCCAGTCCCCGGCGGCTCCCTCACGCCTATTTTACTCCCTTCTACTCTAAGGAGACGCTCACCGTCTCTTCGTCCCCTTCATTCACGAGCCCCCCCTTCTCCCCCCGCCTGCTCACCTGCAGGGAACCCCTCCCCGACTGTAATGTCCGACAGTGTCACCATCTCCCTTCTTCCCGTCTCGCTCGCCCTCGTCCATCTTCCTCGCTCCCGCCTCAGCGGCCTCACCCAGCACATCCTCCGCCAGATCCTCAGACCAGACCCCACTTTCCTCAACGTCACATGCAACGAGATCGAGCTGAGCTTGTTCGTAGAGCATCATGCGCTCGACGACTTTCAAAAACTAGCCAAGAAGGACGCACGCAAGCTCCGTGCGACAAGGGTGTCCAACAGACACCAGCAGCACGACTTGTCGGATCTCGCGAGACGGCGCAGGCACCCCCAGCAATGGGAGCCCGTCGAATTCTCCTCTGACAGATGGAGCGTTCTGCAGATTGACTCCCACTCTGACCAGCTCGGTACGCCGCAGGCCCTCTCACACAGCCATCACTTGCCCGCTCATGGATCCGCTGTGCAGACAAGTCGGGTGCACGCGTGCGGGAGCTCTCTGCCCCCCTCGCGGCCGCTGGCATCTCTATCCTATACCAGTCCTCGTACATGAGCGATTTCATCTTTGTGAGTGTCTCGAATGCTCTCGCCCCTCCCACCAATACAATTTTCTCGCTACATCATTATCCTACACGTAATCCGCTCACACACCCGAATAAACCATGTCCCCTTCCTATCTTCACCTTCTTATCTCCGCCCTCGCGACCGTGCGGGTGCGCCGCCGTCGGGATTCCTTCGTACCTGTCCCTGCATCGTCCCTGATCCTGCGATCAGCTTCCTCACATTGCGTCATATGTCCGCTTTTCCCGCAGTCTCGCTGACGACGCCCTCTCCCTCCATTAGGTAAAGTCCTCCCGACTTGCGCAGGTCATGCAACTCCTCGCGCGTGCTGGCTTCGACCTCTACTCGTCCGACCCGAGTAATTTCACTGCGCAGGTGTCCACCTTCACCTCGCCGTTGCTCTCCCCCGCCGACGATGACGGCGTGCCTGTCCATCTGCTCGACCTCGGCGCGCTCGCGTCACCATTGCACCAGCGTGTTGACCCCGAGGGGGGAGCCGTCTTTACGCGCTCGCGCAGCAGCACGACCGGCACGAGCAGCTCTTCCGGATCCCGCGGCGCTTCCATACCACCGCTGTTGCACATGTCGAACCCGGGTGACTTTACTTCCCCCTTCGACCCGTCAGGTGATGAGGCGGAGGAGGCAGACGACGATCTGCGCACGCCCGCCATCCCACCCCGCCCAGCGATGACCCGCTCGCAGTCTCACTCGCCCTCGGGGTGCGATGTGAGCGTGCTGGCGCCGGACCTGACGTATGTCGGCTTGAGGGACGACAGCGCCGAGACATGGGGGCTGAAGATCGTCAAGCTTGTTGCATTCCCCGAGTTGATCGTGGGCAGGGACGGGAAGCCGATCGACAGCGCTGGTCGCTCGCGCTCGAACTCTCTGGCCATGCTTTCTCGCTGTTCCCCTCCGCCGTCGGTATTGAACGGCGTGCACCCACCTCTGGGTTCTACCGCTGTGCCAGGCCTGCATGTAGTCATCAGCGGCAGCGATGGCGAGGGTGGAAATGCGAGTGGCAGTGACACGACGACGCGCGTGGGCCCAGACTCGCCCAAGGAGGACCCTGCGCTGTTCGCGGAACCTGAGTCCCCGCTCTACGACAGCTCAGAGGAGCAGCCGTGGGAAGAGGCGGAGGGTGATACAAGCGACGACGATTCGGATTCGGAGCCCTTTGACGATGAGCACGGTCGCCAACGCTCACACTCAGAAACCAGGCCGCGTTTAACACACCACGACACCGTCGACACACTGCAGACGGTGGACACAGTCCTAACCACCGACACTGTTCGGCCTCCCGCCGCCGGGCCTCGCGAACGCTCGGCATCCGTATCATCGTCTGCGTCTTCGTGCGCGAGCATCATTTCTCCGCCCCCTGTACCCTTCTTCTCTTTCACGCGGACGGCGGAGGGTTCGTCACTCACGGCCCCTGTCGAGCTACTGGCGGCACTCTTCCCACCGAGCGAACGGCACATGGTCATCTGCAGCGACGAGCTGGACGTCCTGGACTCGCGCGCAGTGTCGCCGACAGCTGACCCAGGTGCGGAGGAGGATGAGGAAGACGACGATGAGGGCGCGCGGGAGGCCCAGGGACCGATGCGGTGCCTGCAGATCGATTTGCGAAAGTTCGGCCTAGGTCAGTGCACCCCAATCAAACCCTAACGACAGCTTTGGTATTGACAGCACTGTGACAGACAAGCACGGTCTTGTGAACCGCTTCTCGCGCACGCTCGAGGAAAACGGGATCAACCACATGTACAACTCGACGTACAAAACTGCGAACCTGCTCGTAGACAAGGCGCACGCGACGCGCGCACAGGCCCTGCTGCGCTCCTGCTGAGCGGGCTGCCCCGCACATCTGACGAACGACACTCAAAACAGCGTCTGACGATCTGCACGCTGACACGACATAGATTGGGTACCCACGCCTGTCATGATCTCCACGCTGACTGACGTCTCGCTTTCCGCTCCCTTGATCTATGCCTGCCCTACTGTATTACATCTCCTACTCCGTTGCGCATCTTTCCACTCTCGTTCTCACAAGCTCCTACATGCATCGCACGTTCCCCGCCCCGGCTTCTGCATTTTTATTGCCTTCTTTTTCCGTCGTGCCATACATCTAGGCCCTGGGGCTTTTTCTTGGTTGACATCATGCATTGTGCACGTTCGTGCTCGCGTTCGCTCCCAGTACTAGTGTACACAGCAAATGCCCGGATCCCGTGTCTCCTCCCACCGCTCACTTCCACTCACTGCCGATCTTTCTCCTTCCCCCTCACTGACACCGGCCCTCCCACATACCGTTCGCGTCCCAGAAGCACGATACCCCCGTGTCATACAGCCCTGTACGCCTGCACCCTGTATTTGTAGATCCGAAACTGCTGCCGGTGTATCTGATAGCATGGGATCTGGACCCTAGCACCCTAGCAATAGTCCCGCGTGTGCGCGTGAGGTGCGGCGCCTGTACATAACAGGCAGCCTGATCTCGAGGCTGGAAAGGGTGCCCAAGGATCCTCCGAGCGATTTCACAGGCTTCTGGCGTCCCCGGGGCGATGACGGGCGTCGAAGCTTCGCGGGAGTGTTTTCAGGGCCGTTCTTGCAACGCACGTTCTCGCCAGCCGCATCTCGCGTTGTTCGGCATCAGTAGCTCAGCAGCACACAAGCAGCCCACTTTCGTGTCGGCCGAGAAACCCGTACCGAGCTGCTGGAGAGCGCGCCGATGCGGCGGTGGTTGTATGCGGCCTAGCCCTTGTGTGAGGATCTGATAGTAGTATCGCAAAACAGGAAGTGAAGTATCCTACTAGGCCTATGTCACACTAAGCTAGAAGACAGAATGGAGGGGCATATCGCCATTTCGGACAGGCTACGACAAGAAAGACAGCGGGAAGTCCATATCAAGCCGCCTTCTTCCGCCGGGCGAACACCTCAGCCATAGCCTCGGCTGCGTAGTCGTCGACAGTGGTCTCCGGCAAGAACCCCAGCAGCCACTGCAAGATCGCATGCCACATGTACGGCGTGTACGCCCTCTTCCCGCAGCCGATCCGCGCGACAAGGGCCTGTGCAAGGCTTTCCGCGCTCGGCGACGTAGCGCTGTGCGCGGAGTCGTGCGTGTGCGTGCGCACCTCGCCCAGCGCGAGGTAGGCGAAGCGCACGCCCGTCGGCGCGCCCCAGAAGCGCTCGTCGTTGTCGAGGCCGCGCGCGAGCGCGCGGAGGAACGCCTTGGACGCGGAGTACACGGGCAGACGGGGCGGGGCGATATCCGCGGTCTGCGAGCCGACGAACTGCACGAGAACGGGGCCGGAGATGGCGGAGAGGCGGAGCTGGGGAAGCAGAGCGCGCGTCAGGAAGAGCGGGAAGAACGCGTTCCGGGTGACGATGCTTTGTAGGTCCGCTTCCGAAAGGCCGTCGATCCTGCGTTGTTTTGTGTTTCAGTACATGGTATATGGTATATGCGGAGAAGAAGGATGGGCGTGCCTCTCGCGACTCATGATGGTCCCGCCGACGTTGTGGACGACCAGCGTGACGTTGAGCCTTTTGAGCGGTTTGATCAGCTGCGCGAAGTCGTGTCCTGAATTCTCCGCGTCTGCGATGAAGTACTGGACGTCCTGCGAGCCTCGGGCCCGAAGGTCTTCAGCGACGCCTCGCACCTTGTCTTCGTTGCGCCCGTGAATGATGAGGTTGAAGCCCTTGTCGTAGAGCTCCTGAGCAACCGCTCTCCCGATACCGTCGGAAGCACCTGTAATTAGTGCATATGCCGAAGAGTCATCATGGAGATATTGCTGCACAGAGGTCCGCCTGAGCCGGTAGAACCAGATGAATGACAGAAGGCGATAGCATAAGGAGACTAGTAAGAGAAACCCCACAACGGCCAGAGCCTGAACAGCAATGTTTATCATTGTCGACACACAGGAATGAGGGGGGCTTGGAAATCAATTGTTGCAATGCTGCAATCACGTCTGAAGGGAGTTGTGTTTGAGCTTACATGGCGTATAATATTGATCGAGAGGTGGAGTGACGTCATCGACGTGGCCTCGAAGGGGTGTACGAGGTAAAACGACCTGCTCACGATCAATTGTGCATTTTTGGGGAGCACATATCAGTACTCGGCATACACATAAATATCTGTATGTAGACCTATTAGTCGAGAACACCTCTTACCCGAGGGCAAGTCCAACGCGCTGCTACACTGTAGGAAACATTGTGCTATATGGCCAACGACTGTTCATCCGAGTAACAGCCTAGATGGACTTCTTGTGCAGAGCGAGGGCCCTGGTCATGCTATCTGCAACGAACGAATCCGCAATTCCTTCCGGCAAAATGCTCAGGACCCACTGTCCTAACGCATGCGGCATGTAGGGAGCATATGCCTTCTGGCCGCACCCAACTTTCGCAACGAGTGCCTTCGCGAAGGTATCGGCACTGGGGGACATGATGGTCTCCTCGCAAGGCTGCCCGTTCGTTTGCACCTCCCCCACGGTGAGGTATGCGAACTTCACCCCCGTCGGAGTGCCCCATACCTTCTCGTCGTTTTCCAGGCTGCGTGAGAGGGTTCGTAGGAATGCTTTAGAAGCAGCATAGACAGCGAGGCGGGGTGGGAAAATGTCCGCTGTTATGGACCCAACGAACTGGACCATGACCGGGCCATGCGTGGCAGACTGGCGGAGTTGTGGCAGGAGGGCACGAGTGAGGAAGAGCCCAAACATATCGGACCAGTTGACTGTGTCCTGAAGATGTGACTCGGGTACGCCATCAATCCTGCGTCCGTCAGGCACGACATTACAGGCTCAAAGGGCGGACATACCTCTCGCCATGCATATGAGTCCCACCGACGTTGTTGATGAGAAGCGTGATGTTCAGATCCTTGTACGGCTGCACGAGGTTCGCAAAGTTGTGCCCGCCCTGCGCTGCATCCGCAATGAAGTAGCGGACATCGCGAGATCCTTGTGCGCGAATCTCCGAAGCGACCTTCTTGACCTTCTCTTCATTACGGCCGTGAAGGATCAAATTGAATCCCTTCCTAGAGAGCTCCAGGGCCGTGGCTTTCCCGATACCGTCTGAGGCACCGGTGACGAGTGCGTATGGCGAAGGGCCATGGAGATAGTGGTGCACGGTGCTCGGTCTGAGAAGGTACAACCAGACGGTCGAGAAGAAGCGATAGGATAAAGAGGCCAGCGAGAGCAGGCCAACGAGAGTAATAGCATCACTAAACACGACCATGTCTTGTATTCAAGATGCTAACACGACGTCCATACTGGGGGGGAGTACTTTATCTCGATCGATCTTGTACGATGCGGCTCGGCTTGGCCCGTGATTTCGGCAGGTCATGATGAGCACTGCCTTCGAACCCGCATCTCATGTGCGAAACTGCAACGAGCCACGGTAGGTCTTGGCGAGGCATCTGTATAGCAAATTCGTTCAAATACGAGAGGGCTCTCCACTGGAGAATGGCTGCAGCCCTGCGCAATTTCGACTCTGTTTAATAGGCTTCTCGGAGCGGTCGAAGGAGGTACGTTCCAACTTTCAGTAAGTAGGCATGGTGCGATGCTTGTTGGAAGACAAGACTGGATGCAGGACTCGCTACAGGACTACAGGCCAAGGCCATCTAGTCCGATTGGCGCTGTGAACCACATCAAATCATTATCATATACCAAGAGAAGGGGGGCTCGCCGTGACGACTATCATAAGGATCACTCGCTCGCCCCCCAACTGTGTTCATCTACGGCTGCGACATGGCACCCCTACGGACAGGCATGCTCCTTACCTTTCTCGTTCTGCTTCTTGCATTCTGCATTGTACCCGCAACATCACTACCGCTCTTGACTTCACCGACCTGCCGGCAGGATCTATCCATTGTGTGGAATCTCATTGGTTTCTTCGCGACTAACTTTCTCGCCCACGCTGCGACGGTCCCTCCTTCGCTCGATACCGATACGTACATCCGTATCGGTAGGTCGAAAATCTTCATCCCATGGCCGCCCATCGTTGCGCTCTTCCTGCCAAATACAGGCCTGATTCGGTCATGCTTCATGATGCTACATGCGTACTATGTCTCGTGCTTGGACGAAGTATCCATAGCGCTTATGTCCGGTGCGATGATCATAGTGGCCCGCGAGCCGTGCTGGGAACCTCCTGAAGGGCGTGAAGAGCTCGTTCACGTGCGATTGCCGGAAGGATTCGATGACATACCAGATCAGTGCGCCCCTGAAGCCTCATCTGCGATATCATTATTTGTTGTCTAATCATGAACGGCTGTTAGGGATTCTGCCGAACCCTTCGCTCAGATCGAGGTCGAACCGCTAGGGGAGAAAGTAGAAGAGATCGACCCATCTGACTGGCCGACGTACGGAGATGTGCAAGTCCCGGAAGGATACACTTGTTGTGTACACAATGCTCTTGGCAACATCGAGTTTGCCCAAGGTCTGCTCCTCTCCAATGTAGAAGATACGCGCGACATCAAGCTCTGCCGGCCAAAGAGCTGGACGGCGATCATCTTGTCCATCGTGCAGCTCGTGTCCGCCATCATTTCTCTATACGACTCCCGCGGAGACCAGATCAACCGGTTTGGGTATGCGGCATACGGGCTGTCGGTCGCACCATATGCGCTGATGTCCCTGGTCAACTTGCTCTGTGCGGGACATAGAGGCGAGTGGCCATGCAGATATGTCTTGCGCACTGCCATACTGGAGGAAGCGGAACGCCGAGAGTCCGCCCGTTTCGACGGCGCAGTAGGTGTGGTCAAGCCCCTGGAGCTTGCGGATGACGAGGAGAAAGCGAGTCTGACAGAGTCCGTGGATCCGGATATCAAAGATGGGTACACCGCTGCGTACCTCTCTGTGGAGATCGAGCCAGGATCAGCGTCGAAGACACTCGTCGTGCGTGTTGACGGCATCAGGAGACGGTTCAGGCTGTCCCCCACCACATCCGCCGGCAGCTCCGCCTACACCTTCGGCGTAGCCTCGATCAACGACCGCGTCAGCCCATCTGCGCCCACCGAGATGGAGTTCTTCGGCACCCATTACCCCTTCCCTTCCTTCAAGTTCCTCGTGCTAGCAATCAACTTTGTGCTCTTCATCGCCTTGCTGTACGCGGGGATCATACTGCCGTACGTGATTATCTTCGTGCTCACACGCTTTAAGCCCGGGCAGAGCACCGTCGGTGAGCGTGCGTGGATGATGGCGTGGGTCGTCGCGAGTCAGGTGTCTGGGTTCACCTGGGGGTTTCTATTCCTTGCACGGCTCTCAAGGACAGTGTTTTGGGTACTTCTGCCGGTGCTGATGACCCCTGCGGTTGGAGGGTTTTACTTTGTTGCGAAAATGTACTTGGAAGATAATGGGTACCATCGATGTTGATCTGAGGTCCACAGGATATCATTGTAGTAGTAAAACAAGCACTGTCTTTCCTTAGTACAAAAGCTATGTAAACGAGAATCATGTAGACGTACAACACAATACAAACGATGCCCCAGTAGGTACCCAACACAAACTAAGCTCTTTTCTCCTCTGCCGCCCCGAGCTCTCTCATTGCCTGCGCTGTGTACTTGTCAATCGTCTTCTCACCCAGTAACTCCATCGTCCACAGTAGCGTCGCGTGCGGCCAGTATGGTGCGTACTTCCGCCAGCCGCAGCCCATACGTCCAATCATGGCCTTGGCGAAGCGCTCTGAGCTCGGCGCGCCCCAACTCTCCGCACAGTGCACGCTGTTTGACTGTACCTGGCCAACCATGAGGTACTCGAACTGCACGCCGGACGGGCCGTCCCAGAAATGTTCATCGTTGTCGAGCCCTCGGACGAGCGCCTTGAGGAACCCCTTCGAACCTGCATACACGGAGAAGCGCACGGGAGAGATCTCGCCGGCCATCGAGCCGACAAACTGCACGAGAACGGGGGCGTTTTTGGCGGATGCGCGAAGTTTGGGGAGCAGTGTGCGGGTGAGAAGGAGAGAGAAGAGGGCATTCTTTTGTACGGTCTCATATATGTCTGACTCGCTCAGACCGTCGACTCTGAGGAGTGCCCAGTCGTTAATGAGAACGACACCGGTCGATCCAGAATACGCACCTCTCCGTGGTCCATGACTGGCCGCCAACGTTATGGATGACGAGCGTAATCTGTAGATCCCTATATGGTCGGAGCAAACGCTCATAGTCGAGGCCAGTGGCGGATGCATCTGCAATGAAGTAGAGTACGTCGCGGGCGCCTCGTGACCGAATTTGCTCTGCGACCTTGCGCATTTTTTCCTCGCTTCTGCCGTGTAGGATCAAATTGAACCCCTGATCATAGAGCTCTTGGGCAACAGCTTTGCCAATGCCGTCCGTAGCGCCAGTGACTAGCGCGTAAGCGGATGGCGTATGAAGGAATGTATGTACCGTATTTGGTCGTAGGAAATAGAGCCAGATGAAATTGAGGAGCCGGTAGACGAGAGGAGCGAGGAGGCCAGCCCCGACGCCCGCAAGGACTTGTACAGTGGTGACCTGTGCCATGGCTGTAAGATGCAAGAGGCGATGGGAAAAGGTACGCTTTCAACATGGTTGCAGCGGCGTTTGTAAGCATCATCGTGTGATCGGTGTAGTATGTACCGCAACGCGGGGCGCGTCCCACGCGAAGCGCGTTTAATAGCGCTGTTCTCGGTCACGTGTGGCGCATAGCGGGCCATCCCGAGCCGCGTTCCCCAAGCCATGGACGACCACGACAAGGACCAAGGTGTTCAGCAGCAGCAGCCTCCGTCTGTAGAGGCGGAAGCTACTTCAGCTACATCATCAGCAGAAGATGGAGCTCCTAGCAATGATAGATCGGACCTATTGGTAAAGGCCCGAGCGTTCCTAGCATCTCCGCAAGTGCGGCATGAAGACAATATTGCGAAACGTAGATTCCTCAAGGAGAAAGGGCTTGACGATGCAGAGATAGATAGTCTTCTCCAGGATCAAGTGAGCATTATACGATTACTTCAGGTGTACTGAGCTACATGCTTGCGACGTCATCCCAGCCTCCCCAATTGCCGTTACTTCCGCCGCGAACATACCCGCAGCCCCCTCCGTCGAACCTTCCCAACCTATTGCTGGGTGTTGCAAGGATCGTAAGCTGGATAGCAGGCGGCTCTGCGGCCCTGCTGCTGGTTTATTTCGTGAGTTCTCCGCAATCTGTCTTGTATTCACTTAGTAAGCGCAATGTCTGCAGCGTTTCCTCTATCCTAGGATCGCAAAGACATTCCAAGCGCGACATTCCTTACGGTCACACCACAAGGACTTACTGAGTAAACTGACGGAATCACTCGAATCACTCAAGGCGACGCAGGTGGCTAGTTCCGCCGTTCTACCACGCCCGGAGCCATTCCAGGATATACAGTATGGCCATTGCCAGACGTTGGATGAGGTGGTGAAGGCAAGCGCGGGACGGCGAGACGTTCCTGAGGTGACACTTCTACGCTGCGCGATCTCCGGTGTGAAAGCGTCGAGCAAAACCGCGACAACCGATGAGATCTTCCTTGCGCTCGAGGCAAACTTGCCATGGCTGAAACAGAGCGACGGGTCAAATGAGTACGAGGTATATCATCCTCCCAATTGGTTGCCACATCCGCTCAAAGCGTGATTGCAGGAGAAGGTTTGGCAGACGCTGTCGACCAGCGCGTTCTTTCGTTCCGAAGAAACGGGCGACTCAACAGTCTGGTCGTACATCGCACCTTCACCACCTTCACCATCTCCCCTACTCCAGTCACTCATCGGCCTAAAATCCTCACTTTCGAGTCATTCGCCACCGAGAGAGAGTCGCTTCGAACACACGATGCAGGCATTAGCGAGTCTCACTGGCTACATAGCGACGCAGACGTACGCCACGTTCCGCATGCCTACGGCACCTTTTGGTGCAGGCTTAGGTGCGCCTGGGCTGTCTACGGAGGAAGAGGAAGTGCGCCGGGAAATTAGAGCACTCAAGGGCCTCGTGCTCAACCGGTACGCTGGCCGTTTGTTTCCTTTTGAGGGTCTTCCATACTAACAGTCGTGATTTTATGCAGGCGGACATTCATGCCACAGATCTCGAGGCCTATGTCGACCCCGACCATTGCCGCCGGCTCTACGTCATGATGTTGTATTTCACCAAACTGTTGTGTGATTTGTGTAACTATAGCTGAGTTTTGATTATGAGGTATTCCATAGATGGTACCATACATTCCTCCCATCTATGAATTGACTGCAGGTTGTCACGTTTTGGAGCGTGATATTCCTGATGATATTCTGCCTTGCTCTACCGCATTAACCCGGTAGGCACCCCAACTGATTGCAGGTTCATTTTATCCTCGATGCTGTTCTCCCATGACATTCAACTTCAATGCGAGCCTCGTGGACCTGGTATTCTCAGAACTTTGTTGATAGCTTTTGATGCCGTAACCCATTGAGTTCCAGGCACCTGCTTTCAAAGGAAAGATGTCGACTGGGACGATGAAGCCTCTAGTGCGTGGTCATGATTTTGTGGCATGTGAGGAAGGCGCCTTGATAGGCCGGACATTACGGAACGTGGTCTGGCCTGATGATATAGGCATTTGATTTAACCTCCGCTTGTGCAACCTCCACTTCCCACATTCGGCGCGAGAATTATCAAGCTTTCATTTGCATTGGTCTGTCTACCGTTCGCCATTGCAAGCCAACTGTATAAGCCTCATTGACACGCTTCCTGGTACAGATTTCTATCCGATATTTATCGAAGACATGCGCTTGGATGAACATTAATCATCAATAGTTGCTGATGTTCGCCAACTTCCATCCCCAAGCATTGTTGCGGTGAGTACGCCCTTCCGTAGACGAGATGGTGCGCTCGATTACTACAGCCCACGCTGTTCACATTCATTCACAGATATATTTGTTTTATTTCTGCCCCTCAAGAGGAAACAAAAACTATTCATGGTAAGACATGTGTCTGCTCGGTCTAAAGTTATGACATACCAGTGTACAAGGTGAGGCGCACCTCAATGCGTAGGGTGTTTATTCTCATATCCGCATAATATCGCAGGTACGAGTGGTCAGTGGACGACTTCATCTAAAATAAACCCTCTTACCCGACAGTATCATCATTTTGCATGCGCATCTGAACTTTTACTAGGTACTGCGGAGCATTCTGCAGGCGGGTCGCGCACGGAGCGAATGAAGTCCCGCGTTAAAGAGATAGTCATATTCATTAAATCATTCACGTCCATATTATATGTATAAGGCTGCGGACGAGTCATTGGTTTATTTTGATCGGTCATAACAGAAGCTCTAGACACAGGACAGTCTTACTGGACATTGTCAGGCCATATTACATCTCTACCCCTCGCACTCGTGCTTTGCACGTTGTCGAAAACAACATGCATTCACACCGCCCAGCGGTGCATGTACTTCAACGTATCAGACAACATACGGCAATGCGTACGCATCGCTCCGCCAACGTGTCCTCCCCGAGGTTTTGTGTCTGTTCAGCTCATGGATACCGCCTATCATGTCAGGACACACGCCAGGTGTAGCCTCTTCACTTATGATTGCGTTTACGGCTGACAAAAGTCCCTGCCAGCTGAAGACGGTATTTCACGACACAAGGGGAGGCGGGTATGGTTTATGCACCGTAGCCACGTCAAGGTACAAAAGGACACTATACTTGACCGGTTGACAGGTACATATCTCTTCCACGCATCTGTTATTCAACCAAAGGTGCGTCTAGCCCGGAATTTTCTCGGACATCAGCGCTGGACCATCATTTGCAGCAGAATCGTTGCCCTTACTTGAAGATAGTGAACCAATGTCCGTGTGGACATACATTTGCTGCGCTTGTCCCGTTATTCTCCTCCAGCTCCTTTTCGTGCCAGTAGCTTCTGCGCCTCTGCCCGCCATAACCGAGTGCCAGCAGGATCTCACAACTGTATGGCACCTCATCCTCTTCTTCGCGACAAACTATGCTGCACATGCAGCGACCAATCCCAGCTACTTCGATTCCCAAGTATACGTCCACATCTGGCGTTTAAAGGCATGGTTATCGTGGCCGGTCATCTGTGCGTTGTTCTTGCCTTACGGCGGGGCGTATCGATCGTCGTTGCTCATGATGGCCATGGTCCGAATGTCTTACATCGGTTTGGACGAGGTGTCTGTTGCATTGGTATCTGGTGCCATGCTTGTGGTAGCGCGTACTACGCTCTGGACTCCACCAATATGGCCCGAGGAGGTGCCCGTGCAGCTACCTGAAGAGTTCTTCAACATTACGGAGTCGTAAGTGTCATTTGTCTCTACTGTCAAGCTTCATGTTCTCCTGACGACAGCTTATTTCAGTGAGGCTGAGCAAATCTCTGCCAAATTTGTGCTCGATGACAGCATCGCGGGTGTCCCGACTGCTCAGGTCGAGCCAGACAAATGCGACGTATTCGGAGGCGCGCAGCTGCCCGATGGATACGAGCTCCGCTGCCTCTCGCCTGACCTCAAGTGGATCTCCGCTGCGTCTAATGCCAAGGTTCTCCCTCCACCCATCGCCTTCGCGAAGGCGCTTCTGCGGTCCAACGTCGAGGACACCGCGCATATAAAACTTTGCCGTCCTCGCAGGTGGATGAAAGCGCTGCTATCGGTCGTGCAGCTCGTGTCAGCGAGTATCACGCTCTACAACACCCGAGGAGATCAACTCAGCCGTTTCGGCTATGCCGCCTACGGGCTTTCGGTGATCCCCTACGCCCTGATGTCCTTCATCAACCTCCTCTGCAATATCAGCATGGGCGAGTGGCCTTGCCGCTATGTCCTCCGCACGGCAATATTAGAGGAAGCCATGCGCCGCACTGGTTCCAGAGTCGATGGTGCAGTGGGGACGGTGCGAGAGGTAGCGCCAGAGAGTACAGGAGCGGACATGAGCGCGCCGGAGCGGCCGCATCTCAAGGATGGGTACACGCTCGCATCCTTGTCCGTGGAGCTACCCGAGACCGAGAAACCATCTGTGGACGATCGACCCAAGCTTGTGGTTTCTGTGGGCGACTTCAGGAGAAAGTTCAGGTTCGACCCAGATGCAGCTGGTGGCGACGCGGGCATTCGCCTATTCAACTTTAAAATCGCGGATCTGAACGATCGCATTTTCCCCTCCGCATTGTCGCCCGAGAAAGGGCGGGGTTGGGGGATCATCGGGAACATTCCTAGTGAACGAACGTGGATATGGTGGGGTTATGTCTTCGCCGACGTCCTCTGCATCCTACTACCCACAGCCGCCATTTTCTTGCCGTATGTCATCATCAATTTCCTGACTGGCTACAAGGCACAGAGCAGCACCGTCGCCGAGCGGGCATGGATGACCTCGTGGCTCGTTGTCAGCCAGATATCCGCGGCCATCTTCACCGAGAAGCCCCCAAAGGATTGGGCGGGCTTGATAGCTGTGGTGGCCTTTGTGGTGCCCGCCATTGGGGGGTTCTGCGAGGTTGCGAAGATGTACTTGGAAGACATGGGCTTCCACGCTTGCTAGGTATTGAAGGTGAGCACGACTGAGTTCGAACGTGGTGGTTGAGGTGGACTATTCGTATATGGGACCATCGAAAGCGCACTGGGGGCAGACTTTTCTCATGCTGTTGTGATCTGATGATTTATGTGACATTACGAAAATGCTGGTCTCGCGAGCGTTGTCTCTCCGTATATCCAAACCGAGCTATGCAATGGCACTCGGCTTGTTGTAAAGCCTTCTTTTTCGAACCACCGATCGACCTGCGATCGACTACTGATCAGTTGGATCACGCCTGCGCGCAAGGCTTCCAGCCACCGCTGGTCTTGCATTCGTCCATCTCATCCCTGTAAATGATCATCGCTCGTTCTTCGGATGCACCCAGGCTCCTAAAACCAGCCCCACAATCGCGTTCTTCGCTCCTACATACGAGAGGCCAACTTAGTGTTATATACGAAAAAATAAAATCACGTGATTGATCCGAAAGCGAGAGCACGTGAGAAGTCAGAATAGCCGAATAAGAGGAGGACGAACGCTATAGAGGGGCTGGCGCAACTGGTCGCCGAGTCATCCCCGAGCGCTGAGGTTTTGGCGTCTAAACAACTATTCCCCGCTCCTAACCCTGATGTAGGTCTTGATTTATTCCATTTGTGTGAGTGCGATGATCTCATTCGGGTAGGCCGCACTCTTCGCAGTCTCATGCACCCGCGCCCGCAAAGGCGCACGGGTTGCCTGAGCCGTATGAAGGGTATACATCATGGGACCTATGTATCGAGTGATATCATTGAGTACTGACCAGGAGGCCACATTGTCGCTGAGTAGCAGGGAGACCAGAAGTTCTGGTATGTTTATTTCATGTTCTTTCAAGCACTGGAGAAATGCTTGTAGACTGTCCGAAGAGAGGCATTGTAACAAATTATATTCTGCAGGCTATGATCTATGTAACTTTTTCTAATCTAGACACAATGTAGTGTCATGTATCTCATGACACCTGCACCAAAGGTAAGGAGTTGAATAGCGGATTCGACTTCTCACTTTCAATTGCGGTTAACGGGCCGATCAAGGTGTGCCGAATTGCAGCTGGAATTGCTACTCTGCAATCCAGCCAAAATAAGACCTACGTCAGGGTTAGGAGCGGGGAATAGTTGTTTAGACGCCAAAACCTCAGCGCTCGGGGATGACTCGGCGACCAGTTGCGCCAGCCCCTCTATAGCGTTCGTCCTCCTCTTATTCGGCTATTCTGACTTCTCACGTGCTCTCGCTTTCGGATCAATCACGTGATTTTATTTTTTCGTATATAACACTAAGTTGGCCTCTCGTATGTAGGAGCGAAGAACGCGATTGTGGGGCTGGTTTTAGGAGCCTGGGATGCACCCCACATCCTGTCCGACGGTCCTAAGATCCGTGCATGTGATCAGGCGGATTGCCGTACGCACTGCCTTGCAGCGAGCCTGTGCCAGACTGTGAGTCAGAGTAGAGGAGATAAGAGCACATCCTCACCTCATGTCTTTTGTCACCCTGATCTCCCGCAACGAAGAACAGGCGTGGCCAGTATCGCCACAGTAGGGTAGATAATGGCTCGTCTCGACCTCGTCTCCGTCCACAAGACAGCTCATTACCAGTACTGCGCCATCTTCACACACAACGGTGAGTGGTTCGAAGCTTGGGCCGTATTAGGGCTAATCTTCAACCTACAATTCGTGTAGCCATCGTTTGCACGATCCTCACTCAGGCTGTGACTTCAATATGCGCTGCCTGATCACTATGGGTTTGCCATACATTATCATATGCGCAGCGCTTGTCATACCTGTCCTCTCCGCCCCCATCCTTACATCGTCTCGTTGCCAGAAAGACTTGACTATCATATGGGACCTGATCCTCTTCTTCATCACCAACTACGTCGCCCATGCTGCAACCACTCCTGGACTCATCGGAACACTGGATCCCGCAGTCTATATAGGATACAAGACTTGGATCTCCATTCCTTCTATCTTCGCGCTCTTTCTTCCGTATGGCGGTCTGGTGCGGTCAATATGCATTATGGTCGGTATAAGCAGTCTATCGCCCTTTGGTTTAGACGAGGTCACTATGGCGTTGTTATCTGGCACGATCGTCTTGGTGGCACGGGATCCGCGTCGGTGGCAGCCATCTCAGACGGAAGAGCTTATATGGGTTAAACTACCTGCGATGTTTCACGACATAACCGACGAGTACGTCACCTGCAGTCAGACTATTGGGTACTACAGTTGATAAATTACCTCTGTCGCAGAGAAGCCTCTCGATCTCTCGCACAGTTCAAAGTCGAAGGGCCCAACTTCCCAGTCGTAAAGATCGATTCGAATAAATACAACATGTTCGGGGAGACGGTGCTGCCTCCTGGATACCTCTTTTGCAGTGTTCGTACGGACGTTTCTATGTTCATTCAACCCCTATGCGAAGCATATATTAAAGAGTATATGCTGCTTGTCCGTGGCCCTCAGGCCAGCACCATTCGGCCAGATATGATGCGCTTGGGTTTCAACAACAAGGAGGTGTCTGCAGATCACGTCGGGGCAATACGGAACCTGCTGCGCTCTAATGTAGAAGACACTGGAGGTATCGATCTCTGTTGACCGCGGAGGATCGCGGCGATGATCGTTTCGATTTTCCAGCTCATCTCGGCCATCGTCACCCTCTACGCTTCCTGGGGAGACCAAATAAGCAGGTTCGGGTATGCCGTGTATGGCCTCTCCGTGATACCGTACGCCCTGATGTCCCTGGTCAACCTACTCTGCAATTTGAGCATAGGCGATATGTCCTGCCGATACGTGCTGCATACTGGAGTCTGCGCAGAGGCGGCGGGTAGAAATGGCGCAAGATTACACGGCATGGTTGCGGTGATACGACCTACGAAACCCTAACCCCTAACCTGGGTGCGACCTAAAGGGACTAGAGAGACGGATTATAGTCTAGTGAGAGGGGAGTTAGCAGCAAGGTGTCCCGCGGTTCGAGTGAACACGAGAAACGCCTTCGGAAAAGGTTACGAACGCTAGGGAAGGTACGAGGTGGCTTCGACACGTCGTCGAAGCTACTCGGAGGCTGTGGGTCGTTAGCGGAGACGATCGAAGCTCGGCGGAGCTCTTCGATGTATCGTAGAAGGAAGGGGACACGACTCGAAGGGTGGACTTAGCTAGGGCGCGGTTCGCAGTTTCTTCGACAATAGTCGAAGTCGAAGGGTTCGTCGAGACGGTATCGACGAGTAAACGCAGTGGACGAGGTTTCGAGGTTACGCAGTGAGGGACGAAGTGACGCAGTTTTAGGCTTAGACGTAGGGCGAACTCGACTTATGAGCTCTGAACTCGACTTATGAGCTCTGAACTCGAGGGGGGGACCGGATCTTGTATTTTTAGAGAGAAGTACGACAGATTTTATACTACACAGGACGCTACGACTATCGAAAGTGGCACACTGGTACAAGGGGCTTTGCATTGTTCCTCAAGAAGCTGCCTCACCGAGTGGCACACATCAAATCCATCGGTAGAGTGACGTCATGCCGAACGCGGAGATGAAGAGCAACATATGGCCACTTCGGACCGGTAGCCGTCGTCGAAGGCATGCCGCGAGGTTCGATACCTAATCGGGAAAGACTGGCTACGTCGGTGTGGCTTGGAGCGATGTGCGCGCTTGGTCGAGCGGCGTCAAGTGGCCCTATTGTTCGCCGAATGCGGAAGATGTTCCGAGATCTACGCGCGAGGCATCGGGACGACCGTGCCGAGCTTCGAGTAAATGTCGCGCACCGTCGAAGATGTCGAAGAGCGTCGAAGGCGAAATCGAAGGGTTGGGAGACTGAGTCGAAGTGCCAGGCGGGATGCGACTGCCGAAAAGAGGTGTATCGGGGCCCAGAGGGGCTTGGCGCCTATCAGCGGTCCCAAGGGCGCTGGCGGAAACCAATTCCATCGGCACGGACTCGGATCCTGTGGATACTGCGGACCCGGCAGATGAGTTTGTGTTCGCGTTCTTATCCATCGAAGAATCGGAGGGGCCAGACGTCGATCACAAGGTGCTCGCTGTCAGATCCGGAGGGACCATCAAGAGATTCAAGTTACATTCGGATGATACTCCCGTTGAAGGCGCACACACCTTCCATGTCTCATCCATCAACAATTATCCTCTCCGTACACCACGCGCTCCCGTTGCAGGCGCTGCAGAGACATCGCCTGTACGTCACGGCCCGTCAGACACAGACATCCGGAGCCCGCGAAGGTTCGAAGAAAACGACCCCTATCCTTCCAAGCCTAAATGGGCCATGACCATGCTCGGATCGATAATGACGCTGCTCTACCTCCCGTATATCGTGCTCTCATTGCTCACAGGGTTCCAAGCCAACAATAGTACGCTCTTTGAGAGAGAGAGCATGATCTTCTGGCTCGTTTTTGGTCAGTGCTACTCATTCGCGCTGGTATTATGGACGGTGTTTACGCCTTCTAAAATGCCGTCTTTCATTTGGGATTGCTATCCGTTTCCACAGATTGCGAGCGCTTGGGACAGGCTCACTATTTTGGCGCGCTATTGGTTTCCGTTTCGCACCTGCAATAGGCTTACTATTTCGAAACGCGATCCGTTTCCGCATATTACGAGCGGTTGGATTGTCCTCGCCTTCATGTCGCCTTTGTTCGTGCCCGCGATTATTGGATTCACCCTTGTGGTGAAAATGTATTTGGATGACAAGGGCTTTTATGTACAATGTTCAGCTTAACCTGTATGTGTTTCTTTATAGTCTGTCTTTTCCTATAACTGCAGGCCAGTTCCGCGACTTACGTGTCCATATATATATAAATTCTGGTAACCAGGGACACTTATTTGAAGGGGCATTGATTTGAAACTTAACGTTAGGGTTGCATCTCCGCCGAGTCCTCTCGTAGCCTTATCTATGGCCTTATGGCAAACATTATTAGACAACGGGGAGTGACATCTCCTGCGAGGAACCAAGGTAAAGGTGGTGGTTATATGCATTTCAGGCGCAAAAATAGGAAGCGAGACGCAGACAAAAGTTGTATCAAGGTAGTCTGTTGTGACTTTCTCGAAGGTTCACCGTTTAGATCGCATGCAATCATATCTAGTCGTTTTGACGCAAACGTGTCTCTGGCCCGAAGTCCAGTTCTGTGACTGCCCGATGCGATGAGGTAGAAGCGTAGTGCGTGGTGACGGAACAAACACATGGCAGATGGGGCCTGGAGGACTCTTCATTATCACACTGCAGACGCGTCACCAATCATTATTCATTCGCGCGCATGTCTTGCTTAATGAGCTCTGTCTCGACCAGGATGGTGAAGCAATCAATACGCATATTGGTGCAGCAGCAGAAACGCTGTCAATAGGCGACAAAGGCGACTTCCTTGTAGTTTCTTCCGCTAAGAGATCTTTACCCCATGTACGTGCCCCCGTTCACGTCGATGGACTGACCTGCATAGTATCTGCATTGGATGCTAATAATCAGAATGAGTGCCAACTGTACTGACCAGTAATGAAGTATGCCTCTGGCTTGACAAGATACGACACCACACTAGCAATGACGTCTGGACCAACTTCTGGGCTATCGAGTGGAATTCCCAAAAGCTGCGTGAGTAGATGCAAGCTGGTTACTTTGCCGTATGACGCAGTGAGGTCTTGGACATACCGCCTTGATGGTGGCGCCAGGGCGCCCTCCATAGCGCATATCCATCTCCAGCGTGGCTGATCGACGCAGCATGCGTTAGCATGAATGTCCCTTTGCGAGTGCAAGGAGGGCAAGCGCACTCATCGGAGACACGATCACGCCAGGGCAGTATGCATTGACTGTGATGTTAAGTTCCGCCAACTCCAGCGCTGTGCAATATTTCTCCAAACCTGAGCGCTCGTGGGACATTGTTCGAGAAAGATGCGACTCACTGAGCGATTGCGTGATTCCTCTAACACCGAACTTCGTCGCACAATAAGCGGAACACCGCAGGGCACCTGGACTCTATCAGTTTGCTACTTTGGAGGTCCTGTAAGGTTTCCTGCCTCTCTTTCCCAACACGGACACTGCACCTAGACATATGATCAAGTCCGTTCAGCACAGCGAATACACCTAGTCTCGTAACCAGACGTTAAGGGGGGGAGAAGGGATCACGTGGAGTGTTACTATATCTGGATGCGGAGTTCCAAAAAACCCTGCACGACTCCCCCCCTTAACGTCTGGTGCATTTTGCAGGGAGGGAGGGGGGTATCCGTCACGCCCTGGCGCTTAACACGTCTGCAGCGTGTCTTGCCTGCGATGTGTTCCATCAATCTATGTACGGCGCGTAGTATGGCCCCCGCTATATTCACTCTTGCCGAGTTCTCATACGGTCTTTCAACGCTCTCGGTGTCTATCCTCAAGAAGGCCCGTGAGAAAGCAGCAAAAACGCACCAGTACTCGTCTGCAGAGACAGAAGCCCCGAGTGGTCGTCAAAGATATCGCTGCCCAAGTCCGAAGCCGGCGGGGAGTCCAGGTCGGAGTCAGAATCGTCAACGACACTGCGTAGCGAGCTCAGCCAAGGGCTCAGATGAGTAGTTGGAATAGACGACATTATGATTATGTAGGTTGTCTACCATAGCATACATGCACATACATCGACTAGCGACTGAGTTTCGAAGTGCGCGGCGCGAGACGCGAGGCGCGTCGGACGCAGTCACGTACACGAGCAGACGCGAGAGGTAACGGCGTCGTCACCGGTGACTTTGGTGACGCGTGATGGATACCCCCCTCCCTCCCTGCAAATTTCACCAGGCCTTATAGGCGGGAGTGTGCAGGGGTTTTTAGATCTCCGCCACCCAATTGGGTAATAGCACACGTGATCCGCCTATAAGGTCTGGAAACGAGACTAGAATACACCTAACATGCAGCAGGTGCGTACCGAGTATCCTGCCGCCCCGCTTCTGCTTGATCATCTGTAGTGCAGCATATTTGTAACACAGCATGACACCTGTCAGATTGACAGCGATTGTGCGGTCCCAGGTTTCCACGTCCACTTTGGGTGGAGAAAGCCATCACCATGATAGAGTGGAAAAGAGACGTAGACATACTCTCAACAAGGGGGCATGTTGGCCCCACACCTGCATTGGCTACCATCTACAAGCCCCGAATACAATGAGCCCGCCTGTCACAGTTTCCCTAATTTTACCTCATTTTTCCGCTATTTCTGCGGACATATCAAAGGGTATAGGGACTTATCCATACTTATCCGTCCGCATATGGGTACAGCTGCATATCTAAGGGGTTATCCGCTTAAATAAGCGACACATGATCTTGTTCTGGACACATCAGGCTGGACTCTGATGCCGGACCTTTTCTAGATAGAAACCAGACTCTGTCTGGACCATGACATCATTCTGACATCATAGGTAGGAGCTAGGCTCAGGCACTAGGCCATAGGCCGGTCAATTCTGGACCCTAGGCCCAGGGCAGGGCAGGGCCAGACTATGACATCATCGATAACACCATATCGCACCATAGGGCACATGATACTTAGTAATCCTTACCCAGCTAGGTACCAGGGGTCCATTACCGGTCCCTGGGGGGTTTTCCCTCATGTATATAAGGCAGCATCCTGGGGCACCCTGTCCCCCAGTTCTATTCACTTCGT